TTTCTGCTGAACCGGAAGATTTCGACGAAATTGCTCGTCAGCAGGGAACACTGACATCTGAGGTCACTGTCGGGTCTACTTTGGTTGGGACAGACTCTATTATGGAAGAGAAGTCGAAGAAAGATGTGGATGGATCAGAACCGCAATCACCCCCTCCGCAACAATCACCGCGCCACTCACTTCAGCAATCACCTCCTCGGGGACCACAGCATCCATTCCAGATGCACCCAGTCCAACCTGGGCCTATGCCACCGCAAACTCAAGGATACAAGCCTCCAACGCTACCATTACTTCCACCTCAGCTCATGGGAGGCAACCCCGTTCAAAGGCTTCCTCCATCTGGTCCCTGGAAGTTGGAGGAAAGTCACCTATCTGAACCTCTTCATCGCGTTACTCCTAAACCACAGGCCGTTCCTCCATCAGGCCAATGGAAGTTGGAAGAGAGTCATCTGGCCGAACCTCTTCACATGGTTAACAGAAACCGAGCTGGCACAAATGCTTCGCAACTTTCACAACTCTCACAGCGTTCACAGCAATCCCAAAATGACCCCTTCTTTGGCTATAACAAAGAAACTGGAGATGTTCCTCCTTCACCCTCTTCGAGCTCTACAGCTAATAAGCATCATCAACGGCAAAAGCCTTCTGAGGTGCCACCTTCGTCTGCCAATCGTTACCCTGGTCTCTTCCCTGGCCATCAAAGACAGCCGAGCGGTTCCAAAGAAGGCCATCTCGGCCCTGGATCACAGTTCATAAGACGCTTTTCTCAGGAGGGCATTGCCAGAACAGGAACAGGTGACGCTACCAATGAAGATCGGGGACGTTCTAAGAAGGCCTCAGCATTATTGAAGGATATTGGACATCGCTTCAGGAAGAGCTCGACTGAGCGACGAAGCACGCCTGTGGATCACCACGGTCAGCAGTTTCATCCTCCGCAACAACAGCAGCAACTTCAACCACCGCACGCTGAGGTCCATCACGATGCGGCTTCTGTATCAAGTGTGACGACGGACGGAGCCCATGACAAGAAGAAGTCCAGAGCCAGTTTCATGCTAGGCTTGAGGAGTAAGCAGAGCCGAGAAAGGCTTTCAATGCCTCCCCCTCCACGCCCGGATGAGAGCAGGCCCGCCACATCGACGGAAGAGAGAAGGGGATCTCGGCTCAACCCTGACTTCGATCCTGCTTCGGGTCAGCATCGACCTGTAGGTCCTCCACGCGCAGCTACTTCAAACTTGGCCAACGAGATGAGCCAATCTGCTACTCCTCCAGCGAAGAAGCGATTTTCGGCATTCAATACCAAGGCTGCTATGACGAATGTCTTCAATCGGCCAAGTAGTCGTACATCCTCAAAGCCTGGTACACCCACCTCTTCAAGGCCGATCTCAAGCCACTTGGGAGCTCAGCAACCAGTATCCCTGCAACGCCCTGCTCATCCAGGCTTCGAGCGAAGTAACACTGCTGGTCCTACTTTCAACCAGATTCTTCCGACTCCAACGGGTACACCGCCGGTTGATGCTAACGAGCGCCGTAAGAGACGAGGTTCGGCTGCTGGACTGATCTCTGGCCTTTTAGGACATGTCCACAAGAGCAAGGAGTCTCAGCAGACTACGTCACCCCAGATGCAACATCCTTATGATCGTCGCGCTTCTGGTCCCCAGCTTGGTACCCCTCACCCGCCCGCCCTGCAGACACAGGGGCGAAGACCTTCGGGACCACAACTGACCAGCCCTGTACTTCCAGGGGGTCAGCTTGGAAGCCCTCATGGCCCTGCCCCGCCATTGGCTAGTCCCCAACCTCAGAGACCTCATCAATTTGGTGATCAACAGTCGATATCTAGGGAACAATCCCCCATGTCATCTGCCCGACCTCTATCTGGTGGAATAAGAGATACCCAGCACGCTCAATCTGCCTACCGCAACTCACGTCCATCACCTCTAGGCTTTGGCTCTACAACTCCAGCCGGAACTCCTCCTATCGGGTCAGTGATTGATTACAGTCGTCATGGGACTCCACAGACACCTTTCAGCGTGGGACAGAGCTTCCCGGACGCGCGAGCTGCAAGAATGCGATCGATCTCACCAGCTGCGTCCGCGATCCGATCTGCCCCGACAACGCAGACCTCTTTCAATGTCCCAAGCACGGCCCCAACAACTCAACCGTCGTTCCACCATGCGTCGCAATCGTCGCAGTCGCTTGACAAGCTCGCGCATGCAAAACAGGAGGGAACTCAGATCCAACGACCAGTTACAGACTCCCCAAACATGTCCTTCAGGCATGACAATAGGCCTAGTCATGGTGCATCAGATAATGATATGCCCCTGTCTCCAGTGTCGCAAATGTCCAAAACTGGCCCGCCGTCTGTATCGTCGATGGCTACTCAGAGTCCTCGTCTGAACACTACCACTTTGGCTGCTGGAAGGCGACAATCCTCCCAGCTTTCGCAGCCTGACACGCCTGTTGTATCCGCAGTGTCTACTTCGCCACAACTGCAGACCTTTGCCAACAGGATGGGAATGTCACCTCCACAGCAACAACAGCAGTTTCCTCCTGGATTCCAGCAGCAACCTCCCGGCGCTCAGCAACAGGCACACCCTCAGCAGATGAACCCCCAACATGGCGGTTACCAGATTGCTCCAGGGCAGCAGTATGAGCCCAACCTTCGCACCTCATCTGCCGGTCAGCATATGCCAGGCTCCTACTTACAAGCCACTTCTCCTGGCCGCCCACCTATTCAGATGCAGCACTCCGATTCAGGCCCTCCAGTCCCTCCAAAGGACGGCTCGGCTGCTCTCCAGCAACCTCAGGTCGCTAATCAGCCAGCTCGCCAGGGAAGTCCGGGAGCTTCAAAGTGGAAAGGCTTGAGGAACCGCATGTCGGCACAGGTCTCAAATAAGCCAGTAGCGAGTCAAGGAAAGGGCGAGAACGACAAGTTGACTGCAAGCAAGATCCTTGGAGCATTTAAACGAGGTTCCAAGGAGAATCGGCAGTCAATGGTGATTCCCGATCTGCAGGCTTATCAGAACCATGAGATGCGGCCTGTACAGCGACCTCAACAGCCCCAAGTCACTCAGCAGCCCCAGCAGCAATTTGCTAGTCAAGTTCCGTATGGACAAACCCAGTCTCCCCGTCCATCCTCGCAGGTCAGCGGCCAGCCTTTCGGACAAGTGCCAACTGCTCGCCCGTCATCTCAGTTCAGCAACCAGAGCATGGGACAAGCGCAGTCCAAGCGTTACTCATCAATGTTTACCGGCCCAAGTATGCCACAGCAGGAATTCCGAAGCCCTTCTGGGGCTTTCGCTTCAAGTCCTCAGGGCATGGGCCAGCCACAACCTGGTCATCAATATCAATCTCCTCCTCAAATGCAAGGGCAGTTCCCGCCTACACAGTCGCCTCAGGCCCAATTCAATTCTCCGCCGAAGCCCCATGGTCAATTCCAGTCTCCCGCACAGCAACAGGGACAATTCCAATCACCTCCTCAACCGCAAGGCCAGTTCACGTCTCCTATGCAGCAGCAAGGTCACTTCCAGTCTCCCGCACAGCAACAGGGACAATTCCAATCTCCTCCTCAGCCCCCGGGTCAATGGCAGCCTCAGATGCCTCCCCCTGCTGGGCAATTCCCACCACCCCAACAGAGGCAGGCTTCTTATCCTGGCCAATGGCACGGAACAATTGGTCACAGCCCAAACACGCCTTCATCATACAGAAGTCCTCAGCATTCTCAGTTCTCGTCGCAGCCTCAGAGCCCGCAGTATGGGTTCCCGATAGGACAAAATGTTCCCGGAGAGGAATCGCCTCCTGTCCATGTCTCGACGCCTACTCAGGTTCACTCTCCTACACCAGTTCATGCCCCATCACCTCGTCCTTCGCTGTTGAACCTACAAGCTATGGTTGCTGCCAACCCTGAACACGACCACACTCAGGAGGGAGAGCGTGAGCACACAGACGCCGCTCCTCGAAACGAACCCAATGCAACCCATCAAGGAACCTCCAATATGCAGAGGTTTAACAGCGACAGTCCCCATAGTGGCAGAACTAGCGGAAGCCCTAGAGTCGGTGGCAATCCTCCGCCTGCCCAACACGTTGCCCCAAGAATAGGCACGGAGCAGAACGGCAGCTCAAAGTCCCGGGCTCCTAGCCTTCCTATGCCTGCGCTTGCTGGAGGTGATTTCATGGGAGGTCATTCTGCGGCGGGTGCCAGCTCACATTTCTCACCCAAGGCAGAAGAGTCTCAGGGTGTGTCACTCAGTCCCCCATCTGGTGCACCGGGTAGTGTCAGCCCCAACTCTACGAGGCAATCCCCCTCTGGTGGTAGTGATCTAGGCCCGCCCGAGCCAAAAAGCAGGGGAGGCCCATCCTTCCACGCTGAACTGGAGGATACAGAGGATGCCCGGAAGCGGACATTGCGAATTGATTCGCAAGAAGAGAAGATTCACTATGATCCTAATGCTGACTCAGATGGAGAGGTTCCTCCTCAGATGAGTGCGACTAGTTATCCTGGACAAGAGTGGAATCCCTACGGCATGCCCGAGATGGGCGACTGGAACGAAGCGACGGATCGTTAAACCATTCCTCACTGTCTATTAATCTACCTATATACGCACTCCCTACTCGTATACGCACAGCATATACCATGCTTCTACCACCATACCTAAGTTTGTTTCTTAGTTTGCCAACCCAGGAATATAACTCGACCTGTAACGGCCGCCCTTACCCCGATTCTTGGATATATATAATAGTTCATGTTAGCCCACTACTGGATATATCAATGATTGGGGCTTTGTTATTTGTGCCCAATACAGCGTGGCGTCATGGCTGTACATATATTACTGTCTATGCATTTACAGAATTTGTCAAGAGATGGAGCGAACAGTAATAACAGTGGAGAGATAGCATGGAAGGGGTGGAAAAGTACACGCATTTACGCATATCTAATTTTTTAATTCCTTATATATAATTTACACTCCTTGTGGGCAGGTTAATAAAAAGCGTTTTTATCCGCGAGAAAGTTTGTCCTTCACTGGATTCCAGAAGTGAAACGAAGTGTCCGTCATGTATCGCATTACAGAATCATTATATTATTTGTGATCATTTCCTGGAGAGCCTTGAGTGTACAATATCAAAATGAACTCATCAAAAGTCCAAAGAAGCATTCCTGAAGGGTATCAGCGCCAGAATGACGGCCTGTGTATAACACGCCGCTCGATCAACAACGCCACCAGTCAAAAGCCCAACCGAACCCTGCTTGTTCTTTGAATCCGTTTGTCCAAACACCATATCATCGGCATGCCCCAGCTCAACACCCTCCTTCAGTAGTTTACAAGTCCTCTCCGGTAGAAAATATGCCGAAGTTCGAGCCTTGCCAATCTTGCCATCTTTTCCAATAACCACAATCCAAGCAAAAGAGCAGATGGAGCCGTTGTGAGTCTCAACACCGCCTTCGATGCCAACCCAGAAATCAGCTTCTGGTCGTGCTGTTTGGGCGTTTTGTGCTCTATTTGTTGCGCCACGCAGAGTCTCTTCGTCTGAGAAGGGTTGGTCTGAGACGTTGGAGTCTACACTTATGCCCTGGAAGTCATAAGAGTCTGGAAGCATTTGTGTGAAGCCTTCACGGGTGGCTTTGATTTTGGGGATGTTGTTTGAGGCAACGACCACGAGCTGTTGCTTTTGAGCTGGCTCCATGGTTGGTTTTTAAAGAGCGAATTTCTTGGCGAGAACGTTGACTATGGTTCGATGGTTTTCAGATGTGCTCATGGCTTGGCGGTCAAAGAATATGGGTAGGTCTCCACTGAACGACCAGTTTGTAATATGTTGAATTAGTAGACTTCAAGTCTGAGGGGTTTTGCAGCAGTTGGTCTGTGTTCTCCACCTGTGGTCGCTATTGGTAGGTTCAAAGGCTGATATCAATTCTATTCAGAGCATAGTAACGATAACCATTCAATTATTTAACTTTCGATAGGCCGAGTTTCTTATCAAGATGTACCACTATAAAGTCACATTCGACTGCCAGCATGAGCAGCCTCAGCTGTATTACTTCTAAACAGACTCTCACTCCTCCAACCTATGTCTCAAGATCCCCAAACTTTAGGCCAATCTTGTTCTCTAATCCAATCTTCGATGTTTCTTAGTTGAGGAGGCGGATTCAGCTGCAGTACAGATCAGCTTCCACCTTTATCTTATCACAAATATCAAGAGAAGAACTTACCTCGTTGGGATGAACAGCAGGAGAATCACCACCACCATGAAACCCGATCTCGTTACAAAATGCAAAGTTATCTTGCAATTCAGCCCTCAACTCTGGTTTACAGTCAAAGCTGAACTGTCCGGGTGGTATGTGTAGTATTTCAGTCTTGTATCCCGTCACTTTACTGAAAATTCCTACGAATTCCCGTGGTGTGATCCAAGAACGATACCCAATGACACTTTTCCCTGGATGGTTTTGAATTAGGGCTTTGACCAAGGGACCAGAGTCTTGGTCGTGTGATATCAGAGGAACTTTGGTGTCGAGGTCTAGGTTGTTTGCGAATTGTATGTTTCCATTGTCTTTCTGCTACATCGTCAGTTTGAATATTCTGACATCATGGCTGACACTAGGATCTGACCTTGGCAGGCTGGGCCATTGGATGAGTTAAGAAGTTACTCAAGAAGTATCCCGGCAGATATACACTCGTCTTTGCCCATAGCTCTGGCTGGTTTTGTGCACCGTGCTCTTCTGCATCAGCCTTGGAGTCAAAATGACAAGCATTCGTATACTTTCCTCCCGACAATTTCGTGACACCTGGGAGTGAGGATATGATGAATCTTTCTAGACTTGATAGTCTGGCAGCTTCATCGATGATATTCTTGAGTTGTTGAGTTTCTTGTATCTTTGTCCACTCGTTGAGTGCCTGTCCCGGCTGTGGTTTGTTTCGATTCTTCGGATCGTTGTAGATGCCCCAAAAGTCACTGACTGCAAAGATGGCATTTGCGTCTTGAAAAGCTTTGGCTAGTGAGGCTCTGTCGCCCAAGTCGGCTTGAACTATTTCAACACCGCGGGCCTCGAGATTCTTTGATTCTAGGCTTGAGGGGTTTCGAGTGATGCCACGAACACGCCATTCTGGGTCAGTGATGAAGGAGTTGACAACAGAGCCTCCTTGACCACCTGTTGCACCAATGACCACTATGAGCTTTTTGGTGGTCATGTTGAGTGTGGATTGTGCTTTGTATGATAATGGTCTATTTATCTCTACTCTTTATATATTTTCTGAGAAAATACCTTCTTACTCATTATTAATCGTCTCCCTCTCAGTCAGTCTCATCGCGTTATTCCAATGCCTGTCTCGCTGTTGGTTGGTGTCTTAAACAGGAACGGTTCCACTAAAGTCCGCTCCAATCCGCCTCTGTCTCACTTCTGCCTCCCTATTACCCGCTCACCTCCGCTCTCAGCCTCTCTCTCCTCTTCCTGCAATCAATCTCTTCGGCCTGTTCACGGTATCTCACCCCAACGCTCACGCTCACGCTGCTGCGTAAGAGGTCTCTATTGATTTATAAGCTGCTTTGCAATCACTACAGATCTACGAGGCCGTCAACGTTGCGCTGATCGAGATGCCAGTGGCTCGCCATTCATGTGCAACATGTCGGTAAGGCTTCATCCTTAATTAATTGAAGCATCTCTGACTTGATCAGCCGCCTCAAGAGGAAGTGCATGAGAGAATTGCCATCTTGCTCCTTAGTACGGCTCAGAAATGAGGCAGGCATAGCCTAAAACTGACGGCTTACAGTGTGCCCGCCTCGGTAAAAAATGTGAATATATAGAACTTCCACCACCTCCAACTGCTTCTCACCCGGATGGAACAAGCCAACCATCTCTATCAGAACCCAACCAACCGTTTCCCCTGGCCTTCTTCTTGGATCCAGATCTCTTCACGCCCCTAACCACCAGCAATGCATTGGCACCTGGGCCCAGAGTCGATCTGCAGCAGATTATAGCCAAGCACTTGGAACCAGATGACTTGCCAGTCCTCTATCACAATTACTTTTCTTCAGTGCATGAGTGGCTTCCTATGATTAGCAGAAAGCGGATCACATATGCCGACCCTTTCAGTCAAGATGCTTGCCATGATCTACTACTTTTATGTATGAAAATATGCACGCTCAGACCCAACGGACAGCCTCCATCCCAACATCCGTTGTACATGTTGGCAAAAACTCTGTGTGCCGCTGCTGAAAGTGCAGGCCTAGTTTCACTTCGCCTAGCCCAGTCTTTGGTCCTGCTGGCTCTCTATGAGGCGTGCCAGGCTATATATCCTGCCTGCTATCTCACCATCAGTCGAGCGGCAAGACTAGGGATACTGATGAGTTGGCATGATAGAGATGCACAGCAGCTCTTCAAATTTGCTGATTCTTGGTCTAAACGAGAAGAGCAGCGCAGAACATGGTGGACTATCTTTGTGCTTGACAGGTAGGTCATTTCTCTGCATCCTTGAACCTCCATCTAACAAAACTATGTTCAGATTCATCAATATCGACACAAGTGGACTACCATTTGCCGCTCCAGAACCTTGCCCTGACGAGCTACTACCAGTCAACGATGAAGACTGGGTTTTGGGTAAGACAGTGCCAAGCGAGCCACTGTATACAGCATGCTTCAGCTCCATCACAACTCTGGGCTCCTTTGCTAGAACATGTCAAGCAGCTCATATGCTCGGCAAGGTCATTACACACAAACATTTGAAAACCAAATCCTCACACGACATCCTGCATGTTGTCCAGGAAGGCCAGAGCCTTAATAGAGCACTAACCTCACTACAAATTTCTATTGAAGAACAATCCTTGAGCAACGTTTCTTCTTCTTCGGCGTCATCTTTGGCATGTGCTTCCGCCATTTGCATTAGTGCCCAAGCGCTCCTATACGGAGCTTATGGTTGTCCTGACGCCCCTGGAATAACAAGTCGAGAACGCTTGACACACGAAACAGAATTGCAGAGTATTAGCGTTCAAGGTCTGAGAGCGCTAGGTGGTTCTTTGACTCCTAAGTTGGCTCAGATTCAGTCAGATTGTCCTCTTCAAGCAAGATGTTTTTATACTGCTTGTAGTGCATGCTCATGGTTTATTCGGGAAGACAATGAACCACAGATGAAAGATGCTTTGGTGATTATCGTCGATGGGCTTAAAAGGCTATCTGACCGTTGGCCAATCGCGAGTGAGTACTTCAGACTTTGTTCCTTGAGGTGAACTGACGGTTTCCAAGCTGAGTACATTTCTCTTCTCGAACAGGGCGGAATTTTGCGTCTCGTTGATGCCACTCTGAGACGGAAAACATGTCTTGAAGTTTAATGCTCCTTGGTATTTCAACCGACTCCCAGGTTCAAATATAATGATATGGTGCTTGATTTACTTCCAACAAACTTCAGGCATGGCGAATGAATGAACGGGCCTGACATCAATACCACGTGATAAGGTTGGCCTCAATTGATTTGACAGAACGTCATAAATCAGAAGACCATTCACGAATCACGGTATTCTCGTTCAACAAAGTTCATGTAAGTTCATGAGTCGTCCAAAAGCATCAAACAATTATGAACAATTGAGTTCTCTAAGTGGGTCTGTCATTCTGTCTTTGGTTTAGCTCTCTCTTTTCGTTGCTGGGTCCGAAATCGGTGGATCACGTCTTTCTTTTCGCCTTTGGCACTGAAGAATTCTTCTTATAAACATCCTCTACCCAATTCGCCCTCCATTAGTGGATCTCACAGGGCTCAAAAACGCTATTGAAGCTCGAGCTTTCATCAATTGAGCCGAGACTGACAGCCAATATATATAACACCACCGCCAATGCCTTCGAGCGAACGTCGGCGCCGTGAGGGTCACCAAGACTCTCACACTCACACTCACACTCACACTCACACTCACACTCACACTCACAATGGCGTGTTACACGATGAGACTTCGCCTTTGCTTCCAAGGATATCAGAAGTCAGCGAAAATGGAACGGCAAAGTCGTTGACCGACGTCCATAGCCTCTTGGCTGAAGCGAAACTACTATGCCAATACTCCCTCCCTTTGATCGCGACGTACCTTCTTCAGTATTCTTTTACTGTCATTACAACCATTGTCGCGGGTCGTTTAGGTGCTGAGGAATTGGCAGCTTCAAGTTTGGGTTTAACAACGATTAACATCATTGGGTTCACCATCTTTGAGGGCATGGCCACGGCTCTCGATACACTGTGTGCTCAGGCCTACGGGTCTGGTCGCTATACCGGCGTCGGGATGCACATTCAGCGAATGATCGTGTTCATGTCAATCGTCATGATCCCCGTCGGTGCTATTTGGCTGTGCTCCCACTGGATTCTGCCATTACTCGTTCCTCAGCGAAGCCTCGCTCTGAAAGCCGCCTCTTTCTTGCGGGTTAGCCTCGTCGGACTGCCTGGTTATGCATTCTTTGAGGCTGGTAAGAGGTTTCTTCAAGCGCAGGGGGAATTTGCTCCTGGAATGGTCATTCTCATTATTTGCGCTCCCGTCAATGCCTTTCTGAGTTGGTACTTTGCTGTCAAACTTGACATGGGCCTCGATGGCGCTGCTTTCGGCCAGGCTCTTGCTAATAACCTTCGACCTGCGCTTCTTCTGTTGTATGTCGTGTTCATTGGCAAGAAGTCTCACCGATGCTGGGGCGGCTGGGATAGCCGTGCTGCATTTGCGATTCGTGAATGGGGCCCCATGGTCCGTCTCTCTGTCGCAAGCACCGCCGTTAATCTTGCAGAGTGGCTCGCTTTTGAGATCCTCATGGTCAGCACCTCTTACCTTGGTACCCGTCATCTGGCTGCGCAAACAGTTCTCAACACGCTTTCCATTGTTACATGGCATATACCGTTCTCGATAAGTGTTGCAGTCACCACTCGCTTCGGTCATCTGGTTGGTGCTGGGGCACTCAAGGAAGCACGACGTGCTGCTATTTTATACTCTGGCGTCTTCACCGTGGTTGGTATCCTCGATGGCGCATTCCTCTACGTCTTGCGAAACCCGCTCGCAGACATGTTCTCCGACGACAGTACGGTCAGAGACCTTGCCACAGGATCAATGGTTGCTGTTGCATGCTTTCAGGTCATCGACTCAATCATCTGCGGCACCAACGGTGTGTTGAGAGGTCTGGCAAAGCAGTCTGTTGCTGCGTGGGTTGTCCTGGCAGTCAATTACCTTGCTGCCGTGCCATTTGCCATATGGCTGGAGCTAGGAAGCCCAAACCTCAAGCTCGACGGTCTTTGGATCGGTCTTGGAAGTGGTATGGTTATTATTGCGATTATTGAATGTGTGTATATGAAGTGGATTAGCTGGCAAGATTGCGTAAACGATGTGAAGGAGAGAGAGGATGACGGGACATAGAATGTCTGCGTAATGGCTCTGGATCTGGACTATAGACAAAAGTAAAGAATCTTTCATGGCTCTTTTCAGCCACGTATTTCAGCTGACCAGCACCCTTACATGTAAGAGAACCCAATCTCATAAGTTTACTCAAGCCAACATCGCTTCAATCACACTCTCAGAGCCTTTGTGATAGATTCCAGTGACTTTCAATCCTGCGTCATTGAGGAGCCGATGCCACTGACTTTCAGTTCGCTCGCGATTCACCAACATTCCCATCATCGTCCAGTCGAGGCTCGTCTGCTGCCAAGGAGCGCCGACATCTCGCAGAACAGTTTCATTGATGAGAAGTCGAGAGCGATCCTTGTCCATGGCATCTCGAAGGTGAGATAAGATGGTGGCACACTCTGCATCAGGCCAGTCGTGAAGAATCAGGCGCATGAAATATGCTTTTGCGCCTCTGTACTCGGCTGGTTGAGGAGTGAAGAAGTCGTGAGGGATGGCTTCAATAATCTCGGGAAGGTTACCAGATGATTTGGCTTCTTCTATGACTGCCTGGAGGTCTTGTAATACCAATCTTCCAAGGACCTTTTCTGAAGCCAAGCCTAGCAACTCATGACCAAGGCCACCACCAACATCAACCAACCAAGGAGCATTAGCATTGGTGTTTTCGCCCAGTCGTTCTTTATATGGATACACTTCAGTCCAACGAGGTCTTGCCTTAGCGTAACCAGCCATGAAACTGTTGAAAGCTTTTCCTAGACGAGCATTATCTCTGAGAATACTGAAGAAAGGGTTATCAGTTCTCAAGCCATATTGAACAGGAGAATGGTTGGCATCTTTGGGAACTTGATAGTTTGTCTGAGCCAGAAACTCAGGAAGACCTTGGAATGTTGGGATCATGCCTTCGAAGCTGTATATGAGGCCTCCCTCCATAGTTGGATCTCTGGTGGACATGGAGAATGGCGTTCCAACATACGAGTCTTGGCCGACTTCTTTGATAATGCCATTTGCAGCCAAATGCTTGAGAGCTCGAGCTATCACAGGATAATCAATCAGAACAACACCAACTACAGGAGAGACTGAACGAATACATACCAACCAATACAGGATCAGCTTTGGTACCAGCCGCCAACTGCTTACTGCTCTGAGGCTCTTGTCCAAGTTTCTGAAGTATCCCCAGATTAAAGAGCGTTCGAAAAGCAGCAGTCCGAGTTGGTTCGCCCCAGCCAATTCTCGCAAGTTGCTCTCCTGGGTTTTCAAGCTCTTGGATGAGAGCGCTGGCTGTAGCTATGATTTTCTGTCTGGAGGTTTCATCTCCTGTTTCTGTAAAGTGCTTGCCATCTATGGCTAGAGATTCTACAAGTGAAGCTGCCATAATGATGACTTGATAACAGACTCTGAAAGAGACAACATGAGAAGATTTCATTCCCCTCGGGTACATGAGTGCTTATTTATGTTATATGGAGTGGATAGGTAGGCAGCTACCGTAAGATCTGGTGATATTCATCACGGTTAGCGTCAGCTTACTGTAAGCCTCACACCATCATAAAGAGCAGTCATTCCTCATTACAGTTAGATCTTCACATAGTTCACGGATTTTCTTCCACCTAATACAGATCACTCTCTCAATACTGAAGTCGGCCAAATCACCTAACCCCACGACAACTGGCTTAGACGCTAGCCGTGATGAATATTACGAGAGATTGCGGTATTCCCTTGACACTGCCTGATTCACGTTTGTCATGATAAAAGCATTTTCATGAATAGGGACGATCACTACGTGAAGGATTCGGAAGAGCTAGCTACTGATAGTGCTTACTCATAAAGCTTGGAGGCTTGCATCCTACGGTCTGAGTGTTGGGAGAGCGAAGTAGTCTAATAATCATCAAAGCATAGCTTTTGTGTTTTCACATTTCGAATTTTCCTTCCTGGTCATGATGAATTTACAAGATCCGGAAAGTTTTTATGAGAACAAACCGGCCGTATATCAGTCAGTTAAACATGAAAGGGAAGAGTAGATACCACTGTGTACAAAGGAGGATGGTAGACGAACGTATTTATATTAATTACTCTAGCTTTCAAGTTCTTTTTCTTTTCTTTTTCTTTTAGGCTGGTACTAAAAGAAGGCCAAGTCCACAAGACAACAGATCGAACCGCTAAAAACGGGCAACATGAATTTCACAACGATAGAAATATGTTTTCTTTGCCCGCCGTCTGAGTTGGCTGCTTGATTTGCTGACATAGCGAGGCTCTGCTGAAATTCCATCTGGCTGCATAAGATCCTCGCCCAGAAGGTTATAACACCGTTCATCATAATATCTCAGCCCCCAGATTCTTTAGTCAAAGGACTCTAAGGGAAGTTCCGGCTTTTCACGGCTGTATCGAGACATTTCTTGGCTGTTGGTTAGGGATATGTCATTTGGCAGTGGTGATAAAATGGACTAATGATCATTTCAAGAGCCGAAAACTTCAAATAAAAGTCCTAAGTGACAAAAAAGATTAGAATATCTTAGGGTAGTTTATGATGAGCTTAGCTTGCTCTTTGACCAGTTTATTTTCTCACCTCACCCTGAGTCTTAAGTCTCCTGACGCCTGGAGGGCAAGTAATGGAATGTACATCAAGAGTCTGTGCGACTTGTTTATTGCTGTGAAACCATCCATGGACTAATTGTCCTTGCTATTTTTCAGGGCAAAATAATGACGATGCAAGGGCCGTTATTCCATTAAACTTGACGTTCAAGGGAGATGCTTGCTCTGATGTCATAGGTCACATTGGACCCTTATCTTGGAGAGATAACTAACATGGATGGAGGCACTTGGACCTGGGCACAGACAAATAACGGAACTTGACAATGATTTAATTGAAACTTTGGATCTTGAGGCGGTTAACGGAATTGCCAACTCATCAATTCAGCCTCAAGTAACACTGCAGTGAGTGTCACACAACCACAGCATATCACTCACTACGTGTAATGTTACTTGGTCAACACGCCAACATATGCACAAGACGTTAGACCTGCAGGGGCTGCAGCTAGTCAGGGGTAAAATGATCGTCTTTGCTGAATGATTCTCTGATCTGCTCTTGATTTAGAGGAATACATTCCAGTTGATCTGCAATAAACAGGCTTCATGCCTGTTGTTGTCCAGTTCGATATCGACGACCTACCCTGGATCGCATCTGGCATTCGTCATGGCTTGCGCTTGTCTCGCTTCACTCTCCCTTTCAATTCCGTTTAGCTCCTCCCTCGACGTGGCTTTGAAAGGTGGATCCTCTCCAAGGTCCCTGTCGGCCAGTTCATCGTCATCCTTGCCCAAACTTGATTGATTCACTCTCAAATGGACCCGTCATCACTGCCCACTTTTGCCAAATCAATTCTCCTCCACTTGGAGCTAAGCAAAGGGAAACACTTTACCTGCAGCAGCAGCAATTGGCCATGTCTCATCAAACGATGACCCTGTAGCTACTGTGCTACTGCAAACTCGTCTCGTCTCATATTTTCTCAGTCACGCACGACTCAGGAAGAATTCTTCTCCTTCTACTCCTTTCCCCTTTTCACCTCGTAACTTTGAGCCATGGCAATAGACTCCGAACGAGACGAGACCCAAGAGCCTGGTCAAGCACGAGGCCTAGGCCTGGCTCTGGGTTGGGCTGGAACTGTAAACTTGGCGATAATCCACGGAAGACCTTCCACTAAAACTTCGGCCTAGCCTCAGCTGCCAAAGAGACCGGATAGGGCGCTGGAACGGCCCCTGCCTTGAATCGCTAGCGCACGGGCTCGCACTGAACGCGCATCCCGTTAGGTCGTTTTCTCGATAAGGTCTACTTCGCTCTCAAGTATCGAGAAATCGACCACCGCAGCAACCGTGAGCATTGGCTATTCCCAACAAGGATTAACTCATCGGCAAGCGCCTGCGATGTGATAGCGTGGCGTCAGCAGACGGTTCGTGGCGCAGGCGGTCCCTCAAAGAGTTTGGTTGGATAAACCAAGGCCTCGACCCCATCGCGTCTCTCCTTCCCTGCTGGATCTCTGCTGTCTGAGTGGTCGGCATCCAAGAGGTACATGCCTTGGGCGTACTGATGCTCCTTCCATCAGCGAGTCGAGATTGGAAGACGAGTGAGGCGAAAAGGAAGGGGAACATGCAAGAAGGCGCGATTCATGATGCGCATGGTCGTTCTTACCAACCTGAAGTGAACCCCTTCTTGCCTTTCCAGTCCCTGGGTATTTTTGAATCAAAATATCTTGGGTTGTTCTATTTTTTGCTTCGTCTGCATCATTATATCGTCAAACGACTTTCCCAAACGACTCCACCTCCCAATTACGATCCGCGACCGATACGATACGACACGACTTCTGGGACTTTGTCGGATTAGGACCCATCTCCATCTCACAAGCTTGCGGAGAACCAGGGACCGCGGCCGCCCGTGCTACACTGCTACCGTACGGTTCAGGTTCAGTACGGACGGTACCATACCATACAATACCCACGTATTCGTACAAACTAGGATCTCTGAGCTCTCTCGCTTTCTCTCTTGTCTTTCTCTTTCTCATTTTACGCTCTTCGTGTCTGCTGCCAGAGCCTGGCAACAGTACTCGAATTAAACAAGCCACAGCATTTCTCGACCCTATCAATCATCGGCTTCTCAGAGCTTGTGGAACGTGGCTCATCTTGTCTCAGGCCCCGAGGTCTCACAGTCACTCGCTCGGATCTCTCTCTTATCTCCCGTCCGTCGTCCCCCCATTTGGCACTCACAGCCGTTTACCTGACTGGACTGGCTTGTCGTCACTCGTCGGCTCCGGAGGGTCCGCCCATCTCTCTCCATTCCCTCTCCAAACTCTCTGAGGGATTGACTTTTCCACGTCTGGTCGGTCGCTCAACGGACTTGTCGTCTCATCTTGACCTGTCACGCCAGGTCAGGTCACGTCTTTCTCTCTCCGGGCCGAGAGCACAGGACGTATTCAACTGACACACATACGCCCGATCACAATGGACTCGTACGTTGCCATCTTTTCCATCTTGAATTCTTGACTCAGGATACTTCCGTTCTCCGCACCCGCTTCCACCTTCTATTCTCGTTCCGTCACACATACTCTCCAGCCCGAACTCTATTACCAAACTTAACCACCACATCCTATCGGCTTTGAGCTTACGCGTTGTAGATTTATTCCAATGTCCGCCGCCGCCTCCGGTTGGGGTCAACCACTCGCGACAAAATCGCCAGCGTCTCGGCGGTCATTAGGTCATTTTCGATCTCTCTCCTCAATCGCAGCGACCCCTAGCTATCACCCTCGAACTCCTTCGCTCACTCCCGACCACACCCCGATTAAATCTTCCTCCTCGACACATCTACCGATTGTTTCACCGAACCCACCTGCAGACTTTGGAGATGAGATGAGCACAATACCCGACCCTCGAAGCCGTGCTATGAGCCCGGCCGATGATAGCGGTGTCGCGACTCCCAGTCATCACCCCGATCTAAATGACGAAGTCGCCACCCTCAGCAATAAGCTCATCAACGCTATAAATCACCAAACCATCCTAGACGACTCTTTATCCGCCGCTCGCCACGAACTTGATGCTGCGCGGGAGCGAATTCGCATGCTCGAGACTCAAAATGCCTCACAACGCGAAATGCTGGCTGGTGACGTATGGGTTCGCAAGCACACCGTTGAGGACGAAAAGAAGGTTTGGCAGGCCAAGGTTGCCGCGGAACGTCAAAAGCGACTTGACACAGAAATGGAAAAGAAGAAGATCGAGCAGGAGCTCGAGAATCTTACAGCTGCATTGTTCGAGGAAGCAAACAAGATGGTGATTGCCGCCAAGGAGGAGGCCAAGGCTGACCATGAGGCTCTTCAACGCAAGAATGACCAACTCAAGTCTCAGCTTGCCGATACTGAGAGCATTCTAAAATCTCAACAGGAGCAACTCGTCGAGCTCAAGCACGTTATGGAACATATGGCTTCAGAACGAGGAGATCATAATAACCCTACTGCTCCCTCTTCTCCCGGCTTGACGAAACCTGATACTCGTGATGATCTTCGATCTTCAACTGAGGAGCCTGCTGCTTCACTCTGGAGCGCTTCCGTCGAGCCTGCTCACCCGACAAGCTTCTCGCATCTTCTCCAACCCGTTCTGCGAACCGATTTGTCGTCATATGATGATTTTCTTATCCTCGCACGAACTTCTCGAAACCGCCCTGGCAGCCGCGTTTCTTCAGGTTCAGTAGGTGCTCTGAATGCTCTAACTGGCTTTGGACTTGGTGGCTCGATATCAAGCGCTCATCCCTCCAACGCCTCAACTACCTCACTTGGCACACCTATTGCTGGGGCTGGAAGTGCACCTCAGTCTCCAAACACCCCGGCCTCTACCGTCAGTGCTGCTTCAAACGCATCTGCTACTCCTTTGCCAAGCTTGAAGGAGACAAAGTTTTACAAGCGAGTTCTGGCTGAAGATATTGAGCCTACACTTCGTCTGGATATGGCTCCAGGCTTGTCATGGCTGGCTCGTCGATCTGTCATCGCCTCCATCGCTGACGGATCTCTGGTGGTTGAGCCCGTACCAACCACTGGCAGCCTTGTAGCACTGACAAAGCCGCAATTTTACCCATGTGCGCTCTGCGGTGATTCACGCAAGGACCCTCAGTATCTACGAAACCATCGATTCAGAACAAGTGAGACCGATTCTGCTCAACGGCATCCGTTGTGCAAGTACTGCCTGACTCGCGTACGGTCAACTTGTGACTTCTTGGGCTTCTTGCGTATGGTTAAGGATGGTCACTGGCGAGCGGACAATGAGGATCATGAGAAGGCTGCCTGGGAGGAGAGTGTGCGACTCAGGGAGCAGATGTTCTGGTCTCGCATTGGTGGTGGTGTCATTCCGTGCATCCCAGCGCCCCTCTCTGTTGATATGGAAAAGAGTCCGCGTAACAGCCATGACGGCAGTGTAAGGTCTGACCACCTCGAAGTTCCTGGCTTTCAAACACCACCGATGACGATAGAACGGACACGAAGCGATACAAGCAAGAGTGGCCCGATCGAAGAGCCACACACGCCTCCTATGCAAACTGATGGAGCAAGGAGTGTGCGCAGCTCCGTCCAGTCTCTTGATGTGAAGAGCAATTCTGGTTCGGAGGAAACGAAGCGACTATCTATCACAATCCCGACTACGGATTAAGAACTTAACATCCTTCAAAGCCCGCTGGAAGTCGATGATATCGACGCCACTGGACTTTGTGTACGACTATGTATACTATTTTGGGCTACAGGATCGCACGCATTGTTTTGGATTGCGCCCTTTCGGTGCTACTACTCTATGCGCTGGGGGAATCAATTATTATGAGCTCAGGGGGTGGTGATTGGCCCCTAATATTTCCTTTTTGAACGAATATGGTACGGAAATTGGATGGAAGGATGGATGGAAGCAAGCAATCATTTGGTCGTTTATGGACTGCGTGCGTACTTCTCAGATGGGATTTCATTGCTGGCGTTTGATGGAAATATGCGCATCATTCATTCCGGGTGGCGCAACGACATAGGAAATGGGCTTTTCTTTTTTGGAATGACGTACTTGTCCTTTGCTTTTTCTTGTTATCCCGAGCGTTCATGATTGGGTTGCTGATATTGTGCAACAAGAGCGCACAATACGCAGGCATGCATTGGCATTCTTACACAATAGATTACTCAAGGCCGTCAAGCATGCCCTCTGACGCTGCCATTAGTTGTAGTAGTAATAGATATGATACCAACTACAACAGACTTGTCCTTTGTGACACTCCCAGGTTTTCAACTTAACCTCTCAGGTTAATGTTCGCTCAACCAGCTTCTTGAAGCGTGCACCAATGATGTTGTGTCAGGAATATTACGGTCATCTTGCTGTTTCGTGGTCTCATTCTTCTCAACAAATTGGACAACACTCAAACTTGAACATGAAAATGTATTATCTGATAAATGTGTACATCGCTGCCAATCGCACCAATGTCACAATCTTACCCTCGATATAAGCCAACAAATGAGAGTACGTCATTGCTAGACGTTCTGGTTCTGGTTCTGGTTCCGCGTAACCTCGTCTCCTCCTTCTTTTTAGATGTTTTCTATAATATCTCACTTTCAGAACAAGACATCGCTTTCTCCTTTCCAGCCTGCTAATATCAGACCATCAGGGATTTTCCCATCCTCCCTCCATAAGTCGTAAGTGATAGAGTACATGATATTACATGAATTGTGGCGAGATTTGAATGAGGTCGGTTGTAGAGTAAAGGAAGGGTTATTAGTGACCTGGAAATGCTGCTGAGCGAGACGGAGGCCTAGGACACTCTACAGCTCTTCCTTAACGGTGGCATCCTGCTGGTTCTCACTGGCAGGCTTAGCCTTGGCCTCTTCAGCCTCCTTCTCACCGTCCTTGCTGGCAGCCACATCCTGAGGAGCGGCGGCACCTTCATCCTTACTCTGAACAGTCTCGCTGTTGACACCCTCGACATCGGGGTGAGGAGGAGCAACACCAGCGAGGTTCTGGTCCCAGCCCTCAGCAGGCTCTTGAACTTCGTTGCCCTGCTCATCAACAACGCGTGTCTTGGTCTCGTACTTGGTCTTGAACTCAACCTTGCCCTCAAGAGCCTTGACCTCCTCAGGGTCGAGAAGGTTACCATCCTGGTCACGGTACTCGACCTTCTCCTCCTTGGCAACGACTCTGTGCTCAACCTGGGCCTGATCAGGAGCAGGAGGAGCTCCAGAGATGACAGCCTCTTCCTGCTTCTGGGGGACAGGGGCCTCCTGCTTGGGCTCAACGCCCTTGGCTGCTGAGGTGGTAGGGACTACAGACGAGCTAATGGAGGGGACCTCGCTGTACTTGTCATACTGTGAATGATGTCAGCCAAGGTTCATATCTTCTCAGTGTTCGCCATGAAACTCACGCTATCATAAAAGGTGTTGCAGTCAAAGTCCCAACTGTTGAAAAGCTTCATGCGCTTGCAGTCGGCCTTGGTCCAAGGGCTTCCGTAGGCCAGAGGAGAGTAGAGCATGAAGACAGCGGTCGACAGGACAAGGAACGAGACAGTAGCAATGCGGTTGATCAAAGCGGTATCCCGGGCGCCAGCTCCAGGGATGCGGGCAGTGGCGTAGTCAAAGACCTGGCACAAAGCAATGATCGCAAAGTAGAGAGCAGGGAAATAGTGATGGAGGAAAAGTTGACGCTTCATCAGGTAGAAGGGGAAGTAATGCAAAGCCCAGCCGAGAACTGAAGTACCAATCTCGTAGTCGAATCGCTTGAAAGTGGTGTTGGAGTAATCGTTGCAGCTGCGCTGCCAGCGGAGAACAGCAATGGCCTTGAAGACGACCCAGATGGCGACGGCAACGCTGGAAGACCACCAGATGATGGGGTTTCCGAGGAGGTAAACCTGCTTATGCTGGCGACCCCAGAAGTTGATACCACGGCGGAGAATGGGCCACGACTCGGGGCGAGAATCCCAGGCGTGAGAGTCAGTGAGACCGGCGTTTGTTCGCCACATAACCTTCTGAAGCTCCCAGAACTTGCCAAAGAAACCAGGATTGCGATAGTTGACCTTCTCGACATCGCCTTGCAACTGGGGGTGAGAGTTGCCCTCGATATACCACAGACTGTTGGGAAGAGTTCCACCTCGGGCACATGTAACCTCCTGTTGTTCAGAGGCCCAATCGGGGAGCTTGACCTTGTGGGAGAACAGAACACAGCCAGTCATGACGTGAACAAGGCGGAACTTAGACTCAATGGTACGGAGACGTTCCTTTGCGACAGATCCATATGTCTTCTTCTTCACAATCTCGACACGGAAGAAATCATTGGCATCTCCTTCAAATCCTTCGTAACCGTAGGCAGAAACCTCGTTTTGCCAGTCAGCCTCAGTGATAGGGGGGCGAACATCATGAGAGTGAAGGCGGCGATGAGTGGGACCATGGTAAAGACGAAGGACGGTACCGTCGGTGATGTACTGAGGCTCAGGAAGGGCATCCCAGGCCTTGGTGCCGTTGATAGGCTGGCCATCGATTCCAAGAGGCTGAGTCTGGTTTTCAAGAAGCCACACGTTGTTGTCGTCCTTGTGAGGGTACAGGGTGATCTGTTGCTGCTTGCTACCGGTAGGGTACATGAGAGGATGAGAGTGGAGGTAGCCACCCTGAGTGTTGACATGGCGGATGGTGACACGGCTGCCCATGATGACATCGGCGGGGACATCCTTCATACGCTTGTTGTTGAGGGTGGCCTGGAACTCGGAGCTCATGAAGCCATCACCGTCACCAGGGTTCTTGAGGCAGACGAAGTGAATGGCGAACATGGCCATGTAGAAGGTGAGAGGAATGACGATAAGACAGAAGACACGAGCCATGAAGTGCTTAGTGAAAAGACGCTGTTCATCCGTTAGTAATAATGTTCATCTACCAATACTTGATCGAGTGCTTACCATGGACACGTTCTTGTTGTCACCAAGAAGGACCCAGAGTTGAAGAAGAGTGAGGGAGCCAACCCAAGCAATGGTGAAGAGTCCAACCCACTTGATGCTGACGGTGATACCCAGACCAAGGCCAGTAAGAACAAGCCAGAACCACCAGCTCAGTTGGAAGGCCTTGGAAGGGCCAAGCTCGTGCTGGTTGGTGAAGCAAGAAAAGGCGAGGACGGTGAAAGCGGTCGCGGCGACAAGGGGCGAATCGAGGAGGATGAGACGAGCCTGGGTAAGAAGACCGTTCTCTGCAGATAGTTAGCAACAGTCTCACCAAGTCAGTTAAAGGGCCAAGAGAGATACGAACCGAAAATGATCAGGCCAGCTCCCATGGTAGCAGTCATTGTGCGGCAACCGACAGCCTTCAGAGTGAAGAACATGCAGGGAACCAAGAGAATACCGCAGATAGCAGGGAACATTCGCATCGCAACATAGGGAACACCAGGTTCAATGTAGTCCTTGCCGATCTCCTTGAAGTCGAAGCTTCCGTCGAAACCAGCGAGCCATCCGGTAAGGGCAATAAGCATCTTGGCCAGAGGAGGGTGAACGTCCATGAAGAACTTGCCCTTGATATACTTTGTAGCAAAACCACCGAAACTGTTGATATATGAGTTAGCGCATTGATGGACGACACGGGCATGGAAGCTGCAACAGAGCTTCAGCTGGCTGGGGGGACGCACTGGACCTCGTCGAAGACAACGCTGGTGGGCTGATAGATTTTATACACGCGAACAATGGTAGCAACGAGGATGAGGGCCAGGGCTACCCAGTAGTCGGAGACGGGAAGGAGGAAGACATCGTTGTCCTCAACACCGTCGGACTTGTACGAAGTATTCTTGGTGTTCTTATTCTTGGGCTTGGACTTGGTGGTGACAGCAGTGGTCTGGGGCTGAGGAGGAGGAGCTGCAAAAGGTTGCTGCTTCTCGGTCACAGGCGTCGGGGCCTTGACTGGCGGTTGGGGACTCTTGCCCCTCGTACGAGCCATGGTAATCGAGTATCAATATAGAATTCGAGTCGATTCGATCTCTAGGGGACGTTGTGTCCAAATCGTTCGTTCGAAGTAACGAGAGTTGACGAAGAAGAGCTATAACAGAAACCGGGAGGATCTAGAGATGCCTCATCGATGGCCGATTCTGGGACAAACAGAAAGTGAACAAGAATAGAAAAGGAAGAGAAAAAAGAACCCAAAACTCAATCGCAGACCGCCGTTGTGATACGGGTATCAACGGACGATAGGCGATGTAAGAAAGCCTGGGGGGAAGAATGGATGTTGGGCGATAGTTTGCAAGGAGTAAGAAAATAAAAAGGAACGGGAAGTGGAAAAAAGAGGGATGATGAAGCTTCAGGGGATATTTAGCACCACCTCAGCTAGCAGTTAGTTACCTTAGTTGCCTTATGCGGGCTGAGACTGCAACTATAAATGGTGATGGGTAATTGATGGTTGCAGTACGATACGAGCAGTCGCGTCCAGCGACGTACCCGTTTCCTTCCAGGTCAGGTCCTCTCTCAAAAATTTGTAGCTACAGTGGCCTTTTCGGTTCGTTCCTGTCTCTGACGGTCTGAGCTCTAACTGGACATGTCAGCGTCAGCCCAGTGGATGCTCTCCCTAACATCCCTTTACCCCTGCAGCGAATCAAACCCGGCCCCGGCCGTGAAGATCCCCTGGCGTCCCCGCAGCGCTAGGCTCAGAACAGAGCTTCAGCAGGCGCCATTAGACCTATGAATATCGGCCATTGGCGATAGCTCTTGAGGGTTGCTCGACTGGTTTCAGCTCCCGCAAACGTGTTTGGCATTCGATATCTACAATGGCTTGTCAAGAGGCTTCTGTAAGTGAATCATGACTGCATTGTTTACGACTCCAGGCCTCTCTATCTTATCTCTATATCAGAAACAATACAGTACCTCGAGATATCTGGTAGATGTGGCTACTGCAGCCACACAGGGGCCGGCTCCCTCGAATGTGGCTCCAGCTCCAAACAAAACGACACTAAACATTCAGGTACACGGACAACTTAACCCCTTTTCTGCCCTTGATCTCCAAATTGCTACGTACTACTTGAAACACGCGTTCTAGACCATGAAGCTTTTCCTTCTACGTTATCGTGTCGTGTTTATTACCGTGGGGGTAGGCAATCCAACCAACTAGGTATAGGGTATCTCAATTCGACCTCAGCATATACCGTACTCATAATAACATCATTGACTTTTGTTCAGCCCAACCCCAGACAAAACTATAAGTCATGTCGACCCCGAGATTGCAAATAATCTGCCCATTGTCGAAATCCAGCAATCCAATGCGGAACGCCCTCGGGTTTTGCCAACTCATTCAGTGACGCCCTGCGAGGAGATTCTCGTGTCAACCAATTGTGACCTTGGGCATCCAACACGTCAGCCATTGATGCAGATATGATAGTATGTACCTGTCCATCGACCAAAGAAAACTCTTGAAGGGCCTGCATCGCCTCACTCCATCGCGATAATGCAACCTCGAAATCCGATCTGATATGCGACAGCTTTGCCAAGATGACATATACCCGCAGTCTCTCGTACTTCAGAAGACTAGCCCGTGACTCGATGTCGACGCATATCTTCTCTGCCTCTTCATAGCGTTCCTGAGCGAAGAGAGCCTCCGATAAAGCCAGTTCCAGAAGCGATTTGCCAGTCAAAGGGTCAGGCCGCTCTGTGCGCCGAATGATCTCAGTGCGAAGATAATCTTCACCGGTCATAGGCTCGTCAAGTTCTCTCAAAGCATCGGCTAAATCGCATGTCAGATCTCGAAGATCCTCATCAAAGACGAGCTGACTCGGTTTCTGCGACATTTCGTGTGCTATCCCCAGCAGTCTTAGAGATTCATCGAAATTGCCCTGCAATCGCATAACTCTGCCCAGCAATGAATGTTTACGGAAGCTGAGGACCTCTTCCAGAGGCGATGGAACATCTCCATGGGGATTCCAATCTTCCAATAACTTCTGCGCTGTGGACAAGTCCGCCACCTGGATTGAGTTTAGGGAACGTTGGATGATAGCGACCCCAACCTCACAACGTATGCGTTTATTCACAGCGGCAGCCGGGTCGTTGGATATGAAGTCCTGAAGACTTTCTGTCGCCTCATCCATGTTTCCACTGAGACGTCCCAAGACTGCTTTGGTTTGGCCAATGCAGAGCCGAAGGTGCGTATCTTTCAAACGTCCAGCGGCCAATTCTGCTTGGCCAATTGCAAAATACTTCCACGCCATGTCTGGGAACCGGAAAGCTTCAATGAGTGTGAGCATGAAGTCAGTTCTCGTGGCTGTAGGCAACTCATCGAAACAGTCGTGGAACGCCTCAGCAACATGGTGTAGATGTGGTAAGAATGATTTGACCACAGGTTCTCTTGTGTAGTGTCAGCGGTTCAAGCTCGCTGGATGTCGATTTCAGACTCACGGGAACTCGATGTACTTCCAGGGTATGGCTCTATAGGCCACAATCAAGGTCTGCTGTCGCCAGAACGGGAGTGCATCTGGAGCAAGGCTTCGATGGACTCGCGCTGACATATCTTCATTCAAGTGATACGTCTCATCTGGATATTTGAGCACAGCTGCCAATTGACATAGTTCACGAAAGGCTCGTGTAAGTCTTTGGTCATCTGCTAGTATGTCGACCAACCACGGGACCAGGCCAACATTGGTCGCATCGACAAGCTCAATTTCTCCCTCGATTGTCCATCGTTTTCGAGGTGTTGACCCCCGTGTAAATAGTTCCAGGGGAATTTTCTCGCAGGGTGAAAAGAATGAGAGGAAGACTAATAAGACACTGGCATCTTCAGACCGGGTGGAGCTCTCATCAAACAGAGACTGAGAAGCAGCCTCAAGGGCAGAGTTTCTCCATTCTGTCAACTCCATCGATAATGGCTTATATGAGATTCAAAGCTGCACTGAGGAATTATCTCGGCATCTCATGGAGAAGAGGAGGGATTTATGCGACAGCTGTGTCGACGACGGAGAAGCTTTACACCGAGAGTCGACTCCAGTTTTGCGTGTTTTACTTTTTCCCACTGGAAGAAGCCCTTTGGTATTTAACCAGACCTTGTCTTCAACGAGGCTATTGATAAGACCCCCCGAGAGACTTGACAGGTCTGGACTCTGGATCGCGGTTTTGAATGCCGAATACCGGTGGTGTGTTGAAAGATACTATGCCAGCCTGGGGTTGAAGGTCGGGGAAAACGGCGAATGCTCCGTGGTAGCTGATAAACGTCATTTAGGGTATTGCGGGGTATCCAGATTCAGATGCAGATGCTAACCGATATTGTGCGTGGAGTTGTGGAAGTAATCCGAAGTAACACGATAAGCCAGAGATTGGCATGTCAAGTTGATGGCTTATGTCTCATCATGACCTAAAGCGGTAGCCCTTGAAGGTTTGAGATAGCCACTAAGGTAACTAGCCGTTGAAGAATCTAATTATGGGAGAAACCTGTCACGGATAGGAGCAGATTATATTCAGACCCTTCCTGCAGAAGCGAGTGTCTACTCTCCGGACCGTGCGAGTCACCAATGCTTGTAATTCAGGATATAACCAATTAACATCATGAGATGGTTGGCCAATAGTATCGGCATCTCAATGTTCAATCAAGCCACAGAAGCTCATGTACATTAACTGACTGTTCAAGTGTAGTTCCAGGCAGTTTACACCGGATATAGTATTTGTTAACCTAGCTTATTAAAGACTGAGAGAAGCATAGTATCTTCTCTAACGAAGAAATTGCTGTAATGGACATTGTCATTTCGTAAGTCAAATGAGTGACTGAGACTGTTTAGTACAATGCTCTAGCCCTAGAGTGCCTATCAGATTAGAAAAGGATAGAGAATAGGGGTTCCAGAGCCGTCATTTACTAGAATAGCACAGTTTATTAATTATCATGAAAGCAGAGACTTACAAGCAGGTGAAAATAAAGTTGTCGTCAAAGTCGAGGTGATCGCGGGTAGGAACCTGAAACTCCCCGGAACAATGATTCGCCGATCACAGCTTCGCGTCGCCAGAACACCTCGAAATTTCCAAAGTCGCCTGCCTTCCACCCGCAGCTCCATCAGCCTTTTCCCCTTCCTCAGCGCGTTCTCCTCACAATGGCAGCCGTAACAACCAACGGCGATGCCGCGGCAAATATTCTCGACGATATCAAACCTCCCGCTGGAGTAGTCCTTCCTCCTCGCGAGATCCGAAATGTTCTTGAAAAGACAGCCGGTTACGTAGCGCGAAACGGTGCTGTCTTCGAAGATCGCATTCGCGAAAAGGAGCGATCAAACCCGAAGTTCAGCTTTCTTAACCCTTCCGATGCCTACCATCCCTTCTACGAATGGCGACTCGATGAGGTGAGGAGTGGACGTGGTACAGCGATCGCTGCTGGTCGCGTGGGTGAACCTGCGGCCGAGGCTCCTAAGCCTCAGGGACCCCCGAAGCCTGCCGATTACCAATTCTCCGCGCGAACACCTCGCATCAACCGAAAGGATCTGGATGTGATTCAACTATCGGCTCTCTTTGTAGCCAAGAACGGGCGGCAGTTTATGACACAGTTGGCTCAGCGCGAAGCTGGTAACCCACAATTCGGCTTCCTCATCCCTAACCACACTCTCCACAACTTCTTCCAGCATATTATCGACCAATACACAACATTATTACGTGCAAGCGGTCTCGGCGGAGAAGGCGGAAAGCTTCAAGAAGAGCGCATAAAGGAGCTCGAAGCCAACATCAATGATAAGTTCCTTGTGTTGAACCGCGCCAAGCAACGAGCCGAATATGCCAAATATGTCGAGTCGGAACGACAGAAGAAGGAGGAGGAAGAGGTTAAGGCGAAGGAGGAGTTTGCAATGATCGACTGGGGCGACTTCGTTGTTGTCGAGACCATCACTTTCAATGAGGCCGACGAGCACGCCAACCTTCCACCTCCTACAAACCTGTCCGATCTCCAGTACGCTTCCCTCGAAGACCGCAACAATGCATCCATTAGCGCCAGCCTTCGAATTGAGGAAGCCATGCCCGACGAAGACACCTCCTACAACGCATACCCCAATCAACCCGCCCCCTATCCGATCGCCCCTCAACAGCCAGCCTACCAACCCGCTCAGATGCCTCCTCCTGTGCAGCCATACTCTCCTGCTCCACAAGCGCAACCACAGCAACCGCAGCGATCAACCCAGGAGGAAGAAGAGGAGCGCCGTATACAGGAACGCGCAGAGCAACAAGCACGAAAGCAGCAGGCTACTACTGAAGCACGTGGTGGTGCTCCCCCGATGAAGATCAAGGAGAACTACGTACCTCGTGCCGCACAGAAGGCTGCCAACAGACAGGGTGCGCAGACAGCGCTGTGCCCCAACTGTAAACAGCAGATTCCCATGAATGAGCTCGAGGCTCATATGCGAAGTAAGTGCTCCGTCATAACATTTCATTCAGTCAGAATACTAACATACTTTCAGTTGAACTTCTTGATCCTCGCTGGAAGGAACAGAAGGCTAAGGCGGACACGCGCTATGCATCCTCCAATACGATACATGTCGATGTCGCCAACAACCTCAAGCGACTTGCCAGCCAACGCAGCGACGTTTTCGATCCTGTCACTGGACAGGCCATTTCTGAGGATGAGCTAGCGCGCAGAAAGAAGGCTGCCATCCACAGCTACGATGGCGCCATGGATGCCAAGAGCCAAGCACAGCTGGGCCATATGCAGAATGTTAACGTCGAAGATCAGATCCGCGCTATTCACCAAAAGTTCGCTGACAAGAAGTGAGGAACTCGGTTGATGGGCAGATCGTACCCCCGCTCGGAGACGACGAAGAAAAGAATAGGCCAACCATCAAGGGAGCATGTCGTTCTTGTGTACACGGATCATGTGTAAAACTACATGTCGCGGTAGGCGTTGTAGGTTGAGGCCCAAGGTGAGGCACATCTGGCGTATGGCGTTTCGTTAATCATATGGGCTTATACTTGTTTGATGCAGCTCAGTTTTTGCACGAGAGTTTTGGAGATGCCGATTCGAGAATGTCTGGAGTAGTAGATTGGCTGAGAATTGGGTGAATGGATGGCTGCCAGGAGATGAATGGAAACGTACATCTTCAACTACGGCCGTATCATGTCATGTCGCAAGACAGACAAATAGACGGTTGACCATGCTCATGATGGGCAAATGCTTGAATCAGACGTAAAGATGTCCCGCGTCAATGCAGCTTGGATCGATATATAATGAAGCATTCTAGACTGTTGCTCGAGTGCCATCCGATGCTCTCAAAGAGCACCTCGGACCCCTATTGCTTGAATATATAACAATATCATCAATTCTTCCGCAATATTCAATACTCACAAGCCAAATCAAATGAATTAATGTTGTCTCAGAAATATAGCAGCCACTATATTTAGGTCTTGTCTCTATTTATTGGTTGGATATCTCCGTCTTGACTTGTACGATGCAATGTCGTAACGCTCATGGTTACACAAACAAATCATCAATCAACAGAACGGAGTCCGAGTGACCCGAATCAGGCTTTAATACCCGTTATTCGTTGAACGATTATATCACTGACCAAGGAAATGCAGAAGAGGAAAAGAAAGAAAGAGGTACTTTTGATTATCCTGGTCCTCCACCAATTGCTCAAGTACCCCGCCCTGTCTTGTCCTGTCCCGCACCTCCACTTTCTTCCACTCTCTTCCACTTCCACTTCCACCTCCGACCTCATTCATCTCATGCGACAGCGTTAACTGGAGTGAACATCACTCTCTCCGCTCTACACTACACAACATCACCACCAACCTCACCTCTTCCTTGCGCCAATAGCCGACTACGACCTACAACTTTAGCTCTTTGTATCCGTATCTATCTTAACAACTAAACTCACTATAACATCGCCAAACATGGCGTCCGATCAGGACAACTCCGGCCTCGATGCGCCCGGCTCACAATTCCACCGACCAATCTTGCAATCTATGCCCGATACGCGACAGCAGAGCTTTGACGAGATCTACGGTCCTCCCGAGAACTTTCTAGAGATTGAGGTGCGCTCTCTTCTCCCTCATGCGCCATATCCGCAACCCCATACCGTCAGACGGACAAGAGATACACGCGGGAAATGCTAAAAAGCGCCATATATAGGTCCGCAACCCAAGAACACACGGCATGGGCCGTCACATGTACACAGACTACGAAATCCTCTGCCGCACAAACATCCCCGCCTTCAAGCTCCGCCAGAGCAGCGTCCGTCGTCGATACTCTGACTTCGAGTACTTTCGCGACATTCTCGAGCGCGAGAGCGCCCGCGTCACTATCCCTCCTCTGCCCGGAAAGGTCTTCACCAACCGCTTCAGCGACGATGTTATCGAAGGTCGTCGCGCAGGCCTCGAGAAGTTCCTCAAGATCGTCGTCGGTCATCCCCTCCTGCAGACGGGGAGCAAGGTCCTGGCTGCCTTTGTTCAGGGTGAGTTTGTTGCTATGTCTATCTTTGCTATCATGATGTCTAGGTTGACACAAAATCGCAGACCCTAACTGGGATCGCAACGCTTGGTGACGCCTCCGCCTGATCTGGCCATTCAAAGCCATGTCTTCTTCCCGCTCTCGCTCTCCATCTCCAACTTCAGCTCCGCGCCAACCTCGAAAGCTCCGTAAGCGAAATCCGGCTCTCAACCAGCGAGACGCCCTTCTCGACAACATGCCCTCCCCATGACTACATCAGAAACATCAAGGAAACGAAAAGAAACGAAAGGAGAGGGTGGAATTGGCGTTCCTCTTCACGTACATATTATTCCCTTTTTGTTTCATATGGGAAAAGCAAACTTTGGTCCAGTCATTATGTTTTCAGTCCTCCAAAGCTGTTCTTTCAACTTGCATCCCATCCCACATTCGAAGTTCTGGGACTCCCTTCTCTGGCTTGGGGCGTTGATGGACTGATGGGTTATCTTGTATCCATATGATCTACTCTGAATAACAAGAGTGATTCGACTCATGAGACCCAGACTCTTGAAGTTAAAGCGCACTCTTTAGGACATTAAGGCAAAGTCAGCGAAGTGATTTGATATTTAGTCGTATTGGCTTCTTTTTAGCATTCCATAGAGACAGAGTTCTCTCATCTCCAGAATGCGCACACGCTTATGACGGTACGGTCAATGTGTGATGATATCCAGAAAATAGAGGCGCCTCTCCTATTATACATAATTTCGTACATGACCTTTATGTGAGCATGAGCATGAGCATAACCATGAGTGCAGGTGTTTTACATCTCCCTTCTAAAGATCCATCCACTCGCCAAACGCCGAAAATAAACACGCCTTAACCACGCCATCTCCCCTTTTGTTAGATTCTCGTGATTCTTCCTGTCCCAGCTTCGTTGGAAGACCTTAGGTGTTGTACAGTGATACAAGAGCGAGTAGTGTTTGTAAAGCTTTCAAAGCTTCATAGCGACTCGTGTCGGATAGTGTTACATGATATCGATGAGCGGATATCAGTTCCAGGTATGGCCCTAGTACTCGATCGCTTTGTGTCGATTCGGTGCGTTACTCATTTGTCTCCATGATTTACGCGGGTGTGTGGAACAGCCGGAGGATGCCTTCATACATAGCAAACATGATGGCGGCGCTGGGAACTGTTCGCATCAAGTGAGGAGTCAGACCGCCATATAGACCCATGACACCCTCTTCAAGCCAGACAAGCTTAAAGCATTGAACAAGGCCGGTATACTTGGGCAGTCCATTCTCCATAGGCGCTTGTCGCAGTCGTGTTCGGGCGACCTATTTCACCATCGTTAGTATCCCGTTAAGATCCAATGTCCCAAACTGATGACGTACCTCATGGGGATAGGCGATAACGGCAGCGACCAGCTTGGCGCTTCCAGCAGCGAAACCCTTTCCAGTCCAGTCGACAGTGTTATCCCACCAAGTAAGCTCACGACCACTGCGAACAATCTTGTTGTGTCTGCGAGCTAGGGATGCCTTCATTTGCTCGTAGAGCATCCATTGCATCGTTGACTCCACCACGCCGAGGTAACTAGCGCTCATGCCACGGTAGAGACTGCGGATGCCTTCGTCCCGGATGATTTGACGTATACAGTCGTAGCTGTTGCGATATTTGCGCATTTGCGCACTGCCAGCTGCAACATTCTTATCCAGCTGTAGACGAGTCTTGATCATCCAAATAGGGTTTGTAGCCGTTGAGGTGATGACACCGGCTGCTACACCAGCCGATAGATGGACCCAAGGAGCTTCTACGCCGTTGTTGAAATGCTCAGATATTAAGCGCTTTCCATTGCCGTAGACATAAAAGTTGATGGATCGAGCTGGTACAACTCCAACTGAGGTGGGGCCAAGACCCTTGAAGAGTGCTCGCCAACCCTCATTCCTGTAGACTGAGCCAAGAATCTGAAGTGTGTCGTTGAGGTGATATAAAGCGGCTCGGGCAGGGTTTAGTCGGCCAATGACTTGGGCTTGAGCTTCGCGCTGAGCTCGGATCTGGGCCTGGTAAAAGTCGGATTGCAATCGGGTCTTTAGCACATCGAGGGGAGCTGTAACAGCAGCGGCAGTCATTCCTCCAACACTATAGATCACAATCAAGTTAGTCTCGTAGTTCCCCGCAAATTAGTCTTACGATAAGTCGTCGCAAGCCAGTTGGGGATCGCATAGAGGTTCACCTACCCGCCAGCAAACATGTGAACCCATGATTTAGCAAAGGGCAATGCCTTGACATTGCCCTGGATGGGGGTATCATCGGGAAGTACATCGCCAGTCTCCCGGGACTGGATGAGCGCCGAGTGATCGATTGGTACATGGGAATGATGGAATGGTTTCTCGTCGTGGCTCGACATGATGTGCGATGTAGGCTGATGGTGTGACATGGTGAGGCGGAGCTGTCAAGTGTAAAGTAAGAGGGGGCTCTTGATCTTCGTCAATGTTGGTTGTTCTGTTGCCTTTACTAGTTCCTTTAGTCGATTCGTCGTTAAATTTCGACTTTGCGCGGGACCGTCGGGGGACAAGAGCGACCTGCAGTGCAGCTTGTCGATGCCGTATAATTAAGAGGGCAGGTGTAGTGCGATCATCAATGAGTGATAGACAAGGGCCCAGTCGCCAAGTAGTGATGAAGAAGAGGAATCGCCTCTGGTGATTGAGAAAGATGGAGAATCTTTTCATGAATCAGCGAAGCAGTAGCAGTGGCAGTGGCAGTAGCGGTAGAGTAGGTCATTGGTGCCTTATCTAATCGCCTCCTGCCAAAACTTTTTTTCTATGACTGCCACTGGATGAATGAGATGCGTCTCGATCCGCAAAGTGGCGCTGGCGGGTCTTCAAGATACGTATTTATTCGACAGCAAGTGCCTTATATGTGGGTCTGAGGCTACATAAAGGCGATTAAAGCCAAGATAAAAAAACACCAAACACAAACAATGGCAATGCTTGAATGCGATGAGATGATTAAACAAGATTTTAAATGTCTTTATATTCATTATACTCATAAAACGTTGACTTCTTCCCGCACACTCTCTTCCTTGTCATCTCATCTCCGTGCGTTGACTCTGACAAGTCGGTACTTTCATGCGTAAAACGCCAGCGGGGCTATTCTGACTGATGCAGTATCAGCTTGTTGAAGGATTCAACGAACCATCACTGCCCCTATACGTACTGTTCGAAGGTGTTGCCAGCGAACTCGCCAACCCCGTGGCGTTTGCTCCAGGTGCTAAGGTTTCGACCGAATGGTTGCTGTGATCCGACCTGGCTGATTGCCCCATTCCAAAAGGGAGTCGATGTCGTTCTGCACTCAGATCGAATCGATGCATTGACGCAGTCGACGGCTCCATTGTACTGGGAAGATGTCCGTTGTCCCGACTAGGAGGCCTCGAGCCCTCATCCGTACCGTATGTTCCTGGTGTTCTATCCCCCGACGTCCTGCCTGCTTCCTGCCGCTCTCCAAGTCGACTTGAACGTCCGTCTTTAGGTTCTAAAGTGTCAGGACCTCGTCCACTGTCTGATTGCCCATCAACATCCATTTCATCCCTGAGACCCATGTCTCGCTTAAGTTGCCGGAACTCGTCATCTGTGACTGTTTTCCAGCTGCATTTTGCATGCTTTTTGGTGCATCCTGAACATGCTGTCAAATGTTTAACACATTCAACCCTTAGTCGCCGACAGCGATCACACGGTGGGTTGATCACATCTCCTTTACCCAGCTGGTCAGTCCTTTGTGTAATAAGGGATCGGAAAGCTGCCTCGCGGCTGTCCATAACAGGCTGCACCGTTGTCTCTGCTGTATGGCCACCATACCTCGGGCCGTGCGCTTGAGAGTGGGTTGTGCTGTGCGATGGAGATGGTTGGCTCAAAGTGGTTATAGGGATTCCTGTAACTGAAGTTGACCGAGATGGTGGTGGTGAAGCTGAAGCTGCGAGAAACTGCTGCAACAAATCTGCATGTAAATCATAACCGGCGCTAAAGTTGGCCGTTCTCTGTGAACTGTTACTGCTGGTGCTGTTAGGGGGTTGGTATCGTGACGGCGGTGTGTCCTGTGTGCTCCTGCGTCGACGAATATCCTGCTTCCTCTGCCCTAGCCGATGGTTGAGAATACGGGCTCTTGCCGCCACTTCGTCAGCCTTCTTGTATAGAATTGATGTTCTTTGTTCGAGAATATCCAATGTCGCTAGCTCTGCCGTCTCATCCTCTTCAAGGGGGTGATCAAGGGGGAAACGATCTAAAGCGCCAGACCATACCAAACGCCAATCGTCCTCCATAATCTCCACCTGTGAGCCTTTGAGAACAAACTGACAACATCGGGAGCCATCCGCTTTTTGAACGAGTGTAAAATCCTTGGGGTTTGATCTCGCAAAATTGACAACATCCAGCCAGCTTATGGGGTTGGAGAATGGCTGAAGTGGTGTCGTCTTGATTGGTCCATCGAAAAACTTCTCAATGCCTCTCAAGAGTCTTGGGCCGGTAAGTTTAGCCCCAAGACTTGCGGCAAGACTCTCATGCCTGTCTAACACGCCTGATGCATGTCAGTAAATGGATTTACATTAAAGGTTCAACAATTCTCTTGGCATCCTTACTCTCATATTCACCAATCAGACCGATAATGTCGGCAAATGTGTCTGCGTCACCTTGTACGAGGCTCAAATGTGATGCATTTGATCTCGGGAGATAGTGGATATAACCGGGAACGCCTTTGAGGTTGGGTTAGCATATCCTCCAAGCGAACAAGCCGTGCCAGCGCACCAAGACAGAAAGCCGGATACAAAAGCAACAAGCATGTGCGTCCCTGGAGGAGTCGAGCTAAACGCTACGTCCGGCGAGGGGTCAAACCAAGACCATCGGCTTTTCAAGTACCGTCTCGTTTGCGCGTGCCATCAGGCGACGACATGCATTGAAGAATGTAGGAGACACGAGGACACATGCAAGTGTGCTATGACAACGAGATCAAGGCAAACAAGACAGTCTCGTATGTGGTGCTACAAATGAAACGTCTCAGGATTTGAGGCGACACAATATGGTGCAGCCTTTGACGGCTGTTGACATACTAGACATACCTTGCTGAAGAGATGTAGGTGCGTGCTGAGCGCGACCTTGACCACCGGCATCATCGACATCACGCTTTCGTTTTGCAGGTTCCGAGTCGGAAGTATGGCCCATGATGGGTGATTGATGTGTGTAAATGCGGTATGTTGGTCAAAGGGCCAAGACTGATAGACGAGCTTGGATGCCAGGCCAGCCGTGTGACAGAATGAGGCGCTTACGCTTGACCAACAAACGTCCTAGCCGAGATTGAACCCTGAAATGCTCTGTGAAGCGGACAGATCTGCCTGGATTGCGTTGAAAAGTGGACAGAATAGGGAGATATCAAAGCTTGTATGAGAGATTTGACGGTAGGACGAATTAGAGTCAGGTGGGTGGCAACGTCGCGAAGGGATTGCGACGGGGTTTTCAGTTGATTGATTGACTGAGAGGAGAGAAGAGAGAGGAGGGACAACAACAGCGGTTATTGGATATTCATGGCGACGGAGTGAAGCCAGAATAAGTTGACGATGAATTGAGAGGATATGTCGATTTTGTAGTATTAGAAAGTCCGTCCCCCCAGATATGCAGGTAAATGGGTGCCAAGAGGAGAACAATTGTTGATTCCCCGTGGAGCAGGCTCAATTTTATTCCAGCACAGAAAATCCCTCGCGCAAAATAACGCACCGAGCTACGACGGGTAACGTTGGAGTCCAAGTGGGTGAAGAGGAGCTTCAAGAGTGAGAAAAAGGGAGATTGAAAGGGTTCAAATATTGGACGGGCTGGGGGAGAAGCACAAGGAAATGCGGAAAAGAGAGCCTTGGAGCAAGAAGAAAGTGCCGGGGAATCGGGACCATGTGGGGGAAAGTGCAGCGGAAGGAGTGCGAGGCCGAATGTAAGAACGGTCGAGTTAATTGGAATGGATATGAATGGAAGGTACGCCAACACCAAAATCTCCGACATATAGCGCCTAAAAAGGACGACGATAGTTGATAATTTCTTTGAGGACGAAAGATTATTGAAAAGTTCAAAGAAAAGAAGTAATGAGGTAGGCCAAGAGGATTTAAAGACAAAGGGCGGTAGAAGCAGCAACCAATTCGAAACTGACAGACACAAATGCCATGGTGATGCCCTATTAATGCATGGCATCAATTGCAACCACTGCCAGCCGCCCAGACGTACAACTAACGGCGGGCGAGCGGGCTCAAGGCCCAATGCTAATGTAGCTTGATTTCCTTTTTTGGACAGTTCATGATGGATATTAAGAGGCCTCCTCCTGATGAGCCAAGTATATGCCAAAAAACAACTCATAGTCATACAATTACTGTCGCATATCAGTCCTGTTAATCTGTACATAGGCGCCTTTATGCATGTCCCAGCGCGGGATCTTTGTATGAGGCTGTGCTGCTGCATATCCTAAGGTAGCTTGCACGGATGGAGGGAGTGATGATTTACAGGCGGTAAACAAGAAAAGAGACAAGCTCAAGCTGCATGGATCTAGTTTCAAGTCAGATGAGTGAGGCAATATCACTGGCGCTGCATCATCCCGCTCAAGCTGAAGGGGATGCTTGCTCGTCGATCTGCTACTACAATTTGCAACGCTGGTCTCCGAGGCACGCGAGCGATATTTCGTGTTCTTGTACTTCCGTCCATTATAGAGGCAGTCCAATAGTATCACGCTCGGTATTGCGGCACTGAAAGTCGGTAAGTGACCATCACTAATCGACAAAGCTCTGCTGCAATTTGTTAGACTTGTTTCTGATGATCAGTGTCTTTCCTGCAGTTGGTGGATGATTACGCGGTGTGAGTTATGATTATCGTATTCACATGAAGAAGTGTTGCTGTATTAACTTCCGACCACTTATTGGCCGAGTCGTATGTATCAAGCTCAAATCAAGCTCTGTTCTCTCAATCCACTCTCACACCAATCTCACACATACTTCCCCACACACAGCCCAAATCCACACGCATGAACCACCGTAATCAGATTAGCACCACTCACCCCACCAAAGCCATCACAAGTTCCAACTTCAACCCAAACCCCAAGCTCACCACCAATATCACACCTCATCTCCTCAACCCAGCCCCCCAAGATACGCCATGTCCGATAGACCCTCGCACCGAGGCGGCCGCGGTGGCCAAGGATCGCATCCCCGAGGTGGACGCGGAGGCGGTCGTGGAGGAGGCGGCGCGGGAGGCGCGCAGCAGGAGCGCGAGAGACCCAAGAAGGAGAACATTCTTGACTTGGGCAAGTATATGGACAAGCAGATTACTGTCAAGTTTAACGGCGGTCGCGAGGGTATGTTTGGTTAAGTTGCGCGCAAAGGAATCAGAGTTACTAACTTCTGGTTTAGTCAAGGGCACATTGAAGGGCTATGATGCTCTTATGAACCTGGTACTAGACGATGTACACGAGGTTGTTCGAGGTATGACGCGCGACGCCTACAAACCATCTCTTGATCCATTTCTGTTCGTTCCTTGCTATGTACTCGCAGCTAACACGATGACTACAGACGACGAAGGCAACGAGTCGACTCGATCCCTCGGCCTCGTAGTTGTTCGAGGTACACTCCTTGTCCTCGTAAGCCCAGTCGACGGCAGCGAAGAGATTGCCAACCCTTTTGTGCAAGCCGAGGATGACTGAGGAGTCAACCGTTATCAAGCTGGAAACAAATATTACGACAAAGGCAAACAACAAAACGTCCGACCTGGAGCCGGTTACCATATTTGCGGCCGTGTCTAGGCTGGGTTAACTCCAAGAAATCGAGCGACACAATTAGATCGCCAGCTACTAGCATGACATTTTTGGATTATGTATGGGCATCAAAAGCAGCATTGTACAAAAACCCCTGGCTCCAATCGCGGAATCATCATTACGTCAACCGCCACTTCATAGACTATTGTAATGAATGAAGGCAATATATCATATTGAAAAGGCAAATAAGCTACTTCCTCGCTATCTCGTTCCGCTCTGCTTCCATACCACCAGTAAACTCTGCCATATACACGCACAGTCTAAACATCATCGGTCACGGCAGACCATCCTGATCCTGTAGGTTGCTTCCAATGTTCTAATCCCCATCGCGCTGTATGACACGAGGCCGGAAATCTTCTGGCAACATTGCCAGTTACGAGGGCCTGAGAGATCCAAGGCGATGCCCTTATGTACCCAAGGTCTCGTGATTCTCTGAGACTGTTCTCAAAAATTGGTGCTCTTTGTTCTTCTCGTCCTATCGTTCTCCCTTTCAACTTTTTTCTTAATAGCCGGGGTTTCTGTGCTGTCTTGGGGACTCGGTTTTTCCTGTAAGTCGTCCTTTGATCCCTTCTCAAGCCGTGGTGAAGCCTTGCTTGGGCCTTCCTGTGCGTTGCGTTCTGGTTTCTTCCCAAAGCTTTGGTATGACTCGCTGGGAACCTCCGGCGAATTATGATCAGGTTCGTTTTGAGATCTCATTCTCTCCTGATATCTTTGTTTCCTTGGAAAATATTCTGTTGCCCTGTAAGACTTTGGCCCTACGGGAACAGAAATTGCACGAGACTTGCTAGGACCAATATCCGCCGATCTACCATCAAATCCAGTCCCATACTGTCTTCCCCACCCCTGATATGGCTTTTTCTAAAATCCTCGTGGTTGTTGAGGCCTTTTACCGTGTTTGTTTGAAACTTGCCACGAGCCAGGTTGTTGTTTCTGCTGGGACTAAAAGCTTCGACCTGATTTGCTCGCCTTGACAAGTTCTCCATAGGAATTCGCCAGCATCTTCTTAAGCTCCTTGTAGCTGACGAGGAAACTGGTCTGTTCGTCTCGACTGGTAAGACAAACCCTCTCCTCCGTCCCGATATCTAGTTTGTTCATGCAGCGAAGCATGTGTCCCATATCCAGAACTGGGTTACCGTTGCTGTCCACTTGATGGAAAACGTAGTCTCTGAAGAGTTTGAGCATATACCGCTCACCATTTTCGGACCAATTCTGATCGCCGTTGAAGTCATATCGCTCGTTGATGGTCGCTAGCTTCATCATCAGTCTGGCAGCCCTGCCGTTCTCGACCTCCCGCATGACGTCGGCGCGGGCCTTGTCGTAGGCTTGAAGATTTTGGTCAAACGTGGATGTGATATGACCAGCAATTCCGCGTACGAATTCGTCGATGCCTTTCTGTGCTGGTGGTTGCTGAGGGGTGAGGAGCCATAACACGGTATCCCTCAGCTCGACTGAATACACCCTGGACAATTGCTCCAAAGACATGTTAAAATTAGTAAGATGGATTGGCAGGGTGTTAGTCGTCAAACAGAGCAATAGCCGGCCGAATTGAATGAAGTCTTCTTGCTGAAGCTCTTGAATGGATCGGTGAGCATCATATTGAACAACGTCCAAGATAGAGCATGCACTGAGACGGATGCGGCCTTTGTCTGTAAGAATGATTTTGCTAGGGTCGATGCATCGTGCTGCCAGATTGACCGAATGTATAGCCTGGAGCGCATTGGCGATCTGTGAGATGTAACCCCACAGGACATTCTCAGTAATGGGTGTTTTCGCTTGGAAGCGTGTGCCATGGGTACTGCTTGGAGTCAAGTGAGCCTCAACAAGTGTTTTGGAGAGGGGGAAATAGTTTTGTACAAAGATGAGTGAGCTGTCTCCGAAGGCGCGGGTGGTAAACGCATCGATGATAGAAACCACGCTGCCATTATTGATGCGCCGCCACTCCTTGACAAGCCTAATGGCGTTCTCGTTGGTGAGCCTGTAACCTTCTAACCGCCTGAGGCAATAAGTGTGACCCGATTTAGTTTGGGTAGCTTTGTAGACCCAGCTCGGATAGCCAAAGATATTAGCATTTTTTCGATGGGTTGTGTCCAAAGGCACCAAGTTGTGGTAATTGTCGAGTTGCGGTAACTGTGAGTTGGGAAGAACCTGACCAGTTGCTTCAAGCTTATTGACAATCTCAATTCGGTCCTTCTCAGCCAGGAAAAAATCGTGGGGAACACGATGGTATGGCATCAAATCATCTCGGCGTGGCCCAGCTGGGAAGTATAGATGGTGTTGCAGAGGCTGAACAGGAGTAGTAAACGCGTTTTGTGCTGGGAAGTACCCTGCCCCATGACCACCGAGAGCACCTGGGTCTTCGGCATAAGGATTGTACTGAGGAGTAGTAATGCCTTGATTCAAGGTAGGCACGGTGAAGGGGTCGTAAGAGATTCCGCCATCTTGAGCGGAGCCATTTGCTGGAGTAGTCTATTTAATCAGCGAAGAGTCTTGACATTGGCTGTGACGAACCATACCGTGTTATTCACGTCAAAATTGGGGGTAAATTCGCGGACAGTTGCAGGATTAAAGACGCTGCTGTCGCCATCTTGAGGTCCAACAGGAGTGGCGGCTTTACAAGCATCTTGTTAGTTAACCAGCACAAGGATAAGGGTATTAATGGGGGGCGTACAGCCTAAACCACGCGGTGTAAAAGCTGGAGCGCTGGCAGCTTGTGAAGAGAAAGTAGCCTTTTTACTCCCAACGCTAGCGGGCGTGAAAGATGGTGATTCGACGTTAAGTGCTTTCTTGGATCTGGATCCATCATCATTAGCCATCTTGAAGGTCCGGAATTGCAGTGTCAGTTGCTGAATATGGCGTATCAGCTCGTTAAGAGTCAACTTGAATATGAAAGAGCGTGGGATATATGGAAATGATATATCTGAAGTAGTGATGCAGTATCATGAGTTGCTCATACATGGGAGTGTAGTGTTTTGGAAGAGTTGAAGTAAAGTTGGCAAGGTAAGTCATCAGTGATGAGGGAAGCATCGGCCGATGAGCGGAGAGGTCATGCGACACATGGTCCTTCCTGCTGCAGCAATGAAGCCTCTACAAACAGAAAAAGTACCTATGTAGCAGCAATGGATGAAATTGTTACTTTTAAGCCTCTCATTAACAAATTCACCAAATACACACCCCGTGGAACCGATAGGGTGAGGCGTTTCATGACTGAAGTATGTAAACTTGTATAAACCAAGCGAAGTCGGATCGAATTTGGGCACCGCGAACTTTCGCATCATGGGTCCATCCCGAAAACGAAACAACAAAGAACCAAAACAAAAGTTTAAGTAACCTACAAGTCTGAATTGGAGTTATTTTTGTTCTGGTCGTGGCTAAAGGCGCAGCCTTGATCTTCGTATCGACAATGGCCATAAATAAGTACGTTTCGGCATAGTGTATCTTTATTCTCTGGGAGAGCCCAGGTCAGCGTTCATGTTGGGCTTGATTTGATGGCGGGGTGTGTCGATATCGTGGAATGGAAGTGGAGGGCAAACGAACCGCGTCCCTTGGGTCTCGGGGACCCGACCTGGCGTCGTAGATCGGCCGTTTGATATCGCGAAGTCGCCATGGTCAGTAGTATATAGTGTTTAAGGTAGTGCAGCCCGCTTGGCTGTGTTTACGACGTCTGAAAGAGCAGAACGTTAGCAAGCTGCCGACTGATAAACGATCTTGTACAGATAACAATGCCCGCAGGACCTAGACCGAGTACTGACAAAAACAGCACCTACTTGACTCTGGCAAGCATTTCCCATTGTTCAATTGATCGAGGCGAGCGGCCGCCCATGGAGTAACGAGACGAACGGCGGGGTTCAGAGGCTGACCGTCGCGGCCCAGCTTGAACAGTAATTAAAGCGCGGGAAGCCAAGGACCGTGTTCGAGGGGGAACAAGGCGCGGACCGTCGCCTCTTGTAGCGGGACCAAGCAAAGTCTTGCGAGGTCGGGAGGAGGAGAGGTGAGGTTGAGGTAAGGTATGGAGGAGTTGAACGAGTGGTTGGCTTAGGTGTGGATGTGGGCGGTGGGGGGGCAGTTTTGGTGGAGGGACTAGACACTTCAGTTGGGTTGGGTGAACAAGCCTGCGGTGTCGCGAGCCCAGCAAAGCAATGCGCTTAATCGTAGTATCTTTTCTATTGTTTTATATGGAAATATACTTATCCATGTGTCTCCACGGCATGACGCCAAACCTGAAGCCAGTTCGCTGTTCCCAAGACACCAATCAATATCATTGTTCCGAAGAATAGCCCACCCCAAAACGGGTTTAATCTGACTTTTGATAAGCAAGCCCACCCACTTTAGCTCTGACGCGCTTGATGCCATCATTCGTTAACCTCACCTCTAGCTCTCTTCTATTGATATCACGTACAAAAGATACTTCAGTAAGGTCCAATTCAAACTTCTTTTATCTCTACAAGTTTGACATTCTTAAGTTCTCTACACACTCTTTTATTCTCTTATATACAGCGAAGCCGGAATCTTCCATCCACTTATTTACGAATGCTCAATGTATTGGATCTTATAACACCGTGGGGTTACACCAGCAAGCGAAGCGTAGACCGCATTCATTCTTCGTTCCCGCACATCTGAACTCGGATTCTTTCCCCTCTCTTTGCTGTTCATTTGAAAGCCATTCACCAAGCCCCCTGCAACAAGAGGAGTGTGGATGATATAGGTTGACAAGATGGCTGAAGGCGATATGGACTTGGGACAACTGTCCACTAGTCAGCAGGAGGCTCTTGATCAATATACACAAGTAACCAACCAAGAGATCAGCGATGCTATTCCGCTTCTCCGACGCTCCGAATGGAACGTTCAGGTATGAAAATCACTTCTTTGCTCCTTTTCAGCCTTCTAACGATGGATCATAGATCGCAATCGCCAAGTTCTTCGACGGCGAAGTTGCAGACCCGATAGCTGCAGCACAACAAGAAATACCCCGAGCAACAGCGCGGCACGAAAACCTACAAGAGAGCCTTTTTGATGAGGCAATTCGTGCCCCTCGAGCTTCACCACGACAGCGCACGGATCTAGCTCCGAGAATCGTGCCCCAAAGCCCTGTCACAAATCGAACACCATGGCTGCTGGGCCTGCTTCTCACACCCTTTAGCTTAGGTTGGAGAGCTGCCTCGACTCTCTTTCGGACTTTGATCTATGCGCTGTCCTTCTTGCCCGCCTCGATTCGGCCACGGGCTGTTACAAGCAGAATATCGACAGGCTTCAGAGGTACCAATGGTCGCCGACCTCTCATGCCTCGAGACACAGCCTCGCGGTTCAAGCGAGAGTTCGAAGAGGAGTATGGAGAGAATGAACTGCCCTTCTTCGAGGGCGGCGTCGCTCAGGCGCATGATCAAGCCAAGAAGGACCTCAAGTTTATGCTTGTGGTATTGATGTCGCCTGAGCACGATGATACTGAGTCTTTCGTCAGGGAGACTTTACTAGCACCAGAAGTAGTGAACTTCATCAATGATCCTTCCAACAACATAATCCTATGGGGCGGAAACGTCTTGGATTCTGAGGCATACCAGGTGGCTCAGGAGTACATCTGCACCAAATTTCCCTTCTCGGCATTGGTTTGCCTTACACCAAAGGAGGGTAGTACACGAATGGGGATCGTCAAGCGACTTGTTGGACCCATGCCCCCCTCCACATACCTATCAGAGCTTCGAGCAGCAATCGAAAAGTACGGTGCAGATCTGGATGGGGTACGAGCAGAGCGAACAGCCCAGGAAGTAACCAGAAATCTACGAACTGAGCAAGACTCGGCCTACGAGCGGTCGCTAGCTATTGACCGAGAGCGCGCACGCCAGAAGAGAGAAGCAGCGGCGGCCGCGGCTGCAGCAGAGAAACGCGCGCAGGAAGAAGCAGAGGCAGCGCAGCGACTCGAAGAGAAGCGCGAGCAATGGATAGCATGGAGAGCTACGACTATTGTGCCCGAACCACCAACCAGCGATAAGAGCGTGGTACGAGTCGCACTCAAGATGCCCGAGGAATCGGGTATCGGCCGAATTGTGCGGCGGTTCCCCCAAGATGCCTCCTTGGAGGACCTGTACGCCTTTGTGGAGTGCTACAGTGCTCTTAAAGAGGAGGGTGCAGCGGGTGGTGACAAGCCGGGGGAGTACGAGCACGAGTACAAGTTCCGAATCGCCTCAATTCTCCCCAGAATGGTGTACGAGCCTAGCACAACGGTGACAATGGGGGAGAAGATTGGACGGTCAGGAAATCTGATTGTGGAGGACATATCACCGGATTCGGAAGATGAGTCGGACGACGAGGGTGATGACGAGGACTAGGAGGCGGAGGGTGGTCAGTCAGTAGCTAGCGCCAAGAGGTCATGACCAGCGAGTCGTCTGTTATGGAGACTTTGCATGGCGGTCAAGAGCTGTACTGAGATATAATGAAGAATAGACACGACTTTGACTACGAGAGGGTGTCGTGAGAGCATGCGTTGGAGGCCTGGGTGACAGAACACGGTGTTGCTTATCAGATGCTCGCTTGGAGGCTACACCAACGCAAAGAAAACTGCCGAGTGGATTGAGTGTCTGTCGGACTTGTACAACTTGAAGTCCGCAGCAATTTAACGAACACAGCGCGACCCCTGTCAACCTCATGGCATATGCGATCTCCGAGTGTCAGATTCTTGAGACATGCATGATCTTAGTAGATGAAGCTTACGTAGCTCAAGCTAATAGCTTGACAAATTCTACCTCTCAGTTAACGGCCTCTATTGTATGTTCAAAGGTGCACTATAACAGTCTCTCCAGCTTTCAAACTTCGGGCCGCGTATTAAAGATCCAGAAGAACGGCTCCCACTGTGGAGATAGCGCGGATCTTCACCTTTTAGATAAGCACTCCGCATATTGAAATGCCACGCGTTCTTGTTTTGTCCGTCTCTTTTTTTTTTTTTATGGATGGACGTTAGTGAGAAGAGGCCCGGCACATTTCATTACAAAGCCCAGAGTGAAGCCAAGACACGATGCCAATGCTAATGGTAATGCTAATGTCATGTGTTATGGCTGCGATAGAGAGGGGTTGATTGCGTAGGGTGATGAGGCTGTGCAACGGCGGCCGCTTTACAGGTAGGTCAAGGTAGTTATATTTGTTGATAATTAGTCTGTTGTCTAGAGCTTCGTGTTTATTTGGTGCATTAATTGATATCTTCTCTTTCCTTGCGTTTCAACTTTTTTGCCTGTCGCAAGATTGCTCTATTTCGGCCTTGTAGGACCCTGCAAATCCCAGCCCAAAGAGTGGGTGACGCACGGGGCTGTATTAGCGGGAGGCGCATCACGGACCCTTAACAACTCCGAACTTTGAATATCAACGAGGCCAAACAAGAAACGAACGAGTACAGTTACAGTTACAGAAGAGTTACGAATAAACAACAGAATCACTGGACAATCAGTGTGCACTTCTTGCTTTGTCATCATCAACTATACTACAGCACTTAAATCAAAAGCAACTTGTCTTCAACCTCAAACCAGTCCAAAAGGATCAATACCCTTGCTACTACTCCCAGACAACGGCGCCAATCATTCGACGCTCGCTCCAGCATCGTCAGCTCCGAGAGGCAGAAACGTACCAAGACCAACCAACATCACTGTTCGCTTCTGAAACCGTGATAGTGATTGCATTGGACCCTCGGCGCCTTCCCGTTTGAGCCTTAATTTCCCAAGATCTTGAACTTTTCGAGACACAACTTGACCTCAACAACTTTGTTATTCCTCATCAACCGAACACCGCTATAACTCTAGGCATCATCTCGCCTCCTGCCTGAAGAAACCCCCCGATTCCTCCACCCACAAAGTCGCCCGCTGTGGCGCGAGCTTCCAACACAGCCATGAAGTCCATGAAGGGTCTTGGTATGAGCAAGGTGCTCGGTAGCATCAGAAGAAAAGCCAGCAATGTCTCCAATCGTACGTACCCTCATGCGCGCTGCCTTGCGATCGACCCCTTAAGTTTCGGGCAGCGCAAAACAAATACAACATACGTCCAGAGCTGACAATTCTTAGGAGCATCTGACGGACCCTCCGGAGCTTCATCATCAGGCACGACACCAGCCGGAACTCCCGAAGCTACAGCTCACAACAGCGTGGTATGTCCCTACATTATCGCGCATCCTGCGAAACCGTCCCTGTCGTACGTCTGGCCATCGCTGACCAGAGCCTAGAAAGCATTTTGCGAGTCTGGAGGAAAGTCCAAGGTATGCTCTACAGTCGCCTCCTTGTATATCATACCTCAGCTAATCTCATGCGCTTTGGCGAAACAGCAAGATGAAGTTCTCTTTCTCCCTCCTATCGTCGACGCCGCCGAATCCTCCCCAGCCGCTGCCGCTGAATGCGCGCGCCTGATCCGCAAGTACCTGTCCAAAGAATACTTTTCAAAGCCATCGTGGCAGTACAACGCAATCATGCTCTTGCGCATCTTGACCGACAACCCCGGCGCGACTTTTACGCGGAACCTAGACCAGAAGTTTGTCGATACTGTGCGAGGACTCCTCAAGGCCGTGAAAGACCCCAGCGTGCGCCAGATTCTTATGGAAACACTCGATGATTTCCAGCACACCAAGGCGTACGACGAAAACTTGACCTTGCTCACTTCAATGTGGCAAAAGGAGAAGGAACAAGCTTACAAGAACTACGGAGTATGTGCACAAGATTCAGGTCTTGAGACCTTTCATACTAACGAGCTGTTGCAGGCACCACAGCAACCAATGATGTCGCCAGGCGGTTATAACACCCCTCCTCCAAACCCGCACTCGCAGAATTACTTTGCAAGACATCACACGAACAAGCGCCTGCCGGACCCTATTGAGCTGGCCAGCCGACTCGAAGAAGCCCGAACATCAGCGAAACTCCTTGAGCAGGTTGTCATGAACACGCCTCCTGGCGAGATTCTCGACAATGAGCTAATCAAAGAGTTTGCCGATCGATGCTCAAGCGCATCCCGCAGTATTCAAGGCTACATGACGTCTGAGAATCCCACTCCTGATAACGACACGATGGAGAATCTCATCGACACCAATGAGCAGCTGCAAACTGCGCTCAACCAGCACAAGCGAGCTGTCCTGAGTGCCCGAAAACAATTGGGTTTGAACGAACGATCCGACTCACAGTCGCCCAGTTTGACCCCTCAAATTCAGCCTCAGCAACAGCAAGAGTCTCAACCTGAGACCAACGGCAACAACCACTACTTTGACAATGCATCTGGGTCAGGTTCCGGCAAGGGTAAAGAGACACACTCCTACCCACCACCTCCAGGTCCTCCGCCCAAGACTGGTGAGGGAAGCTCGAGCCGACCCTACGAAGAGTCCGCCGAGAATCCCTTCGCAGACCCTCAGCCAGGCAATTCTCCCTCGGCCCAGCCACCATCCAACACAGCGGCCCAGTACTCCGAACACGAGCGCCTTGCATATGAGCCCTTCCATCCTGGCTTCAAACCAACAGAAAGCTATCTAGGTCGTCAAGACAGCGCCATTGGTAAGGTCCACATGCACGGCGCTGGAGCTTCAACCCCATCAGCTCAGCCGCCCGCACAACAACGGCTCGACGAAGCCTCAGACGATGATGACATCTACGATGCGCCCAGTGGACCACCACCCAAGAGCAAGGAGCCTATATACCGATACTAGAAGCGATTTCAGGGGATGGAGAGATGCGCATGACGATTGCCGTCTATAAAACGAGCGCCCCAGTTTAGTAGAATTACTAGAATGTGTTGCGTTGCTTCGATTTGAGATGTCAGCGGCCTGGGTCGAGTAACCCCAAGTTTGGGGGATGGACTCTTTTGGAAAGGTGGAACTGTGCTTTTGGATCGACATGATTGTGTTATCATCCATGCATGAAATAGGTTGGCGCGGCGAAAGGGCAGATTCCCATAGCGTTCTCTTTATTTGTGTTGTACCTATCGTATCGTTAATTGCGTCAAGGCAAGGGCATCAATACCCGTTCTCAGCCCTCAGGACGACTTGTTCTTGATACTATGTCTCGGTCAGTGTTTAAAGTTGAGGTAGATTTGGTCACCGCTCTCGTTGGGTTCCAATATGAGATGTATTTGGGAGCTATCGCTATCAAGACGACAAAGAAACAGGACATGTTTCAGCCCGAAGCATCTCCGGGATCGAAAAGGTTGCGGTATCCAAGGTCAATTCACAAATTCAATTAGGTATCCAATAGTGCCACGTTCCTCTCAGCCGGTCGGAGTCGGTTATAGCAAAGTGTGGTTACTTTCACGATCGCTGCGTGGCCCATGATCCACCAGGTCGGAGCCTTGGACCCTGCTGACATCGAATATCGACGTCGGGCAGACAGATGTAGAGTCATGCATGCCTTTTGGGGTTCACTGCAGATGCAAATCTCAGGTCTATGTTCTCGAGTCTCGGACTCGACAGCGTGGCTAGGGTCTCTCTTGCTTGTCGCTGATGAACAGTAACACAAACCTAACCGAGACATGAAAGACAACAGACAACGGTCGTTCATCCACACTGGTTGTAGCCCTCTGTGAAAACAGATTGAAGCGGCGCGATGCAACGTAGAATGGTTGAAACCGTTGAGAGCGCGCATCTTGAAGCACTGAATCTCGGTATGCGGGACCTAGGCGTAAAAACCCCAGGATCGCTGACTGGGACCTTGAAAGGATTCTATGATTGCCGTTCCGGGCACGGCGACTAATTAGTCAATGTAACCATGAGCAGCGTTTACCGAGCCAGTCGCATTCTACAACGACCAACCCATAATCAACCCATGTGAAAGCCCGTGTTCAATTGTTCACAATTATCTGCAATAGGCAGTTGGCATATTTACGATGTGACAATATGCATTGCCCGTCACTATCATCACCGCGTGAATGTTGAGAAGCTCAAGACCGTTACTTGTCATCAAATCATGTCGGCTATGCTTGACATGAACTGGAGGGGAATGGACGAGAAGTTGTTGGGTTGCACTGCATCAAGCAGGCTCCGTCGAGTTCACATCGTAGTTGCAGATGACGCCGTACATGGCTATCGAGGAAGCGTGGACGGGGTCTTTGACACTCTTGTTCCACTGCTTCAGCATCTAGTTTGGGCCTGGCCTGCCCCGCCTTCTGAGGACACACGAGATGTAGGAACATAGCGTTGCTGCGATGTAATAGTAAAGTTGCAGTTGGAAGCTGATGAGACGTGCAAGGATACTCGGAAAGTGGATGCACCGAAATGGATTCGAGGTAGACAACTCCCAGCGGATGAAGAACGATCGTAAAGCAGACCTCAGGAGATCACCAAACAAATCCAGGGATAAGATGCGACAGGTCAGTTGTAGAGATGTTAAAATGAAGTTTGGGCCTTAACGGACTGGGGGTTGTTATAAATAAACGGGAAAGCTCAACATCAAAAGCAATCACCTGTCAAAACCCATGCTTCCTTCCAGAACAACACAGCAACAAATCTTGATTGCAACCCAGGAAGGCACCAACCATGCCAACCCAGGATCAGGAAGGAAACAAGGACCGCTGGGTAAACAACATACATGGGAAGGTCTCGTATGACAGCTGCCATTTCCGTTGAAGAGCCAAGCAAGAAAATTTGGTCCTCAAACCGACAACTTGCATTGCATTTGATGGCATGCCTGAAGCTGATATCACCGCAGCGGCCGGGATCTAGGGTCGATGAGCCGCCAACAAGCCAAGCCATTGGGATCCATCGCTAAATCCAAGAAAGGAAATGCTTGCTTCGACGTTAAATCAACCTATAGCGTTGGGTTCAAGGCCAACAAAGCCTCAAGCACAACACGATATCTCAAGCGACAACAAATCTTCATGTGGCTTCTCCTGCTAGTGCATCGGCCGAGATCTCTGTCGACCCATCAACACTCGAGCCATCCAATGCAACGAGGTTAACATTGACAGTCAAACAAGGATCTCGGAAGAATGCGATTGAATGCTCAAGTTTCTCTTCTCCCCGCTGCGCGCCGCACCGTGGTCTGGGGCACTTCAACAACTGCGATTGGTTCCAGAGATTGAAACCATGAGGGGCCGCCGTTCCCTTCAATTGGGTCCATTTTCCCGATTCGGGGAACTCTTGCGAGAATATATCAGACCTTGACTTTTATTTCTCTGTAAGACAATGGAATCGGGAGGCGCCCGCACACGGCATCAATGTCACATGCCATTCCATTCGATGGGTTGCGGTCCCCTATTACTACGATGAAGCTTATTCTCTTACGGATAGAACCGCATGGCTTTTTGCGTACGCAATCTTGCTGAGTCTCTCGTGTGTTTGTCCCGCCTTGACTCGCCTCGCCAGGACTCGATTCATCACGAGATACAGCATCATGTTCGACTTATTTCTTAAGTTGAGTCCCCGCCCAATGGCCTCGGTCGTTGGCATGGCTATCCTGGTTCGAAGACGCTCTAGGGCGTGATGATGCATCAAAATTTCCCAATTTTTGATCAACATACGGTCATCCCTTCTCATTCTCCTCATAGAGACGACGCCTCATGTGCAGTATCGCAAGAATCTCCTCCCAGTTCTGTACCTGATGTCGTTTTACACACCATGTCTCTGCTCTCTGTCCACTATTCGTCCCGTTTCATTAGCTTCTTCTGTTCAAAGTCATAACGGCGACAATAGCTGGCTTTGGCTTTCGCCCCATGCCTACCTTTCATCTGTCACCTCCCGAACCTGGACTAGAATCCTTGTTTCTTCTTCGTCCACACTTTGTATCTGTCTTCCTTTCTTTGCTTTCTTAGCCTCTCCACACAAGGGAGCCCCGATCTTAGTCGCTTCGGCGGCTCAGCCATCTCCACACATCCCTCCTGGTCTCTCCGTTTTTAGTTTGACTCTATGGTCACTCAGTTGTCTCGAGATAGTCCGAGCTTCTAACATTTGTCTGGCGTTTCTCTCTTTCTGTGACATGACCATCATCATCTCTCGTTCGCTTCCTAGTTAGGCATCTGTTGACTATTCTCAACATTCTCTCACCGACAATGTATCTCGTTCATACATGACTCTCCTGCTCCTTGCTTGAGCAAAGGACATGTCCATACATAATCCTGGTGGATATCATTCCACCCCTCCCGCCTTTACTCTCATATCCTGGCAACCAACCCTGCTATGGTTCCGTCTTGCTGGAACCGCTCTGCTTTGATGGACCATAACTCCATGTCGAGCGAGGATTACTGTGCCTACGCTGATTCCTAGCCCGCATAAGGCGTGCCCGTCTTCCATCCTTCGTTACTTTCACCCCAACTAGTCTAGTGTCATCAAACAAAAAAAGTAAAGTTTACGCCCGGTGGTCATTGCCGGACATCATCTTAGCTGGCCGACTTATACATAGACGAAGCAGCGTCCTGCCCATCAGTTCTTGTTATTCACAAATCCGAAACGATTTCTCCTTGCCAAACATATTCTTTGGCCCATCTGCTCGGAGCCTGGCATCTTACCATGCTATCTATTACCGAGCTACTGGTTCCCGCACCCTCCATCACGCTATCGTACTCTGTACCACCAGCTCGGCCCTGCCTTTCACCCAGGTCATCGGAATCCTCTTATTGCATGGACACTTCGCACAAGGCCCCAAGTTTGCCGGTTCTATCTTTGAATCGCCTTAGCTCAGAACTTCTGGCTCTTGTGTTTCAACAGGTATGTCACAACCTCCATACAATTTTGCCACAAGTATACAATACTAAAAGCTACTCTTTAGCTTCGGGACATAGACTCACCACTCACGTCTGTGCGTCTAGTCTCTAAGAGGTTCGATGCCATAGCTACACCTATCGCCTACCGATTCCTGACCTTGAACGAATCTCTCGTCGCACCAGATGCTGAACAACGATATCCCAACGTCTCTCGGCACATCTCTCGTCTCACAAATCATGTCACAATACGAAGCAACTTGGATCCTACAAGGATTACAGGAATATTATCTTGTATCAAGCGATTGAAGTCGGTTCGGTACTGACACCCATTCTCGATCTCTTCATTCTCTTGCTGATAGATTCGACAACAGATGGCGATACATAGATGGCGACATTCCTGCAGAGGGCCTGTGGCTACCTTCGGACCTCCGTCACTTGCACAATTGCAACTCGAACGGCACCCAACTATACATCGAGGACCTTCCCCTGCGACGAGACTACAATGGTAATCCGTTGGATACTTTTACGAGATCGATTCCCTCAGAACTGTTGGCATCATTGAAGCTTGCCAACCCGACGCCGGTCCTGTCAACTAGGCTCGGCTCGTTAAAACAGCTCCTCGTCCAATCTAGACAGCTAAAAACACTACGCTACGAAGATCGCGGTCAAGGCACATGCTTCAAGTTCTCTCCCGGAGAACAAATGCCACCCATCGTCGACTTGATGCTGCGGTCATACGACTGGAGCCATACAGCTGAGGATGTTCAGAAACACTGGGATTTCTCCAAGATACAGTCGCTCGAGTTAATATCTGTGCCCATCTTTAACTTTCTTCGCTCAGTGCCTTTCCAAGACTTCTCCGCGTTACATACACTCCATGTGGAAGACTACAGTGCTCATCTGCCTGACAAGAGAGAGGATGCCACTATTGGGTTGAACTTGTTGGTGAAAGATCACATTGAGGCACTCGAGGCGTTGAACATCACTTGCCATACCCGATTGTTCCAGCTTGAATCTATCGCAGCACATCGAAAGTCGCTACAGGTACTACGACTGAGGGACCACGTCGGGTTCTCAGAAGATGGCCAGAAATGCCCAACCTTGGCACCTGTTGATATAGCCCAACTAGGTCAACAGCTGAAGTTCGTTCACACCCTCGAACTTGACCTAGATACTAGATTATGCGATCCTACTACCTTTCTCAGGGCTATATGTGTCTTCCCAGCTGTGCACACCCTCACCTTACACGTCCAGACCATAATCCATCCTCTAGAACAAGTGTCTCCGGGAATCGACCGCGATCGAGAGGCTGCGATGCAAACCTTCAAACTGCTCGTGCAGGAAAAGGAGAGACTCGGCTCACATACGCCTTGGAAGCATATCGTGCTCAACGTTGGAGGTTGGAAGCGAGTCATGGTGCGACGGCTAGGTGACGTGTGGCGAAGAAGGAACGAGATGGGCATTTACGCTGAAAGATGCTTTGTCTTCGAACGAGATGCCCGTAGTGGAAATGTCGCAGTGCGCGAAGAGGTCTGCGTTGAGAACACGAGTCGGGGAGGAAGCCCAAGCCCTTGATGGTATCACCATGGCCGCAGCCAAGCTACCCATCGATGCTCCCAGCGGAATAAAGTCCCCTTTGCGACACCTTGCTACCAGTTACATATAAACATGCATATCGGCAAGGATACTATAATAGAAAAAAAGATTACATCAACATGCGTCTACTAGACAAGACGCATGGAAAATATGACGAAGAAACGACCTGATGAGCATAAAACATAAAATATAATATAATTATTACATATTCCATCCATCTTCCGAGTTCATTCTACGATCGTGTCTTATCCTCTTTTATTCGAGTCTGCACGCTTTATGCTGCCTCAACAACAACCAGCCTTTGCCTGACGTTACTGAAACTGACACGTAATTCTCAATATTATCCCCCAGGTTCCTCTCTGAGCATGCAACAGATCACATAGACACTCTGGAGGTCAGAGAGTACACACGTCACTTGCAAATATTCTCTTTCGCCTCCTCAGCCATGTGTCCAATTGCCCTCAAGCAATATGGGCATCTACCACCCAGTCATCTGAGACGGCGTCCCCGAGTTGCAAGCACTGACACAAGCCTGAAGTGTATCTAGAGCTGCTGCTTTGTTCTGCTGCTGAAGTGCCCTCGCAACATGCCGTGTTTCAAGCAGAGGACTTACACCAGCCTTGAGAACATGGTAGCTCAAATGGTCGTCAAACAAGACTCAAACAACATGCCAATTGAGCTCCGGCCTGTAGGCAGGCCTTCCATTCATGAGGTCCAAACCCTTCTCTTCAACGTCAACCTTTATCCTTCTTCTTGAATGTCAGCTATCATCCATCATCTCTAATATCGCCTTACAGACTCATGACCAGCTTTCACACGGTATCAAGCATGATACCAATATATACAGTTGCGTGTAACATATAAGGAAACAGGCCAGTGTTTTGTAATATATATACTTGATTTCATTTCTCCACAGACATGTTTTCTCGTGTTTACATACCCCCAGGGACAATCGACACCTTTGCAGTCCCTACGCTACTCTGCGCATCTCTAGCCATTCGACATGCGTCTAGGGTAATCACGGGCGAAAAGACACGTATTGAAATACCTTTCACATAAAGGTCGTTTAAGAGACAGAGGCTTTGCTTTCAGCTGCGATGATCCATCATGCTGAAAACACTTGAGACTTTGACGACTCCCCAACACCATACCAGACTATTATGCCCCTTGCAGCGTTCACACATCAAATGTCACGCACCCACAAAATAAGAAGCCTTCTTCACTAGTTACGAGATCGTGTCAGGTAGATACAGCCGGCTGTGTAGTCTCTAGCTGAAGTTCATCGCCTCTCTTTTGCACTATCGATTCGATCTTGTCATCGATGCTTCATGACTGGCTATCCAATATCTTCCTATTTTGAATAGAGTATAACACATTATCGGCCATGTCGCAAATCTCCATTTCGGTCGAGACCTTGACGAGAGAATTGACTAAGCTACTCATGAGCGATATGCCACCGGCATGCCCATGAATCGGGATATCCGACAGACTCAAATAGATCAACAGACTACCATCGGGTTACTGATGAGCTAATGACTCAATACGAGCCTTGTAGTCTGTAAGGGAGTCCGTTCTCTTGACTCATTTCTATTTTGAGGGTGTTTTCGGGCCCATGGTATCCAGCCCAGCCACGGGGAGGCTGGACGGCCAAACCCGAAGCCAAAGCTATAGTTACTTTAGTTTGCATTGATGCGGGAACTTGAACTACACGCCCAATAGGTCCATCCACCTTGGGTCTCGATCTTGATGACGGTGGAATCGCAGCACCAAACCCAGAGACCGTTTCTCTGGAGCCAAAGTTAGTGCACCCTTGCTCCATCTCATCTTGCATGTCGCCCTAAAAGCCACCCCTGTCATGCGTTGGTTCCATCCCTTCTTTACCCGCGCGGGCCTTCCCGTCCCTTCTCTTCAGCCAACAAACGCCATCATGACATGTCGTGATACCTCATGGGTCCATATACCAAAATCCCTCAACTTTACGTAGCCACCAACCTCGTGAAAGGAAGATGGGCTCTGGCCGGTTTCTCATTGCAGAAAATAGGGCCAGACACCCTCTTTCTCCCTCACACAGTGTGGAGCGCCCTGTTGTGTTTCCGGGTCTCCGGCCCGGCCGCATTAGTCCTCTTAAGGCGACGAGTGTCGCTCAAGCGAGACGTACGAAAGTGGAAACCAGAATAGCTGTAGACATGGGCAATGAATCGAAAGAAAGGTGAGCCCCAAGGTCCAGTATCAACAACGGAGGCACTGAGCTGGTGAAAACAAGTTACAGGGTACCAAATGGTTGATCTGCGGCCCTGCAGGGAATTTGGCCGACGAGCGGGGAGCAAGGAACGAGCCAGAAGAATCAAACAAAGATATAGAGGCTTTTGGTCAACAAAAGCCTGTCAACGATGTTAAACAGTAGAGCATTCAACGAAGGAGGTATATAACAGTCAGCCTTGCTGAAGGTGCTTATAGGTTGCTTGTCTCGATCAAAGTTCGCAAATTGCAGAGCGACAGCTAGTATTAAAGCCCATTGATAAAGCATACAAGCCGTGATAGCACTGCTAAGAAGGAAGGTCGGCGGCAAGCATGGGGTCCGTGCTTATCAACGTATTGTTGCATGGCTTGCATCAACAGTGAGATCATCGAGACTTTTCAGACCGTGTTGCTCTTGACCAGCTTCAACTATGAACTTATATGAAGCAGCAACTTGGTAAATTACAGTAATGCCTGCGTGGTGTAAGGTCCTGGAGCTAACGGCAGCATGCAACTCAGGACTTCTGTCTGCAAGCATATCACGTCTGAGCCATACCATGACGGCGAGCCGACAAGCATGACCAGTTCAACACTTGCTGACTTCAAGCCGGGTATAGATAGACAGCGGGAGAGTATTCGGAATGACCAAAATGTAGTGACTCTTGGTGCATTACTCAATGCAGGGGTAACCTAACCAAAGTCTGGTATTGGTTATAGCCCCTGGTCCTTCCAGTTAAATCCGACTGGAAATAACACGACCTACAATCCAACAAGGACACCATAATCAGGCGGTATTGCACTTCTCAGAACGTAGCTAGAACATTGTTTCTTTCTTTCCCTTTATTCCATTGTATAATCGTTCGCCGCCGAGTCGGTCCTCGGATCGAGTCTGTGTTTGGTTTATCAAACAGTCGAAGAGCCTGACTGCCAAAGCCAAAGCCAAAGCCAAAACTATTTGGCCCCTTTGACAAGTCAAGCAGAAGCGAGCTGCCCGCTGGTTATGGGTCGGTCTGTTCTTCGAGGAAGTACTTGGACTTGGTGTCTCCGATCGTTACTGTACGACGATGGATTTCTGGTCAGCAGAAGTCTGGAAGATGGTAGCAATGGAGACTAAATGGTTCTTGTTTTCGGTGTCCAATTGGACTTGGTCATCGTCGCTGAATGGCCACGCCTGATCAAAGCACCTGCATCGCCTCCTCTAGAAGCAACTTGTCATGTCTTGACCGAGCTCATGACAAAGTGTCAACTTGTTGATTCGTGCTCGGGGACAAAGGGAGTCCCATAGTGAGCGCAAACACTCTTGCCTTGGTTCCCAAGCTGGAAGAGTCAAGTAGGTCACGCGGAGATCTAGTGAACTACTCTCTCGTCTCGGTCCTCCTGCCTGAGTAGACCCATCCCGGTTCTAGACAGTTGGATATCCATAAACGTCAAGACCAGCCCGTGGCGTCAGAGTCGTTCCAGACGAAGCAAAATCCGACGTCCGGGCGCGGCTCTCGATCCCTTTACCGCCCCTTCATCTCCACAACATCTTGGGTGACATGATCCTTCTCGTCCGGATATAGAAAGAAGAGGGCCCTGTTCGTCTCGTGATGGAAGACGGCATCGCCGGGCTGATAGGGCTAGTATTTGGTGATGATGATGATGGAAATAGAAATCAATGGCCCAGAACGGAGTTTGCCGTGGGGTTCATCTTTCAGCTATACTTGTGCTGTTGCCTCTTCCAAGTTTGTAAAGATAACAGTAGTAGTAGAGTTCGATCCTTCCCGTTGTAATATGGAACCGTCCGTTATCCCGTGACGTCCCGTCGTCCGGAAGCGGGAAGTCAAGATTGGTAAACTCCTTCCTCCTCCCATCACCATCACCATCACCATCGCCGAACTCAAAAGTCAGGCAGTCACGGCTACGATATCGGGGTTCTTCAGCTCCCGCCCGTTTTCCCACTCTCGGGTGGCCGTGGCCGTGGCCGTTCACGGAACCTCCGAAGCCATTCCCGTGCGCATCCGGACCCTTTCGTTCTCGGTCTCGGTTTAGAAAGACGTCATTTGCATTCCAGTGCCTCTCGACCGCTCTTTGCGAAGAATCGTTTTCGGCCAGATTCGTTCTCCACGTAGCACAGAAACGTCCGCATGCGCTCCCTTCCGGTCCCGACGAGCTGGGAGGAATACGTAAGATGGGAGGCGATCCGGGTATCCTGGTTCGCGGGAAGCAAGATTGCAGGTGGACAGCTGAAAATGTAGAGTTTTTTTTCTGCTTTAACTCTATGCGTGGAAGAAGCTTAAACCGAGTTTGGTTTTCCCAGAGTGTCGGGTATGGGCGTGTACGAAGTAGAGTGTTGATCAACTTTTGTTGGTGGTGATGAGGCAAAAACACCAAAGGGAGGTCATCGCCAGGTAGAGCCGCAACTGGAGAATTTCACTTGCTGTAGCTGTAGCCCCGAGGTAGCATTTCCATACCTTACCCAGCTGAAAGCCACTTCCTTGAGAGACAAGAGATATTGCTATGTCTCTGGATGTGCATTCCTGTTGCTGTAGACATCCCTGCAACATCTTCATCACCATCTTATCCCGAGTGCCTGATGATCAAAGTAGATTGATGTCTAAGACACAGAACTCATATTGCAACCAAATGCATTTCTTCCTCTCCCTCCATTCTTCAATGTCTCAGAGAGTCGTCTCGTTCCGTCGGGACGGTCCATAGCGGTTTTGGTCCACCGCAATCTCGTGGTTTGGCATGTATACTGTAGCTTCATCTCTTGAACCCCCTTTTTCTTTTGTCTCGGATTGTAAATTCGAGGCCACCCGCATTCCTTTGCGTGCGTACATTTCAAGAATGGATATTTGTTTTTACACTGGCATTTCAGCGACATGCCTGATACTTTCTACATCAGTTCATCATTGACTACGGAGATTTGTTCATGTCTGAGTCAAATGCCGCACAGTCTGCCCTTTTGATTATCACAATCCTTCGCTGTAGACAAATAGACTCATCATTGACTCTGAAACTTCGACACGACTTGAGACACAGAAACTCTATCAACTTCATCTCGACGAATACTTATTCAAGACGACATTCCCCGGCTTTTAGGGGAATTTCTTAGGGTGCCACAAACCCTATCATGGCAAACTCTACAGAAATAGCCTCGTCAATCACGTTTTGACAGCGGCAGGCAACGTTTGGCTTATCACAGCTTGATCACATAACAGTCAGTAGACGTAAACCTTCTCGCATCAGACTCGTGTCTCGGTGGCAATGGGTCGTCCGAGTCAAGCCCAAGTCAGCTCAGCAAGGATTTACAGCATCAGCTCTAGACTCTCTTCCCGCTTGATCTTTACTGTTTGCATTACCAATATCTTGCCTCCCCGCTTTCTAGTCTCTCGCAGTCACAATCACAACCACAATCATATCACCAACGGCTTGCGAGACTTCTCATCTTCAAGACTAAGGCAGTGACTTACACGCCCCCCTTTGGTCCGTCTACAGTCTACGGCTATTCCCTTGGCCGAACTCGCTTGACTCATTTCCACTTTTGCTCCCTTCTGTTCTACCATAGATCCTTCGTCCAGTCAGTCTTGGGACCATGCCTAAGGGCCAAGCACAGCCCAGGCAAAACCTTGCCGCCTCATCAGATCACCACTTCTCAATTCATCAGTCACTCAATCGCGTACTCACACGCCCCCCAAGTTTGTCCCCCTCTTGATCGCGGCGTCGGTCAATAGTCCCCCCCTTGTTTAGCTACAGTGTCTATTCTATCCCCTATTCATGTCCAGATCCAGATCCATATCCCTCCCTATCCCTAACCGTATGCATGCTCTTTCGGCAAGCCCTGCCCTGACCCTAATCCCCTGCCGTTGGAGCGCATTTCCAGTGAGTACCTAGGCAGAGAACGTTGTAAACCGGGTCCCTGGAATTGTGATGCACCACGGCGGAAGGGATGTCATTACTACCCCTGGCTCTACCCACTGTAATACCAATCAATCAATATTAGAGAAAGGCGAAAATGCCGCGTTTATTTACCAAGATTGCAAACACCATGCCATCTGTATCAGTGTATGGGAATCATAAATTTGTTCGAGAAGATGAATGTTTTGTTTTATTCTTAGGCGCGTTTGAGCTTAGACTTTTCAATATCAAGTACAGTAGTTAGTCAACCGCTCGGACCATTGCAAACCAGTGTCACGGCTATAATCGTCCGCTAATCTATCGATTTTACGGCTCGTACCTGAGGCGAGAGTCTGATCTCGTCTCATCTCGTGGCTCTTAGTCCCTCTGTAGGTGCCTGATGTTGCAAGGACAGGCTCGTGTCGCTAGTCGAAGCCCTGCCAAAGCTGAACAGTTACATCACCAACAAACAAATCTTCAGAGCTCAGACCAACAAATCAATTGCAAAAATCAGCCAAGAATCTACTAAAACTACCCATGTCTTGCTGACCACATCAGCCAAAGGTCATGTGCTCTTCCCGCCCTGCGCTGCCGCTTGATTTGTCCTCACAAGTTGTGACTGAGAGTGCTCAGACCAACATTCCATCCCTATGGAAGCCCTTATTATTTTTTCAAACAAAAAGAAGAAAAAAAAAGAAGAAGAAGAAAAGGATTGACAGGGGATGTCCTTGTTGAGAGGGTACGGGGCGGTGGGAAATATTCCGATGGAGGGAGGGGGAATATGGATAGTGTCTCTCAATATTTCTCCCCTCCCTTGACAAGGCACACACACGCTCTCGCTCACGCTCACACACAATCACATAATGAGACATACACACCCTTGAACTTGGCTTGAATTGGATTGTCAACACTAAGGTCAACGGTTTGATAGACAGCCGCAGAAAGCCTCCCCTCTAGCCTACTGTTCTTAGCCTGCCGTAGTCTCTTCTCCAGAAACTACTGTAACTAACCCATTACCCGTTGCATCAGCCAGCCATGGTCAGTCCACTACTGCAATGGACCACACTGTTCTGTATGTATGTATGTATGTATGCATGCCGCGAGGCTGCATTTCAAGATGCAATTCATGACCGAGTCCAGGCTCTTACTCTTATTGTCTAGGTAGTGGTCAATATCATCTCTAACCATGTGGATCGGATCTAATCGACTCTATGTTTGTCTCTTCTCTCTGCCTGCCCTACCCCTCTCTTAGCATCCTCCATTCTCTCACCTACATCTTCTATCTGCATCTTATCCCACCGCTCTTCGTAAACCACACCAAGAGAGCTAGACTGCTGGAGGTCTCCATAACAAACAAAGAGCCGCCTGTACAGTTCGCGTCCCCCCGCCATTCCATCCCATCCCATCCCTTCCCTCCCCTTCCCTCCTCTTCTCTTCTCTTAATCAGCCGTCAATTAGTCAAAGGCAAACGCCGTTTCTGTCCCTTGGGCGATACTGGCTCAAATAATGTGCTGTAATGTCCCTACGGCCCCCCAAACCTTACTACTGTAAACGCCTTTCCCGCTTCCGTTCCCCAAACTCTCAGGTACATGCACTCTAATAACTGCCCATGTCGTACGTACGTATATCATCATCAAATTCAAAAGCATTTTACTGTACCTACTCCCTCCCACTGAATAATACTTACCCTTGTAAATCTCAACGGTATCTGCCGCGTATCCGCCGGGAGTCTTCGGGTGACACTTGATGAACCTCGCATCTTGCTCGCCCAATCCCCTCTAAGACTGTTCTGTTCGGTTCATACTGTACTGTAGAAGACCTCCTCTCCTCCCCTCTCTGAGAGGCCTGTTCCCTGATCCCTAGCCTGCTAGGTAGCTCTAGTTGCTAGCTCTTAGTCTTTCTTTTGTCCCTGCCACTTAGTCCCTGGCTCCTTGCCTTGCAAGACCTTACCTGTTCTCTTTCAGTTTCTCCTCTTGTCTCCTCATCCCCTCTCCAGCTTTGTGCATCTCCGCTTACTCGACACTTCCTCTTTAGGTAGCTTAGTGTAATACATTGACAATCAACCACTGGTTCCAAACTCCGTCCCTCAGTTGTTAAGTCCATAGGCAGTAATTTCGGTTGGCTTGATTTTAGTGTATCACGTAAACACATTCAGTACTGTCAGTGCCTACTCCAAGGCCATCTGTTGGTTGTGCCTTTGAATCTTGAGCCACTCATTGGCTCGTTTTCCCTTCTCCGCCCGGGCTTGCGCCTGTAAGAAACCAATCATTAGCTGAGCACAGTGGAGACAAGAGCCTAATCACCGAGTCCAGTCCAACAGACAGAGATGAGCTCGACGAGACGGGACGAGACCATACAGGCAGGCAAATGTCTTTTCAACATGAAATGCCCTTGAATCACAAGCCATATCACATCATGTACGAGTCTTGATCAAATTCTCAACAATAATTCTGTTTATACATGGTTGTCACCCTATTGGATTTGACCATCGCGATCAGTACTCAAGTGCGTAGGCAAAAAAAACAAAAAAAAAAAGTGAAAAGTAATCTTCAGAATCACCCCCGCATCCTTTGCTATCATCCTCCTCACGTAGCCCTGAGCTCGCTGACTCTGTTTGGCATGTTATCTTCTCCTCCAGCACCTTTTGCTAGCATCTGGCTTTTCTCTTTCCTCCAGTCTCCAGAACCCCCACCCTTAAACATAACACGAGGCCATATCGCTACGGCTTTCGTTCTCTCTACCCAATTGGCAACAATAGCAGAAGAGATAACACAACCAACTCAATCAAATGTACAAACGTGACAAAGCATCAGCATAAACAAAACAAAACCGTATGGTGCCGTGAGGCTATCCGTCTTTCCTGGAAACACATAGTGGCCGACCGATTAAAAATAATACAACGACTTCGCAGTGGTTGCTTTTTCGGGCAAATTCTTTCCCCCTTCGAGAAACGAACAGTCTGTCAAGGACAATTCACATAAATCAAGTTCCGCATAACAACAAGTCCAGTAAACCATGAGAACCGAACGGAGGGGTTGTTTGTTGCCAAACTCGCGTCTTTTTCTAGATCCTGACATCTTGTCCTGTATTTGTTATCGCGATCCCCCTCCGCCTGCTGTTTTCTTTTTCCTCCTCAGTTGAGCCACGCTCCTGTCACTTCCCGGTCAACGAAAATGTAGGCGTGTAATCGATTCGGAAAGGGTATTAAAAACAATGCATTCGTCATCAACTTGTCGGTAGCCTTCCAGCGGAAACCAACAGACTCTTCGGCAAGCGTTGTCATATATAATTCCGACCCTCTCCGTTGACGTGTCCGGCAGCGTCAACTCTCACCTGCAATCCCCTCAGCGGCTGACATCTCGTCGTGCGCCAGGTTGACCAGGTGCAGGTCGGTTGAGCCTGTCAATCATAGTCTTGTCGATATCGCTTTTATCTACCAAATTGCTCAGACTCATGATCGATGCATTTCCCCCTTGGGACTGCTGTCCCTGTCTCGCGGGGGTGGACGCACCACTTGATCCATTTTGGCCGGTCGGGGAACGACCGCCGGGTGCAGAAGCTGCATAACTACCAGTTGTTGCAGCTTGAGGCAAACTGCCGCTCGTTGGGTTTCGTGGGCTCTGTCTTGCACCTTGATACGGAGGGTACCCCACCCCACCTGGGCTGCTGTGGTTTGAAAATTCTGCTGGAGACCTTCTGCGCGGGTCTTCGTCCACGGCACTTCGTGGCGGAGGCAGTCTGTAGCCTTCATCCTGTTCTTCTGACGTCCTGCGACGCCGTCGCCCTGCAAGCTGGCTACCGTCATCAGTTCTCGCATCGCCATAAGACGAGAAAGATTCTGTGGGTGACTGGACAGGTGCGTAGTAGTTCCCAGGAGGGGGAGGGGCACTAGAATGCTGATAAGCAGCATGAGGCGGTGGAGGTGCCGGGACTGTGCCTGGTGCCAGTGGTTGCCCGTAGGCACCGAAAAGTTGAGTGCCTGGGGGTACACCTCCTGGGAGCGCTGACACGGGGATAAAAGCTGTCGAGCTTGAAGAAGATACGGGTTGAAAGATACATTCTTGGTTCATACGGGCGCAATTCTGGCACTTGCCACCAGGGGCGCTCTGGTAGCCGCTGCAGCGGATCTATAGATAGTCAGCATTTTTTGAGCGGCAATGGAACAATCCTCAAACACCGCGTCAGTCACAAACCTTTCTCTTCCGGCAATATCTACAAGCAATTGAAGTTCGTTGTCGTGGGGCTGCCTGTGTCAAAGGAGGCGCATTGCCATGTCCGACTGGGGGGTATTCATAGACACCAGCGGGGATGTGACGGTAGCCTGGGTGGCCATTTGGCGGTGGGGGTCCTGGAGGAGGAGGTTGTCCACGGTAGTAGGCATAGTAGGGATCCGTGCCATACGGCTCTTGCCCGTATGGTGGACGGCGGTCATCGTAATAGCCACCTCGTTGGTCCGGCGGAGGAGGAGGATAGGCCGAAGATCGGGGGTCAGATTGCGGCTGCAAAGGCGGGAGGTACTGTTGAGGTTGACCGGGCGGAGGCTGATGGCCGGGAGGAGGGTAACCATTGACGGTATTGGGAGATGCGTATCGCGGGTCGGCAGGATAGCCACGTCCCGGAGCTGCAGGCGGCGGGCCGTAGCCGCGAGAGTCGTGGATAGAGGGCAAAGTAACTGAAGTAGCCATGCTGGACGGAGGAGCGTCGGAAGGCCGCTGCGCGGTATCCGGCGGAGGAGGATAGTGTGACTGGGGTCGGGAGTGAGTGTCTTCTGGGCGGCTCTGCTGGGGATACTCTTTTCGGTAGCTGTCGTCGGCCATGCTATGTTGAGGCGCAAAGGGCCGCAGACGGGCAGATGCGGTCAGCGACGATGATACCAAATGCGTGCAGGTGAATGAGCTGAGGGACGTTTCTGCGACTGGGCATTTGGCGGTGGAAATAATCCAAGACCAAGTCGAAGTGGAGGGAAGAGGAAATGGTCAAGTAATCTAAACTGAGTCGTCGAGATCCTGGTCTGGCTTTTACTCTCTTGACTTGTCGCGCGTGTCTTGTGCCTACTGTCTTGTAGGCCGACGGGATGACCGATTGCTGCGAGTCAAGAATGAGTGACTGAGTGTATGTCTCGGCGGGAGATGACAGCAAATTCCACGAGGTCTTGGAACCGCAATCCAAAGCCTGGCCTGACAGAGGTTCTGGTTCCTGAGAGGCGGAGGAGGGTGAAAATGGTCTCTGACGTGGGCGGGAAGAGTGCGGCAGGACAGGCCGACAATTATAGCGAGGGAGGGAAGGGATGGGAGGAACCTCCGATCCAATCTGATCCACGTCGACGGTGTACGTGCGTGGGAGGAACCAGGAACCACCCAACCGTAAATGGAGCCTGGGGTTTTTGGGGATTGTGGATTGTGGATTTGCTTTGAGAGGACTGGGATTTGAGACTTGGTACTGGGGGTGAGGGAAGAAAAAATAAATAAAAGAGGGGACACTTCTGGGCCCTTTTTTTTTTCTTCCTTTCCCTTTTTCTTGGGGGTGCGGAAATAGTCAGGTGAGAGACAAAATATGTACTGTCTCCCTCCTACTGCTGTCTGTCTCGCTGTGCGTGTCTGCAAGAGGAGATATCTCCCCCCCCAAAAAAAAACCAAACAAAAAAAAAAGCGTTTGTCGATCGACGTGAGATTGAGATATGTTTGACGCCCCGAATAGAAACGGGAAGAGCGTGGTTTGTCCTCGTTTGAGCGACCTTCCTTCTTTTTTTTTGTAACTTTGTTTCTTTTTCCTTCACGGGTGACAACAGTACAAACAAGGTGCCATCCCCTGAACCAACGTCAAACAGGAATGAGATTCCGGCTTTAATAATGGTGTTTTGGTTGCACTTGATGGGAATGTTGATGGTGAAGAGAGAAGGTTGCAAGTGGAGAGTTGAAGGATTGAGAGGATATGTATGATGGAAAAGTAAGATGGGAAGGTGAGGGAGAGTTGGTCGGTGTTAAGGTGAGGGTAAGGTAAATTCAGGGCAGGTGCTATACCTACCACGTCAAGCTACAGGTAAGGTATCTCTCTCTCAGAAGGTGCCCTCATCCCATGCAATTGCGGCGACAGGGAAGTGGGGAGCTAATGGTAGGGGATGAAGGGGTGTGAGTCTAACGAGAGCGACTAAGAGAGGGTTTGTGCGAGGGGCCAGGCGCAGGTGCAGCGTGGTGTAGTGTAGTGCGCAGTGTAGTGTAGTGCAGTGCAGTAGTAGTAGGAAGGAAGGGGGGTTTCTTAGGGTGAGATGTTGTGTGGATTGACCGACTGAACTGACGGACTGACTGGCAGGGCAGTGGCGGAAGGCCAGGGCGGGAGTAAGTTAATGGGACGGATGGGCCGGTGTCGTGCCGTTCCCAGGGAACCGGCCCCAGCTAGTGGAGGTAGTTAGCAGGGCACCTCATGGCCCAAAAACCAAAAAACCACTTTAGGGACAGCTCCCGTCCTCGGGGTACTGTAGTGCACTGTATCTAGGTACTGAGGTAGGCAAGCCCCTAAGGTTAGGTTCCTTAGTAGCTGACCTGGTACCTAAGGTACCGTACCCGCTGCAGCCCGAGCAGCCTGCCCTGTCCTGAGTTTAGCCCAGGTACTGTACCCAGGAGCCAGGCTGCCAGGCCAGTTCGACTAATTATTAGGTTAGAAGCAAACCTACGAGTATGGGCAAGATGAGACTGCATTAACGATCATGGTCTCAGCCAAGTCTCCATACAATACAGTACAGTATGGACGGCAAAACGCCTAACAAAAACTAAGCTGCACAAGCGCCTATTCTGATACAAGCTATCGATCTTTCAATGGTAGACTATATTTAACAAACTTCCAAAGAGGCAGGCAATAAGAACTAGATGTAAAGGAAACAAAGCATAGAATCGGGCCCAGGGCGTTTCTGGCGTTAAGGTCAAGGACTAGAAGCCAGCCCGGCCCGGGAGATGAAAAGACCAGCTGAGCACGTACCAGACTGATTGCAACGGAGTGGACTGCCTTGAGAACCACTGACGGGTAGAATAACTACCTAGTGCCTATAAGTAGTCGTAAAATCTGGAAGCCTGAGATCCGCGAACAAGTTGAGGTTAGCCAAGTGACAATGGCAAGTCTGTACCTACACAGATAGTCATCGACGCCTCGAGGAACGGACCGTAAGCGATTGGCCCAGCATGTATCGCAACGCAACGCAGCGCACCGCATCGTCTTTGTTCTTTTGGACCAGGGCCGCAATTCAAACAGAGGACGCGACACAATAGAAGATTGCTTCCTCCTTGACATGCATCCTTGATTCAATAAGAGACAAGCACAAAAGAGGCTTTCTGTGGGGAGTTGGAGATCCTTGGAGGTGCGCAAGGCTATTGCCTCCAGGCACTGGGCCTATCAACCGATCCTCTGGGACTCTGCCCTCGTCGTGCCGAGCCTCTGAAGCGTCAGAGGGCGGAAAAGCAAGGCAGCGGATAACAGTTATCAATAAGGGTAATTGCAGAGACCAAACAAGTCTCAGACCATAATATTAACGCAAAGTAAAGATTAATAAGCGAGGGGCAAGAGAAATATGCTTGGACATTGGGCTCTTCTCCCGGCTGGAATGTCCACCGACAACCACATCTCAACGGGCACGGCACCTCCCTCTCGCGTGTCTTGTCTCTAGGCATTGCCTGATGGGCCTACTGAGACCCTTAGACTATGTTCTTCAATCAGATTGATCATGTCTTGGCCTGACCGTCCACGCCCGTGGCTGTCGACTAGCTCTTCTTGCCTGTTCAAGCTCATTGTATTCGTGTTGCTCCATTCCCTCGGCCCATTTTGTGTATCAACTCATCCAATTTCACAACAGAGACATGTCGTATGGGAGAGGACACAGTCAGACACAAGTCCTCGGCATAAACCCATTCAGACTGATGCAGACTTGCCAGTCAGTACATATCCAAAAATGGCACACCCGCAAAAGCGCGGCAATTCAAGGTTTAATTCCCGTAGTTGTAAAGATCAAAATGCCACAAGGTTCGTTCAACGCCCGTCGTTTGCCGCCTCAATTAGCAATAGTCACGAGGCCAAAGGTTTGGTGGGTTGGTGCTTTTCGAAAGAGGCACAAACCAGATATGGATGCAAATCCAGGCGGGGACATGACCGAAGATACATAACTAAGAACAATAACACAACGCCTGTGTTTTAGCAATATGTGAAATTTGTTCTCGCCTCTCGCGTAAGGCCAGAGTGAAATATTTCGATTGGCGTCCAAGTAAAAGGATTTCCAGGTGAGGGGTTCTTTATTAGCGTCGTGGTTTGACATCCAATGTTGCTGTTGCTGCCAATCTTGTGTGCTCATGCGTTCCAGCGGTTTGGAAAAGGTTCAGCATATCAAGGCTGAGGCATGACCAGGGAACAGAGCGTAGGGCGCAGCAGCACAAAGCGTCACAGGATATAAAATGCTGGGTCTTTCTGAGCGTGTGTACAGAAGCACCAACAGCATGTGGGTAGTATGTACGAATACCGCATCCTCTGTGTATTGTCTGGCGTCAAATGGGCCGAACCACACACGCCCGACACCATCTCGTCCTTCAATCATGACTTGGCTGTAGCATAATTGCTGGTACCTTACAGCAGTCGAGGGGTAAACAGCCGAGGCGGCGACCCAAGCGGTAGTGGATCCATCTGACCAAGGAGATGCTGGGCAAGTCCAGCTGGTGTTTGATTCCGTTCAGAGCAAAGCTCCAAGCGTCTCAGCCGCATGAATGCATCCCTCAATAGATGAGAGATGCGAGTAACTACTATGTATGATGGCTGGACAAACGCCGGATCCGCCTACAAGGCAAGCCCAGGTCTTAAAAATTAGCTGGCAAAACAAAAGATGTTTCTCCTCGAGTGCGTACGTGCGCTGGCAAGCATCTTTGTGGATCACTCTCTAACCAGGGAGAACAAACATTGTGAGCTTTGCACACACAAAAAAAGGGAAAAGGGTGGCCCGTTTGTGAGAGTCGTGGTTGATAGACGTACGTAAGAGTTGGGCAGGTGGGCATTGATAGCCTGGGAATGGCCGAACCTATCAGAGGCAAGATGCACCCGGAGCTCAGAAAGCGACTTGCTAGATGTGGCATCAGCCTGGTTAGGACATCGTATCCAACCAAGTCAGAGGATATGAGTGAAGCAATGGAAGCCGAGAGGCTCTATAATGTTTCCCATGCCTAGAAACATACATACATCGTGAAGGTAGTCCGCTGAGTTGAACTCATAACTGGGAAAACTGCCCAATCATGAATCAGTGTAACGCTGCTGGGGCTATCGTCCATCTCGTTAGAAACAGGGACAGAACAATAGATGCTGTCAGGGCGTTGCACTGCGCGAACGAATGGTTTGGGGTTTCTAGAGCCCCGAACCTTGGGCCGCTGCGTGTTCTGGGGTTCTGCGCTTGTTCCCGACGGCGGGTTGCAGAGGCGGCCGCAGGATGCATTGTGAGTGTGTGCCAGATGTTTTGGGTGCTATGCGTAGCCTCTCAGAGGGGTAGGTCTATGAATGATGATGATGATACTGGCAGTTTGAGCATGAGTGTGAAAACGACCCCGACCCTGGTAACAGTCGTGGGACCTGGCTGCTGGGCTCGCTTGGTGGACCTCGGTGCGGCGGATTCGAGCCTTGGACGACGATAGTGGAAATGGCCGACGCAATTAGTTAGTTAGTGTTCCTTTTCATGCGAATCCCTTGTATGTATCATTCATGCAACTCAACCGCTTTCTGCTTCGTGCAGTGGTCTCGTCTGCTCCCTTGCAATTCACTATTTCAGGCCCTCTGTATGAATCTACTCTTTTTCTGTGTCACTTCAGTGTTTCTTGCCCACTCGTTATTCAGTGCTCTTCAAGATCACTCTTGAGTCATATCAGCAGAGTTGGTAAAGCTTATCTATCCCTTCGATGTCGAAGCCAGCGAGAACGATTGGCTCGACGGGCCTCGCTTTTTAGACGAATATGTTGGTCCATGAAGGCCAACCTCCTCCATTGGTGATTTCGTCTGTAAAAATTGCTGTTGTCCTTTGACAAAACTTGAACATAAGTTGGTGAGAACGAACTGGGAAATGATGCATGACGACTTTCTGAGATGACATGAACAGGGCCAAGGTCTCGCCAATGATCGCGGCTGCACGGCGCTGGGTTACCTGGGACGGTCCGGCCTGCGTTGGTGCTGTAAGCTACCTTAGGATCCTGGGACGCTGAAACGCTGGGACCATGCCAGTCCTCATCCATTCAAACTCCATGACCGATTTCATTCTTGGGTATCTGCTGCCAGAGCCTCTGCCACACTACTTACTGTCGGTGAATTGACGTTAGACAGAAAGGAAAATGTACATGTTTGTGACAATCATTACCGTCGCAGTATCGCACACTTTTCTATGTATGGCCAACTCGTTGACCAAGTATTAATGGAGTACTTTTTGAAAAAGGTACTACCGTCAAGATCCAGCCATTGCACTGGACCCCACGGCCAAGTGGCGTGCCGCTCTCGTACAGTAGTCCCCGGAGAAAGAAACGACGCCTCGGTGCAGATAGGTATTTATTTATGGCAGATACGAACGAACAGATTCATATCACTCATGCTACCCTTCTTAGCTTGCTTGAACGCGGGGTCAGTCGAGAGGAGATGGTATGCTGCGGGACAAGCAAAGAGCTGACACGCAGTTATCGGCAAGCTATGAGTTGCGTTTGCTCACCGCTATGTAGGTCACCACAGGAGCTCTCGACAGTCAAACATTAGGCTATGCAATGCGACATGCGTGAAGTACCGCATAAGTATCCTAACAAGATATGGCCTGTCTGTAATAATTGATTCAGTTATGCGGTGAGCATCTGTGTCGTTTGTTGTATGGCATCAGGTCGGTGATTCGGAGAGGGAAAAAAGAAAAAAGTGATTTGTGCGAGCAGTTCCATGACTGGTTAATCCCACTCACAGCATGCTTGATAAATTATGTGATCTGATGCACACCGTGGTAGTAATCGACCGAGATGATCCGCTTTGCTGATGCTTACTTTCGAATTTGTCTACTCTGCATCGTGCCAGCCAGGCAGCAAATAGGTTGGCAGGCAGGAAAATTGGCTAGATGTCAAAAGTCAACGTGATGTGACTCGGCACTGCTCGTACAAGGACTCACTCCCAGTGGTGTTGTCGAAAGTACAACTCAGTTTAAATCGTGTTGTACAAATGAAAACGCTACCCTGCGTCGTTTGATGCTGTTTGAAGTGCACGCAGACATCATGCTCGGGGCAGCAGTATTGTCTGGAAACGGATCAAGGGGGGCTAAATGCAACGGCTTTGCTTATCAACGCATGTTTTGTATGGTGTAGAGGTGTAGAGCATGCCGTTGTGATGATGATGATTGAATACTTGATCCGGAGCCACGAGACAGTAAACGTCGGTTACCGTTAACCCCACCAAGAGCTCGTCATTTGGGTGCCATCTATCCGTAAATGCACTGCGGTTCAACCCGCAACTCTCGAGATAGCGCCGGGCTTGACAACCAAACGCGCTGTATAACCCTGGACATGCACGAGGTATTAGCCAGCGTGGTCCATCTGTTCATCCCTGCTTCATCGTCCATGTGCCTTCGATGTTTTTTGGACTTTCTTGGGTTGGTGCCCCTCCCTGACAGGGACCAGGTGACGAGCATCCACACGACTCATGCAGGTCGACGCTCAGCTCCACGCTCACTCATCGGCGCCAGAGTTGGCTTGAAATAAGCAACCAGTCAGACACGAGGAAGCACACAGTACGGCTTCAGACAAACCCAATAGAACGGCTGCCCTGCGCTTTAGATCGGGTCATAGCACACTGTCTTGACTGCTCATGGGAAAAAGCATTGGTATGTATGCATGTCCGATGACCCCTCTCAAACATTCATTGCCTTCGAGGTCACCCCTTGGTCCAAATATGGTTTCGTTTGTATGATTATGCAGCCCTCCACACGGCATAAGTTACTTTGCCTGAAAATACTGAAGGTTGTATAGATGATGCTGATTGGTGTGTTGGCTTGAAGCCAGTTTGGACTTGGCCCTCGTACTGACGAGGTGGTGCGGAGAAGTTTTTTTTTTTTTTTTTTTTTTTTTTTTGCGGGATCCGATAGTCTTCCACCAAATCTTCAAGTTACTCGGGCTAGAGGCATTTTCGCATGCTGGATGGTGTTGGTGTTGAAGCGAGATGATTGCCGATCATTATGAGATCCAGTGGCTGATACAAGCCGCAAGTCGGCAGCCTAACCACAAACGCATACAGAAATACAGCGACATGTGGCCATCTCATCATCTTGTTTGAGGCAAAAGCCATGTATATGATGGCAGAATCAAGGCCCCGATCGCGGAGCTGACCACAACGAATTGGAAGCAGAGCCACAAATCTGATAGACAACACCGTGACACCTAGTTTAAGTGACAAGTAAATTGACCGACAAGTCGAATCCTCTGATGAGACAAGCCTGGGGTCAAAGTCTATCATTGGTCAGTCCTCCGACCGCACCAAATCGCTGGATGCCGGATCGTTGCGTGTCACGAACGCTGACGGTGGAGCAAGTCTCCGATTCTCTGGAAACTGGGACAGAAATCTGGGCGCTATCAGAGACGGTGCTTGTTCAAGTGACTTGCAGTGAGCCAATCAGGGGCGTAACCCGTCTTTCTATCCCTAGCCACATCCAAGGCACGGGAGCGGCGGGCTTCTTTAGCTTTGGGCAATGAAATTCTGTTTCGAAGGGGGGTGCCTTGTATTTGCGGAGCATCAAGTCAATCCATGAACACTTATCAGCTGAAAACCCGCAGCCACTGTTCCTCTTTGTATGAGAAGTCAGGACATAGGCAAAAGAGAGAATGTGGATGTGTCTGTGCTGCGATTGCATCCCTTGCCGCAACAACCTGGCCATTAGCATCATGCGTGTGTGGGATGGGCCAACACGTCACTTGCGTCAGATTACAGTATCAACGAGCGCAGTAGGCCGAGGCCCCAAAAGTTTGGTAAAAACGCATATCGGGGAATCGATTTCGTGAGAACAGGCACGGATATGGCCTGAGCCGTTCACAGAAAAGGCTCTTCCCGTCCCGACCATGTACACCCGAGCCTTCCTTCGCCATGCCGCTGGCCTTCCTATTCGCCGGCCGTGCAGAATTTGTCAATGACCTTGTCAAATAATACCGACCAGCACTGCACGATGTTACGTTTTTGCTTGCTCGTGCATGACGATATGCATCTTCTATGTCTGCAGGATGTCCAATCTCACGCCTTGGTGTTAGGGTTGCCGGACCATACAGTTCTGAAGGAAGCTGGCTTAGCCATATTCAGATTGCTGACCGCTAAATACCGGAGTCGAGCTCTCTTTAATGCCTCTGCCCTTCGGTTCATGGTATTGCTCTTGACCACAAACAAGCCTATGGGGGCGTTCATTTGGCCAGCTCGGTTAAATCAGTGAGTCAATCAGCACCAAATGACCTTCTGCCTGTTCTCGGTACGATGCAGGAAAGGCTTGAAGGATGCCAACCCAGGAGATCCTCACAACAAAGTGAGGCGAGTTGGCCGGTTTTAGCCAAGAATAATAATCCATGGCGAACGCAATCAAGGCTGGTAGCAAATGCGAGTTTGTGATTCAATTGTCGGTAAGCAACCAGTGCAACAGACAGGTATCGTCGCGGCATGAACTGGCAGAGTGCCAAAATTGACGCAGTGGTGTCGGGTTTCTTGGTGGGCCTGGCTGGGGTGGTCTGAGCCATACGGGGCATGCGGCTTCTAGGTGCGCATCGGGCCGCAAGGGCTGTCCCGTCCGAAGGAAGGGACGGGTTTTTGAAGGGAGACAACTTTGACCAACCCGGCAAGCCGCGTCAAGTCTGCTTCACGTGAAAAGACTCCAGCCGTGAATGGACAGAAGCTGCAAGTCAACCATGAGTCGTCAGAAGCCATCATAGAGAGGATCAACGATCGCTAACACTGGCGAATCTTGGCTACAAGGGGCCTTGTACTGGGGCATCATGCCCAGGCTTGACAAAGGTGTTGCAATTTAGTCGTTTCATCTTTTGCCAGCCTCCCAACGTTGATGTTCATCCTGCAGCAGACGTGGTGCGCTAGACTCAGGCGGACATGGAATGCGTGACCAGGATGTACATTGCACCGAGACATTCGGCTGCCGAGCCCAATAGCCCAATGCCGAAGCACAAAACCAGTGAGTATGAGAATGTATGCACAATAGCTGTAGTTAGATGGCGCTGTGCTGTTGATGCATTTGCATGGGCGAGTTTTGATCCATCTGAAGAACTGGAGCAGAGTGTTGATGAGGCCCTGGTACATACCAGATGAGCGGAGCTGCCAATCCCTGTCGATTATGACTTTGTTTTGTTGGAGAGATTACGAAGGAAGCTGACCTATCAGAGCGCCGGTCTTTCTCCTGTCGACAGCCTGATCATTGAGCTTTCTTTCGCTGGCCCCTAACAAGGAAGAAGAAGAAACCAGGGCCTTAGCCAAGTCAATCATCACAACAACAACAACTATTCCATGCCTGAAACGAGAGACTTATCTGCCAGGGGCCCTGCAAACATTGATGGTCGAATAAAAACGACCGGATGGGATCCCGGAATATCCTTGGCTTCTTGATCGTCGCTCACATGATCGATTCTGGCTGCAGGGAAATCTGTTGAGGCACTGTGACAGTGGATTTGCAGGTAGGCGGGCAACGTTGACAGGGCTTACTCCTAAATCCCTATGCATAGGTACCTGTTCGAATAGAAGATCGAAAGAAAATACAAGTCAACTGGGGTAACAAATGATAATAAGTATTGGATTGGATGTTTTGTCTTGTCGCGTCAGCTACAATGGAAATAGGATGTGGACTGGCCCTAAGCTGAGTGCATTGGATCCCTGTCGCTCCGTTCTTGACAGTCGTTGGTTGCTCGTTGCCACTGCAAATTTCTGAAAACAAGAATCATAACTCTCTCAGGCAACAAAATATCCAAGAATAAATGGTTGACTCAAGAAGGAAAGTCAGTAGACTTTTTGAGGCTCGTTGGTTTGTTGAAATATTGGAGGCGTATCACTTGAGAAAGTGAACATTGCGGCTCGGGCACGGGCGGTGACGGAAGGAGGGGACATGAGGTAATCTGTAAGCACGTTTGATTTCAGTGGTACCTTCCAACTGCTAACCATCTGTCATGATATGCCACCTTCTTTTTCAATATCGCGCTTTCCGTGGAATGGGAACGGGAAGCTTCTTGCCTGAGATGCGAGGCACCTTATCATATTAATCAAAAGATTCGCAGCAAAGACTCTTGGTTCTTTCAACACACCCTTTTCCTTGGTTCAGATCTCAATCGGACGGACTCCTTCAATTGCTGGGAAGGTGTTTTCTTGCCGTGTCTCAATTTAACCTTGCTTTTCCCTTGTTTCCCTGGTACCAATAATAAGCGCAGATTGGGGCAGCCCCTTCGACTCGACGATCTCTGTCCGGCACACAGTACATACCACCAACAGCTACCGCATGCAATGGGTCGACAGAAAACGGGCCGGGCCATAGAGTTCAAGAGTCCACTCTACGATGAGGGCCAATCAATAACATACATGCAGCAATCGCGAGGGTCTAACGCCGCCAAAGCGTCACTTGAGAAACGATCGATAATCCACTTCAGTACCAAAGTCCTCATTACAAAGAAGACTCATAGCCTTGTCGTGGAGTAAGGTGAGATACGATCAGTGCCAAGAACCGGAAAGAAGCAACGACCTCATAATCATGCGGGAAAGCTGATGTATATTATATGTAGCTATTGATGTATGATTCACCATGGAAGTAGGCTAACACTACGAATCTGACCAATGCTGACAGCCTGCAAAACAGTCGGCCAATGGAAACACAAGCAAAGTTGAGGTCCAACAACTAAGACATTTGCTCTGATGTGCAGCGCTCTGTAAAGCCTATGCACTGATGCAGGCATCCAGAGTTGGCACAAAATTCAGTTTTGGGGTTGTACCAGATCTTTTGGCAACAGCCAAACAGCAATACAGCCAAATCTAACGTTATCACGTCGACAAACTCTCTTATTTCCACAAAAGCCAAGTCAAATACCTAGGCCGCAGTGATGTTCAGGCTGTCCCGATTCCCCGGGGCTGGTGTCAAGATTGACATTGCGGCTTGCACCATAAGCTGCCGTCACGCTCGCTTGTCACAGTTTCGACTCCATCTGGAGGGTCCACCTCCAAAGGCTGGCTGAGGCAAGGCCCGGTCCGCCAATCGCACACGTCGGCCAATAATCACGTGAGTCAGAGCTCATGCGGAAGATCCTTGCTAGCTCGAGTAGGCTGCATGTCTCCCGCAATCAGTCCCAGTTTTCCTCGGGCGCCGTGGCTTTAATGGTCGGGCCGCCATACCTTAATGAGACAGGCGAGGCTACCGTCTCATGGACTTGATTGCTTGTTGACTTGCAACAAAATAATGGAGGGGGGTCAGCCCAGGGGTGCGCCAAGAAAAGTCGAGCAGTCATATTTTTTTTTAAATGGCGTGGCAGCGACCCAAATATCTGGCACTCCTGACCGCTAACAAAAATAAATATACAACACTGCATGCAGAAGGAATTCTGGGCCTGGAGGGGAGGGGGGAAAACAACGGGAGCAAGGGTTGACGGCTGCAACTACAGTTGCATCCATCCAGCAAAGCCTGCCACGTCGCAATTTCACGGCGCGGCACGGTCGCTGGACACTTCGCGCCATCCCGGGGCTGCATGTCATCCTGCGCCCTCAAAGACCCGGGTACACAATTACAGTGCGAATTTAGTAACAGGAGCGCAGAACCCGATTTCTTTGCCAATATTGGAAAAGAAGCCGCCGTCAGTCAGCCCCTTGTCACTTCCGCTTCGATCCCCTCTTCGGCAAAGGAGCAAGCCAATTATTGCCGTGTCCCAGCCAATGCGAGCCTAGTCCACACCTCAATTCCTCAAACAGAAGAGACTTGAAGAAATATGTTACGGGCCGTTTGGTGCATCGTTTGTACGTACATGTGTGACGTGACACTGGCCTCAAGATACAGCACCACGAAGCAAGCAAGAGGTGTTCTTTGTCCAGGTACTATCGCACCACGAGACCTCGCCTGCATGCACGGCGACCTGCAGGCTGAAGAATGCGCGTTGATCTGGCCTGGAGTGCCATTTTATGACGAGACGGGAACGGGGCCCCTGCGAGAAGACACGCCCCGGGTTTATTCTTTGCTCTGCTTCAATTTGATGATGAATACAATACACCTTGCATTTGTTGTGGTGCCAATTGTCTCGGTCTTGGTCCAGCGAATTCTCATCCATCGCAGGTTCAGCCAGCCCAACCGCGATTGTGTCTCCGTTGAGCGGGTCCAAACAACGTTCGATGCCGGCCACCAGTGATTAAGGCGACCAGCAAAAGAACGGGTAAGAACTGGTCTTGAGCGCCGTCACGGAAGACCTTCTGCCGAATCTCGAGGTGCCGTGAATCCCGGCATACGGAGCAAGACTTTGGTGAAGCTGGCAACCCCCCGGTACCAGAAAAATTGTATTTTGCCATGGCAGTTAAGCGGTGAGGTGGTCGATCTGACTACAATACTCCGTATGCATCCATCCGACATTTGCATTCCTTTTTATCTGCAGAGATCATCGTTTTCATTCGCTTGCATTGTGACGGGCTCGTATCCCAGTCGGGCGGGCGAAACGACTTTGGTGAAATTATTATCTGCACACTCATAAGACATACAAGCAGTGATAGAGTGGCCAGAGTGGTCAACAAAAGAACTGCCGGCCAGGGGCAGGAAACAGACCTGAGACAGTAGGTAGATGCACATCGCCTTTCCTGGAATGACCTATCTGCTGCAGCACTCGAGATGCATCGTTGTTACCGCTTCAAAAGAAAGGAGCTGCTGCGGGATGGTATCATCCCTTGCAGGCCCGGCGATCAGCGTTGGGCGAGATGAAACCCCGCCCTTTCTTCTCTTTGGGCTTTGTGCATAGCAAGGCTCACAAGGCGGGATGCCAACTCGTACCACTTTGCTGGTTAGACGGCTGCATGGCCCTGGGCACCGTGACACCTGGGACATGAGGAATGGGATGGGGGATGGGGAATGCCTGCAGTTGACCGTTTACATGACTATTCCTTGGTTACAATACGACTACGACTGTGATCACTGACTGTCATGTACTTTTCGATACGTACTATGCCTTATTGTACCTTCAGTGCACCCCTCGCGGTTGGCGGACCGGTGCGCTCGTGCAGCCGCAGGATCACGGATCACCCGCAATTCGATCCTGGTTTGTTAGGCCAAACGTTTCTCTACAGCACGTACCCAGTCAAATCCTCAAGCACGGCCTGTCCAAGACGGCCACGTTTGTTGTCGAGGCATCTGCAGTGTTCTACAATGAGCGGATCATTGAATGGCTGCCGTATCACTCGAATCCCGACAGGTTGAGGAACATGTTTCATCAACCACCGAGTGCAAGTTGTACCGCGCCGTTTGTTGCGGTGTAGTTGCTATCAATGGATCGAGCTTGGCTCCGTGTCTCTAATTAACGGGCGGGAGATATTGCTGCGCTGTTTACTCCTGTCGTCATAGAGCCAAACTGCATTACCAGTATCAGAACAGCCCTCGACCAAGTGCGGGGTCTTTCTCTTTGGTCGGCGACTTGATAATGGACGGCGGAGATATCGTCAAAACTCTGCGAACATATGTCTGCGACACGAAATTAACTGCCCGAAAAGTCCCCGCTGCAACTTGTATAAGACAGCCAAACTGAGAAGTCGACAGAATTTTGTCTTACACCGCATCAACCGCATTCGACTCTCCGTGAAACCACGTCCGGACTCTCGACAGGTACCGTTTGTCTTATGCGACCATACTTGCTCCTCCTCCTGTACAACTTGGTCACTGTTTCACCTAACACTGATCCCGACCTTGCAACCATGGCCGACGTCGTATCCGAAAACCAGGCTTATTTTGGGTGCGTATAATGAATGAGCGTTTGGTTTTTGTACTGGATGATCATCGCCAACCCGTTTGACTGTATGCGGTTTGCTTATTGGTAGTCATTTGTTATGCTCCATGTTAGCAGAGCACACTGCGACAAGCGATGCAGTGCCACACAACTCATTCAAGTCCGTCGCTAATGTAGCACAATTACAGAAAGATCGCCACCGAGTATGACCAGCGCAATGCGGATGCGATTGTGCAGTTAGAGCGCGGCATCCAGGAGAGGATTCCCTTCATTGGCGTCAAGCAAGATGCCAGGTTGCTAGACTACGCTTGTGGCACCGGCATGCTTTCGAGGGTGGGAGTTTCCCCTCCTGGGAGAGATGAGCTCCGAGACGTTGAATTGGACTGACAATGAGTTACAGGTCTTAGCACCGCATACGAGTGAGGCTATAGGCATTGACTTGTCGGAGGAAATGGTTAAGGTGTACAACGCCCAAGCTCAAAGCCAAGTTAGTACTAACCACCAATCCATCACATGGGCATGGGCTCGTAGACTCCAATATCCTAACAGCATGCAGGGCTCTTCCCGCCAAGCCTATCAAGGCAATCTGGCTGATCCTAAGGACCCCTCCCCTACAGCCTTTGCTAATAGCAAGTTCTTCGATTTCGAAGTTGCAGGCGTGGGGCTCGGATTCCACCACTTTGACAAGCCTGATCTAGCTTCCAAGAAATTGGCTGAGCGCCTCAAACCAGGCGGTGTCCTCTTCATCATTGACTTTGTTGCCCATAAGATAGACCCCAAGGATGCCGCCCTGCGTGGTATAACACATCATGGGTTTACTGAGGATGAGATCAAGAAGATGTTTGAGGACGCTGGACTTACAGACTTTGCTTACCAAGAGCTCCCGGAGCCTATCACATTCAAGGATTGTCACAGCCATGATCATGGCCACGGACATGGGCACAGCCATGGTCATAATCACGAGCACAATGAGAGCAATCACGGCGGCAGTGGGGAACATGGTCATGGCCATGGCGAGAAAAAGGGCTCAACTACGACTAAGAGGATATTTATTGCCAGAGCGTCAAAGCCATAAAAGAGTGTCTACGAGGACTGCTTCGTCTGCCCTTCAACAATGGACCGTCGAGCATTAGAGACAAGATATGACCTTCAGGTGCATACCAGAGCAATCTCATACGGTGTTGATAGTTTACACTACGCAAGCTGCCAATGGCCGTCGTTCCGATATTCGGCTTCCCAAAGCTGACACAGAATGTCTTGTTGAGTATCATTACTTGGCTGGATAGATATCAAGACATACTTACAACTCTGATTACACAATATCCGTCCAACTGGGTGTCTCATACATGATCAATTATAATTCCTAGTAAATTTGGCAATCTGAAGCCATCTACAGCTGTCGGGGCCAAAGCCTGACTGTCCAGGGTACCCAGCTCTCCCAGTACTCCTACTAACGTTACATCAGCCACCTGACACTGGAATGAAGATCGAGACTCAATCTCACATTAAAGCCCAATTACAGCCCAGAAACACCCCTTCAGACCCAACAGTCCGGTCATGCTTTGGTAAAACAGCCGTTCGTGACCGGAGGCTACTACTAGTCCGGCGTGGATAAGTCAGCCCTTTGCCCTAGCAACAGACTCAATATCCGAAGAAACCTCTCCCTTCAAGCCTTCCTCACACCCTTATACTCAACTGGACCGTCCCGTCCCGCCCTTGCGGTCGAAGCAAACCTTGTCCAGAGGGGGGACTGTAAGTTATGGTGTGCGGATGCATTCTTCCGGTAGCAGCCAAGCCACTTTTGATGTCAAGGGATGAAGTGAACCATTCTTGACACATTAGTCGATGGAGTTGAAGTAGGCTATTGGAAATTAGAAATGTCGTCTTTAGAAGAGAAGAGACGGAGGAAAATGGCTTGTCCGGGGCGGCGCGATCCCGTGTCTGGTAGGCGGGAAAGGGATATCATGTGAGTGTCGCCCCTTCAGCCTCATCCGCGCTTCCAGAACGCCCATAACAAGGGTCGCCCAAGTCGTGCGACAAGGCTTTGCCCTATTGAAGTACTTTTGCACACGCCCTTTATTTTTGAGAGGCATTTGGGTTGATCTTGGTAAATGAGTGTGAAACAGACTTGCTTGTTGACGCCAGTGCCACCGAACGGAGGTCTGGTCATTTCCGTCGAAAGCGCCAGCTCAAGTGCGAAAGATACGTATCGATGACATTAGCCCTTCCGCTGTCTGTGCGAGGCCAGCTTCGATTATTGAAACGTCTGTTGGTCGTGTCGTGACTGAGTGATGCAATGTCATTAGCGTCTGATCGTCGGGGGATTATGTATTACCGTCCCTGGACTAGGGGGGACTTGGCTCAGCTGTTGGTGCGATCCGAGGACATGTTCATCAAATAATCAATTCTATGCTCTAAGAAATCATCTGGGCGCCAATGCCTGAAAGATTTGATCTAGGATAGCGGTTAATCTTGACCGTCAAGTTCAACAACAAAAGCGCCGCCGAGTAGAAGGGCCGGCTCTTCGATTCTATGATGCTCGTAGCTTGTATATTGTCAGTAAACTTGGTTCATAGAGGAAATAAGCTGCCTCGACTGACCTGAGAGTTCCAACACCACCTGCCTCCAATAAGAAAGTTGGTCCTTCTCGTAAAGCGTAGCCAGCCCATCTCATAGCAAAGGCACGTAAGATGTGACCATGAGCCACAAGTAAAACGTCACCACATTGATCGCTTCCTTTGTCCATGGCTGGCTTGTGATATTTCTCACGAATCTCCTCTATTAATTGGTCAAGTCTTCTGGTGACATCGTGAGGAGCCCTATGATAGTGTTAGATGGAACGGCTGTTGGACGGTGATGTTCAGATATAGGGTAAACAAAGTTAGCCAGATACTCACTCCCCGCCAGGACATCCATCCTTCCAGATGTCCCAAGATCCTTTGATCCCTTGTTCAGCTCTGATTTTACGAATCTCAGGTGTTGTGATTCCTTCGTAGTCACCGTAGTCCCATTCCCGGATGTAGTCCGTGACCTCAACCTCGGCTTCACATTGAAGGCCAGTACCATCAGGAGCGCCGTGAGGTGTCCAAGGAAGAGGACGTCTCAGTCCAAGGTTGAGAAGTTCAAATGTGCGTTGGGCACGTTTCCGCGGTGAAACGTAACTGGGCGACGTATTAGCTTGCTCGAGATCAAACAAATTAACTGATGGTTGGTGATAAGGCGACATAGTGTAATTACGAAACCGCAGCCGTTTCTTAGAAGACTTCGGTGCAAAAGTCTTCCTATGGTTGGCCTCCCCGGAATACTCTCGTACTGAATGTTCGGGAACCATCCTCTGTCGAGGGAGACTTACATGTGAGCAATCTTCTTTGGGGCAATGAGACGATCCGGCCCAACAAGAGCCTTTCCTGTAGCTCTAACACGCTTCTCGCCATTGGCAGTGAGAGGGATATCAGTCAAGCCAGTGTGACGACCATCAAGCGACCATTCTGTCTCGCCGTGGCGAATAAGAAAGACACGCGGAGTCGACATGTTTGGAGTTTGATGTGAATGTTTGAGGATTCACTTGAATCTAAGGCAACTACCAGTGTCCAATGTCTGAATATATCAAGTCTGTGAGGGTCTGAAAACTTCTGCATCAGGTGTCAGCCATGCTTCTCGAGTGGTCAGAAGGAATATGATCTGACGTGACTGTGGCCTGGTGATGGCGGGGTTAAACGAACCACATCGAAGTTTTGTGAGGTATTGCGGATGAAATGGAAGCAGCGGATATCCAATTTACACAAAAAGACTTTATTTGGGCAAGAAAATAAAGACGAAAACAACTCCTCAGAAAAGGAGGAGAAAAGATGGGGAATGGAGTATCTCCAACCTTGATTTTGGTGTTGAAGATGAAGTGGATGGATTACGTTTGGGTGACAAACCCCGCTGTCTCATCAGTCAGGTACCATGAGGAGCGGCACCTTCCGCGTCTTCCATTGACGTTCTTTCAACGTAAACATTCGCCCATATTTGGAAAGAACCGACAAGGTAGTCAGTCTCTCAGGGTCCTTCTTGCAGGATAAATGCCATTGTTATTATCCGGCGGCCGCTTTTGTCGCTTGCTTAATAGTGGTTGAAATTACTTACGCACGTTCCGTTGGGTATCAACTTGCGTCTTTGGTCTTTGCTTACAGTAAGTATTACGCTGGAATATGGCTCAAGATGGAATAATGGGTGAAACAATAAGTGAAACTCTTCATCCTCACGATAACACGTTAACCAACAATACGAGGAGTAAATAAACAGTCGTAAATCTTATTCTCGTCAGGTGCAAATACTCCAAAATGTGATTCGTGAGTCTCGATAAGCTCACCCATTGCTGTTCCTTCTGTACGAATACCAGAAACCCTTCCAATTCTTTGATCTCTGGCCTTCTTTGTTCGTCTCCTTGGAATCTAACTCTTCACCTTCTGAACCTACAATGTCAAGTCAAATCTTCATAATCTTACCAATCCTTACCAATATTTTACTGACTTCCTCTGACCTCAACCTACCTTAAGCTGTGACATCAGCGACACCTCATTCCCCCACGATGCCCCTCATCCCCACTACAACTGCAGTCTCAGCTGCAGCCTGCTTAGTAAGGCCACCGCTACCGCAAAAGATCCACTCGGCGCCCAACCTCCGTGACGCCGATAATTCTTCCTCCGCCGCGACCCGGCGATCCGCCTCCGATTCTATTGAAGATCCGACGCCGTCGACTCCTCCGATTGAGCTTCAATTCCTTGCTCCCAGATCGAAAATCTCGTCTCCACTACCGTCCAGCCAGTCACGGCCGACCCTAAGCTCCACGAATTGGCCTTCCACGACATCAGGTTCATATTTTACCTCTCACAAGCTGTCACGTCGACAACGCAGTAAGCTTTCAGAAGAGATCTGGAAGGGATACTGGTGACACATACAATCTCCCGGGCGACAATAATTCATACTATGGCGGTGCGTCAGTGGACAAGACAAGAAAAGTTCAAGCGCGGTGTTTGGGCCGTTGCCTTCGCAGCGTGCATTTTTGCCGGCACCATCACAGGCGCACAACTAAAGACGGATAATGAGAAGAAAGAGGTAAAATGGACAAAAGAGACCCCAAAAGTAATATGGCTAATTACTGAGATAGGCTATTCAAGAGTTCCGGGCGACATCCCCCAACGAACAAATAGCTGCCCTCCTATCCCAACGAAAATCTCTGGTATCACAAAAGGCTGTTCTCCAAAGAAAAATGGACGCCTTCGAAGTCCGTGTCAAGGAACGCGAGGCTGAGAAGGCAAGAAAAGAGGAAAGCCCATGAACATGGCAAGATCATAGGATTGGTGCTGTTGTACTAGTATGTTGTAACTCTATGAGCATCTTATTGGGAACGAAGCATAGGCGTTATGGGTGGTTCAAAAGTGGTTCGCTGGACACGAACATCTGTTTAGCATACATTATAGAGAGGCTTGAGAGTAAACTATAGATTCGAAGCTTCCATCGAAACATTTAATTGTGTAATTAACGTTTTATTGATTGAGTTACATGTCATGCTCTCTCCCTACGCCTGACCGCCCTGCCATGCAATGCCATGCTCCTGTCCGTTTTTATTCATCAAATCATCTAGCACCATTCCCAGGTGGCCATATACTTCTAGTAAAGTTTTCCCCAGTTGCTTTCTTTACTCCAGAACACCCTCGGCAGTGGGCAGAGGAATGGCTCGGTACAGGAGAATGAGAGCAGAGTGAGACTCACCACCACCGGCGAGAGTCGCAATCTTCTCAGCTTCAACTTCTGAAACCTTGTCGTCGTTGAACCACCACCACTTGCCGTCCTCCTCGCCCTTCTTGCCAGTCTTGGGGTCAACAGGTGCAGACTTCTTGACATATGAGGTATAGTGACCGCTATCGGCGCTGGCACCTTGATGTGTCACGACACCTCGAAGCTCGTACAGACCAGACTGGTTGGCGCCATCATCGTTTCGCAGCTCGGGGTTGATCAGAGCGTTGAGCTCCTTTTTGGCTTCAAGAATGGAAGTATTTCTCTCGGCCTCGATGTCGGCGTCCGTCTTGTATGTCTCGCCCTCCTCACCCATGACAACGTCGCCATCTGCTGACTTGCCCTCCTTCTTCTCGGCTTCCTTCTTCTCCTTCTCGGTGGGAAGACCAGCGCCGCCTGGGATATCGCCGACGTCCTGATCGTGAGTCTTCTTACGTCGCTTACGGGCCCGTTCGATATCCTCTTCATCCTTGCGAATCTCGCGAACCTTGTCGCGCACGGGAATAAGAGCCTTCTTCAATTCGTCGGAGCAGAATTCAACAATATCAAGCTCCATGGGGAAAGTCACCTTTCGCATGATCTTGGCCTTCTTCTGAGTCTCCCGCTTCCAGAAAAAGCGCACAAAGTGCACTGTCAGGTACTTGGGAGCACGAGAGATCTTGGAAGTCTTGGTGTAGACGGCATCGCGACCTAGGACTTCTGACTGCTTCTCAAGCTTCTCTTTCAGCGCGGCGGCAATGCCATCTCGCAGATGGTTCGTTGAGCTATCGATGTGGCAGTTGAGTTTGGCGAAGCTCTCCTTGTTAATGATGGGCTGTTCGCCGGCATTGCGCGCCTCTTCCTCATCACACTCCATTACCGAGCTGAACTCGCCAGACATGTACTTCTGCACGAAGGAGGTCTCAGGGGTGTTTTCACTCTTGATGCGAAGCTTCTGGTTAAGTTGCTGCACGATCTGCGACCAAGCCTCCTCTGCATCCTGCTGAGCAAAGCCTTGTCCTGTCTTAGACTTTTCCGCAAACTGGGGGAATACCACTCGCAGAGCGTTCAGGAAGTTCATGGGAGGGAAGGAGTCCTGTGTTTCTCCCATTTTCTTGTACAAGTTCGAGAGTTGAGATGCCAAGTCCATGTTCGTGCCTGTCATCATAAAGCTGCTGGCGTTGCCGTCGGGCTGGTACGTGTTGAGCGCCTCCTGAAGCTCTGGAATCAGACGCAGAGTCTGGAGGGTCGAGTTGAGATAGCATGTATTTCCAAGGTTAATCAGGCCAGCAGGTGTCGCACCGACTTGTTGAGCCTGCTCAGCCTCTGTCATATCCTCGACAAACTTGATCGCCTCCTTTGGTCGGACAAGGGCGTCGCCACCAGCGCTTGGAGTACCCATCATCATGATGACCTGACCGTTCTTCAAGCCGAGTTTACTCATATCGGCATCATCTTTGAGTTGACCACCCTTGATCAAAATCTTCTGGCGTTCGGGTTCGACGTTGGTCAGGCTGAACATTTGGAGTTTGAAGTCCTCGCCAGTAGAGTTGGGGTCGATCTCGACATTATGTTTCTTGCCTTGGTGTTTCACCACGACTGTGATCGGTTAGTACGTTTGTTCGCAACTGGATAGAGACCATGTAACCACGGGTAGAGGAAAATCACTGACCTGATATGGACGACATGGTTTGGGTCTATCGGAGCTCAAGCGTCGAAGGAGGGGTGCAGTAAGATGAGGATGAGTCTGCCAAGGCACTGGATGCCGTCTATTCGGTTCTTTTTGGCAAAAGAAGGATCTAAAAGGACAATACAGCAGCAGAAGGAAAAGAAAACGTCTTGAGTCAGCGTCCCTTTGCTCAAGGTCGATGTTTGCAAGGCGTGGAAGATGCTAGAGGTGCGTCACCAAGTGGTACCTGGACGAAGGCGAAATGATAGTGGGGAAAGCGGTGTAGCTTCCGCGGGGGCAACCAGAGAGTAAAGCTGTGGCTGTGATATTATGAAGCCACAGAGAGCTCTTGAGGCTCAAGCTTTACACGTGAACCTCCCCCAAGTTTCCCCATCATCGCCCCACCTAAAGACACGGGAGACGTCAGGTCTGGCGACGCCTCACTAACTACTGCGCCTCACCTCGCCGAAGCTCCAACCTCCAACGTCAACGTCGACCGACCCCGCCGAGCTCCGTATTCACTGTCGACATCTTGATTCGTGCTATCTCCAGCTGATTGAGGACGTCTGGGGACGTATTTGCTGCCATGGTACATACTCAATGATATCTCACGATCCAGACCGCAAGCTGACAGCTATCCCCCGCTTAGTCTCAATCCCTCCGACCCTACCTGCAATGCGTACGCAGCAGCTTGACCGCCGCGCTCACCCTCTCCAACTTTGCTTCCCAAACCGCCGAGCGACATAACGTCCCAGAGATCGAGGCCCAGACATCCCCCGAGGTCCTGCTGCAGCCCTTGACCATTGCGCGCAACGAGAACGAGCGTGTCTTGATTGAGCCCAGCATCAACTCCGTCCGTATCAGCATCAAGATCAAGCAAGCCGATGAGATTGAGCATATCCTGGTCCATAAGTTTACAAGATTCTTGACGCAACGTGCGGAGTCCTTCTTCATTCTGCGGAGGAAACCTATCAAGGTCGGTCACTGGTCATGCGATACCATTGAGCTACCCCTGACTGACGTCGTTGTAGGGTTATGACATTTCTTTCCTGATAACAAACTTCCACACTGAGGAAATGCTGAAGCACAAGCTTGTCGACTTTATTATTCAGTTTATGGAAGAGGTTGACAAGGAGATCTCTGAGATGAAGCTATTTGTAAGAATCAGACTGTAATCTTAAGCCACTCCGCGCTAACTTGTCGCAGTTGAACGCTCGAGCACGATTCGTGGCCGAATCTTTCCTTACACCTGTAAGAATAACCCAATCGCTATTGTCATGACCTATGAGATGATGCTGATCTTCGCAGTTTGACTGAACCCCTCAGCTGGTTTGAGGCTCGGAGTTTGCTTGGGAGTGTCGGTTGTCGCAATGTTTCTGTGACCAGGCAAAAGGTATCTACCATCCATGATAGCGTTGACCTGCAGAGGCTCTGACAGGCGAGCCTCATGTTGTGGCAAGGAAGGAGGTTCAAGATAACGACATTAGACAAACTTTGCCGACCATACCGAATTGAAATGCTGTTCTTACTTGAATTGAAGCCTCTATTGCATCTGACAATGCTATCTTTGAGATAGAGGCTATGGTGTAGTACCAAAATGGGTAAGGTGATCAGGAAGGAGGCATAATCGTGATTGCCTCATGTCGACACTGGGTCTTTACGTAAGACATCAACACGTTCTTAAACCAACTACCATTGTCTCATCATTCATAATTCATCAATTATCATTTTTTTTATCGTAACTATATTCATCATTATCCTTATTCTATTAGTTACTGGTCACTGCTGAACTCGATTCTTACAATAGTAAGTATCACTGTCAATCACTTGCAAAGAACTGCCTCCAATACCTCCTTTCTATCGTACACTGCATTCAGCCTCTTCTCTTCTGCTGCTTTAGACACCTGCCCAGCACTGTCAGGCTAAAGCAATCTCGCACAAATCTTCTTCTTGGAGACAATTGCTTGACGCTATTGCTGCTTTGTTGCTAAGCAACTTTCACTTGATCCTCAACAACATTCAACCACAAGTGCCTATTACACTGTTTCAAGCTTGACAACGCTAACAAGTCAAGCTTGCACTCTTATCTCTTTGAATCAGTCACTGAGATTCTTCTGCCTTCTCCTTGTGCCTTCTGCTTTTTGCAATTGGCATTGTTTCTTTCCTTTCATCCTCCAAACCCTGGCCACTCTTCAACCTTGATCATTTGGGTCGTTCCGCTCTCGACGACACTATTAACTCAGACCATCTTGAAACCTTACAAGATAGTCTATTGACCAAGATTTGTATCCTGTACATTGCTTCTTGAAGCAGGGAGACTTTCTATCCGTCCATTCTTCAACCTTCATCCTTTCAATCCCGACTTCTCGCTCAACGCTTGCACTCGACAACGCTAATCATCTAGAAAGCCCAAAGCTAGCCTCTCGATACTCGGAAGGCATTTCCTTATCTTCTTGCCCACGTCCTTACGCACGCCATACCCGAGCCTTGCGAACCGCGAGCCCCAAGACCCGAACAGTCACGCGCGCGTCCTGAACGCAACTTTCTGATTGCGCCGGCGTTACTCTTTCAGTAGCCTCTCCAGCTTCACACCGTCGCCATCATCAGCGGGGGTGTTGCCATTCCGTAAGTACTTTTCAGTCACTCGCACTCCCTGAAAGCTGTCGACAACATAAGCAGCTGCAAACACCTTGACTCCGTTATTCTCACCAGCTTTTGCCTGTATTTCACCTCAAATTTGACTCATGTCTTTGAAACAACAAGACTGAGTGTCTGGGAAGCTCAAAAGATCACGTGCACTCCTCAGGCGCACCCATCGTCTCGAGCGCTTGCAAACATTTCCTCTCCATTCTTTTCCTAAACTTGTACCTGCATTTAATTCTTGGTTTGATACACTAACAGCGAACTTCAAGAAAAGTTTCTATCATCACGTGTGCCCTCATCCGTTCTACCATAATCTCCCAACACTCCCCTGATCTCTTCCTCTTTTCTCTTTCATTTCACCAACAGCTTCGGGCGCCTGAGCTTCTACCATCTTCTTTGATCTTCAAATTGTCTCAAAGTCAAGCGACTTTGAAGTTACCAAGTTCAGAAATACAGTTGCCCTTCCCAAGTTGTCCCTTGCCGTACCAGAAATACATTGGCACAAAGTTTCGACTGGTAAGTTTCTCCCGCACCCGGACTCGATACCTCCAACAAGGGACCTCTATCTAGAGTATTGCAGTTTAACATCTATTCGTTGAAAAATGGTTTGGTCAATGCCGTTAATTTCACGACTGACAACTCCTTCAAGTCAAACCAACTCCGATCACTTCTGGGCCAGCCCGATTGCTCTGTGCTCCCGATGGCTCAAGGAGACTCCGCGGCCCAACGCCTTAGGCCGCCTACTTCCAACCCGCATTTCAATCTTCCTTCTTTTCATCCTCATCCTCAGACTCGCCGTCCCCAAGGTACAGACGGCGGACACCAACCTGAGGCCGCTTCACATGTGATTTCCAACTCGAATTCTTGGGTCCCATCAGCCCAGCAGGCTCTTAACAATGCTCTTCAGGTAAGTGCCAGAGACTCCCAGTGATATGGTGTCTCAACCACCCACTAACTCTTGGACAGGCTAGCGGATATGCTGGTGCTCAGCCTGGCATGACTACGGTAACGGCGCTTCCTGCACCGTACGCTGGCCTTTCTGGACCTCCCATGGCACCGCCCAATAGCCCCTCGGACGGCGTTGCTCATGCAAGCTACTTGGTCATGCCATACGCCCCCGATGCTCCGGCCCCTTAGATGGGAGGCCACATCCAAGGCAATGGCATAAACATGGCCGCTGAGACAGTTAACGGTGCAGCCAGCGATACAATCGATGGTATGGTCAACAATGCTGCTGTTCTTTCAATAACTGGGCATGTTTCCCACAGCATGGCCAATGGTGCTACGCCTTCGTCCGCCAATAGCCCTGGGCATGTTATCGTAAATGGATCGGCGAATGCTGCTACAACAAACGAGGCTTCTCAAGGCAATCATCTTGCAAACAGCAACACTGGAGAATTTGGTGGCTCAGGGCTTGGCAATCGTCTTCCCCATGGCACACAGCTTTTTGTAAGTCTTAGCTTATCCTGTTTGATGTAATGATGAGATACATGAAGTCTTATGGCAAATCTACTTCAAGACCCATCCTAACCTTTGCAACTTTAGGCTACCCAGCATACTCAGAGCGCCAACTCTGGCAGTGCAGGACAGACTGGCCTCATGTCTCCTCCCCATGGCCACTCATCGGCATCTCAGCCGGCCAGCCAACATTCTGCTCGCTCCGGCCCTGCTACTGGAGGCCAGCAGTTCTACACGCCTATTGGGGTCTCGCAGACCAATGCTTACAACCCCAGCTTGCCTCAGAGTGTCTCCTACAATTCGGGTCTTTCTCTTGCGAGCCCCAGTCACACTCCGCACCACTACAGCGGACATCGCATGAGTGCTTCACAGTCTACTCCCAACTCGGGACCTAGCCAGCATATGACAGAGCCGCGAAACTACGCGCCACGTTCATCTGCCCATGGTATCAGCAGCTTGCCTCCTCCTCGATTTAACTTGGGTTTGCAGACTATTCCTATGACACATGAATCCGCCCCCCAGGACCCTTTTGGTAGTCCCGAACGTGCTGAGCCTACTGCATTGATTCCGTTCCCGAATCTGCCTCCGCCTGCTGTGCAGCAGGCCATGCTCGCCGCCCCTATGGCTGGGCACTTCGCCAGCAACATGTCCCCTGAGCTTTCAAAGTTGATAGATACCTCTTCAGGCCTTCCCACCTTTGAGACTGCGATGAACCCTGAGTTCTTTCCTTTTGTGAGCGGCCCTGGCTCAGCCAAAGCCTCTGCTGCCGGCGTTGTTCGTCTTAAGAACGTGAGTACCTGGTTAGCATCCTTACATTTGACTTTTCTGATTTCGTTAGATACCCTTCTCAATCAAGCGCGCCGAAGTTGTGGCCTTTATTGGTCGCAACAGCCGCATGTTGGCCGACGTCAATGAGCCAGTCCACATCATAATGGATCGGGCAACGTCCAAGACCATGGACGCATTCGTCGAGTTTGTGAGCATGGAGGACGCAATGCGCTGTGCTGAAAAGCACCACCAGCACGCTCAAGCTGGCCGTGTGAGCCGTCTTGGTGAACGCTCGATTGAGGTTGAGCTGTCGAGCCAATCTGCTCTTATGCAGGATCTCTTCCCTCTTGCTCACGGCGTGTTTTGGGATGGCGCAACTCCGAAGGTACTTCCCAACAACTATCAAGAGCCTTGGGAGAACTTCAAAGGCTTTATCTCCCCTGAAGAAATGGTCATGCTCGTCAAGCATGTTGAAGTCCCTCATCGATCTCCATTTTCCAAGGAGTGCCCCCAGCGCCCCTACGAGTGTCTCATTAGCACTCTGCGCAAATTCCCCTGGTATGCCGCTGACCACATCACCATCTCTCAGCGTGGTGCGATGTACAAGGCGACCATCAAGCTCCTTCGTTTGCTCAGCAGATCAGTTTCGCAGCAGGATGATCCTATCAACCTCACTTCGCAGCTTTTTCAGCGAGTTGTTCAGACTGCGATGCAGTGCAATGGCTTTACCGCCCTTCAGAAGGATAACATTGCCTTCATGGTTCAGATGATCCCTGTGGAGCAGCAGCGCCGTCACAACCAGCCGGCCAACGCCAATTGCTGGGCTCACCAGTACGCCATCACGCGTAAGCCCGACGCTCCTCTCGACCTTGTTGACTGGTACATTCGTCAAATCCGTGAGCAGAGTACTCGTGATGTCCTGGTCCGCCCTATTCATGAGCGTACTGTTATTCAGGAAACACTCAAGGAGACTGATGAATACTGGGGTTATTTTTTCAACGAGGTCAACTACATCCAGGGTCCTCAGTTTGATCAAATGACTCTGGGACAGTGTGCCTACCTCGAGCTTTCAGCTATCGAAAGAATCCTTGGCCGTGCTCTCGGCTACAACTGAACAAACAACTAGCAGCACCGTTCTTGCTTCTGCTTCGGTGCCCTAATACCAACTTGGTTTGCTCCTTGACTTTGCACATCACAATTCGGCCACCCGATTTATTCTTTTGAGACGGCCCTGTGAGGCTACTCATTTCGCTTCTTTTGTGTTTCATTTTCGGACTGCACCTTGCATCTCAGCATCTCACTGGACTACGTCACCAGTGATCTTTGGCCATCTTTATCCACACCCAAGACCCCCTAGCTACTTCTTCGGCAATATTTGGTACTCAGCTTTTGGTTGACTTACTCGGGGCCAAGGCTAGAGGACCAAAAAAGACTGGAGGAAGCAAACTTGTGGCGCACTAATATGCAGGATTTAATTCGGGAGTGAGGACTGATGCCAGCTGAGGGTTATACAGAGGACGCTAACATGGTTTGGAGTTTAAGGGACATTGCTTGTACTTTTGGGTCATTCTAGGTTTCTAGTGGCTATATAAAAAACAAAAAACAAAAAATGCAGGAAAAAAAAATGCCGGTTTGATAACTTGTGATGTTTCTGATGCAGTACTATGATGTTGACTGGGTTGATGGTTCATATTGATTGTACAGTGTACGTACAGCAATGTTGTGCTCCGCCTGTTTCACATTTTGCAACACCTTTTCGAAAGATAATTCTCATTGTTGTCCGGAATATACTTCCGAAACGGCTTATCAACGGTTACATTTTGTCACTTATCATGTTTTGAATCTACTCTGCCGTTTATGGGCTTAAGCAGGGCGTGTGCATAAGGCTTGATTGAGAATGGATCAATTGATTAATGCAGCCCTGAAAAGCTGCATGTTTATTCAGGTCCAGGCGTAGAAGATGCCCCTTAGTTAGTGCTGGAATTATAGCGAGAAACCTCTAGAAAACCACCAAGCTCCACGTGGATAACTTTATTTATCAGCCAATGAGAAGGTGCACCCGAGTGCTGTAACGGCATTCATCTCCACTTGCCGAAACGGCAGGGCGTTTCCCGCCCTTGGCCCACGGACACTAAGGTAGGATCAGCCGTCACCTCTGTCTCCCTTAATAATATGGTACCTACAGGAAGTTAGGTATAGGTATTACTCCGTCTTCCATTCACCTGATAGTCCGTGTTCCCTTCTTGAACGGACAAACAGCATCAGTCGAATTGGATTCGTCCAAACGAGTTTCACTTTCCCGTGTTTGTTTGCCCTTTATTATTGTACTCCCATCTTAGGTTCCCGCTCCCGTCTCGCTCGGCAGGGTCAAAACAAACCATTTCAGGAGCCGCGTCAGACAAGACTCGTCAAGTCAACACGGACAAGTTGAACACAAAAAGGCCTGTCGATCCCCCCACGATTTCCATCACTTGACTCATCTCATCATCTTTCCCACCTTCATATAACGTCAACCACTATCATGGCTGCCGAACAGGATAAGACCGTTCCCGCAGAGAAGCCTGCAGCTCCCTCTGAGCCCACCGCTGAGGCGCCTGCAACGGTCGTTGATGAGAAGCCTATTCAAGATGAGTCCAAAACTGAGGTTTCTGCTCCCGAATCGCCTCTTACCAAGCTTAATGCTCGCCTTGATGATATTTTCACCGAGACACTTCACAAGGAGATGTGGGGTGTTCAGCTCTCCAACATTGACCACGTCCCAACAAAAGTCGTCCTGCAGAAGTTTCTCCGCGCCAACAATGATGACCCCGTGGCAGCTGAGAAGCAGTTCACTCAGGCCCTTGAGTGGCGCAAGAAGATGAACCCTACCGCACTCGTCACTCAGACTTTCGACAAGAGCAAGTTTGGGGACTTGGGCTTTGTCACTGTTCACAAGGGAGAGAATGGCAAAGAGACCATCATCACCTGGAACATCTACGGTGCTGTCAAGAACAACAAGGCCACTTTCGGCAATGTAGAGGAGTGAGTTCTACCTCGGTTTACGCGGAACAGTTTCACTAACTCTGCACCAGGTTCATCAAGTGGCGCGCTGCCATCATGGAGCTCAGCGTTCAGAAGCTCAAGCTCGACCAAGTCACTGAGCCCATTCCCGAGGGAGGCGAGGATCCTTATCAGATGATCCAAGTTCACGACTACCTCAATGTCAGCTTCTTCCGCATGGACCCCGCCGTCAAGGCCGCCAGCAAGGAGACAATCTCCGTCTTCTCAATGGCTTATCCGGAGCTGCTCGCGCACAAGTACTTTGTCAATGTTCCCGCCATTATGGGATGGATGTTTGGCGCGATGAAGCTCTTCCTTGCGCCCGCTACCCTCCGCAAATTCCACCCCATGACCTCTGGCACTACACTGGCCACTGAGCTGAAGGGTATCGTTTCAACCCTGCCCAAGGAATATGGTGGTCAAGGACCTAGTGTCAAGGAGGGCATGTCTGTCTCGTTGACTGAGGCTGGTGAGACCAAGGCTGAACCTTCACCTGCTGCGGTCCCCGAACAAACTGCTGGTGCCGACTCTGCCACTGCTGAGAAGACTGCCGTAGCTCCCGAGTCGGCTCCCGCTGGTGAGAAGATCCTCACTGCTGAGCCTATCGTGCCCCCCGCCGCTGCTCCGTCTCCTGCTGCAGAGGCTGTCCCAGCCCCAATTCCAGCTCCTGTAGAGGCAGCCAAGGCCGAGACTGCTGAGCAGGCTGTCGAGCAAGCTGGAGAGAAGCCCATCGAGGAGGCCCTGGAGAAGCTGTCCGTCAACCCAGCTGAGTCTGAGAAGAAGGAGACTCTTGCTACCGATGCTGAGAAGAAGGAGACGGCTGCCTGAGCAGTATTGTGTGCGAGAAAAAAGGTGCGAAGGAGAGAGTGAAGGATACCAAGAAACCGTGTGATTTCATACCATAAACAATACCCCATTCAGTTGTGAGGAGCGCACCAGAGGTGAAAATCACTGCCTAGAGATGTTATAGTTCTAAAATAGACTGAGATTAAGAATCGAGATGCTAGTTTTGTCTGAATAACCGGATATGTCGTGTTGTGATGTCTTGTGTGGCTGTACCCTAGAGTCATGATGTAGAGAGGGGACCTGAAAAGTGACGCGTTTGCTGATGGGTTGTGACGATGCTAGGATGATTAGACTGTATACATTTCCATCGTGTGTTTGTGACGGTTGCGGTATAAATGACCAATGATAGACGGTTAATACAATTGAGGAATCGTTTGGTGTTGATAAGAGGGAGTGAGTGACCTTTCAACCAGGGAGTGTTCGACTTGGTAATGAAAGTGGACACAACTCTCGACTATCGGCTCTCTTTGCGTGTTCCAAATACCTCTGGAGGGATATATAATTTGAAGTCAAAGGTCAAACAAAATTTTGTGTTTTGGGTTTTGTCAAGGAATGTCTTTCACTTCACGTGGTTAACAACTGATAACCTCAGTCATGGTCTTTGTAGCATTCGGTTCATCGCTGACGCATCAGAAACATACACTATCTGTGAAGACGAGTTCAAGTTAAGCGATATACACCGATACAGGAAGATTAAACCACTGGAAGGGAAGTCAACAGTGGGCGTAAACGAGAACGAGCGGCGTTAGTGGAGAGGCTGGCCTTGATCCCCGTAACTGCACCGGCCGCGATGACACGTCACTTTCGATGGAACTTCGACATCACCAAATTTATAGAAGGATAACCGTAAGTATTTCCATGGGGAAGCTCATCTACGAGAGAATGGGACAGGGAATGAATTGTATATCACAACAGAAATTCTAAGAGACCATTCTGCTGCCGAGGTTGGCACTGGTGTCGATATGTGCACCAGCCTTACTAGCACGTTGCTCATCAGATAACGTGAATTGTCTTAGAATAACAGTGATTTACCCAAAAAATACCACTCAATGCATAATTTGTAGACGCCCTCCCTAATATTGTGCTAGCGAGAGAGAATGGCCCTGATGTAGAGATTGGATGCCCTTGTCCTGTTCAAGTGCATTCGCTCGCCTGGACCTTAACGATACAGCACTGCTGGGGGTGACTGTGGCTCGATTGGCAAGATCACAACTTCTAATTTGACTGGAGCCTTTAGATGCTGACAGAAAAATACTGCTTGTTGTACGAAGGACAGTCGAGATCAATGCGAGTAAGCTTCGGTAACGAATTGGTTCGATCATGTGTATGTACACATGCTGTGGTGATACGCCACTGTAGATGGTACATGGCACTGAACTGATGATACCGTAAAGAAGCATACCGAATCTAAATTTGTTAACATTTGTAGCAAACAGGAGTAACAAACTGCACGAGGCGGATAGAGACCAATGCGAGCCAGTCGTTCAGTGCACAGGTGCCAATGGTTCACGATATATCGAGAGGCACTTCTATTGATCATTATTGGCCGTATTAGTCAAGCTTTTTAATCACGCCCAACTCACCACGGGAATAGAAATAATATAAGCGGTTGGAATCTTGAGCAGAATGGATCGCTTGGTGGAGGATACTGGGCGCGGTGATGCTGGAGTTGCAGGGGAGGGATGAAGCCGGACTAGAACCCGTGATTTGGTGATCCTTCAGGTTACATGGGCCATATGCGTATTTTTTCGGCAAATGTTCACTTTGGAAAGGTTCAGATCAGTCGAAACATCACCGATACGATAAGAATACACGAATCTCCGGGATCGAGTGATAGGCTTTCTGTTTCTGCAAGGGAGTGTTATCCGGAACTAGGGAATCTTTGGTGCACGGCACTTCAGATGCAAGGTTGTGGACACAAATAGAGCGAAGTTGGCTTTGAAGGTTTTTCTTCAGTTCTGAAGATTAAATAGAATTTTCGGATTCAATGGGCAAACTGAGGTGTTGAACTCGCTCTTGTTTGGCGTGCAGTGTCGAAGTGTTTTGAGGTCCGTGAGAACCTCAGTACCCGCCCTTTTCGGAGTAACTCGCACGTTGGCCCCTGAACAGGGAACGCAACGTCACTCACGAGAATTTTCTAGAACATGAGACTTTTTGTATTTTTGGATTGAACACGAAACTCGAACTGATTCTGCGGCATTGAACAATCATATGAAGATCACGTCTGTGCTGAAACATGCCACCTCCGGTACTCGGTAGCCGAGATGCTGCTCAACGAGGCTTTGTGCGGTATACGGATATCGTCACTCTGAGATAACTCGACAACGGGCGATATATATACTCAAATTTTTGCATCGTCCGATTTGAATGAATACACTAGTTTGAATCGCTCGGATAAAGCGGTGGTATCTGAGTCAGATATCGTCAAGGCTGAAAGTGGCAAAGCAGTGAAAGACGAGATATCGAGATGGAGACCTGTAACTCGAGCAATATCAAGCGTGTATGCATGCCATCACAAAATAAACATGTGCATAGAATCAGGTGCAATTTTTCTAATTCCATGGATGCTTTGGCAGGTATCGTACCGTCATCGAAAATAAAAGTAGCCTCTTGAACCTCGGGTGGTCTGGTCTGTCAGTTTGGCCTTGGTCTAGGAGATTCGCGTTTGCCTCGAAATTGAGCCAGCCATGTTCATCCTCGCATCCAATTGTTGATTTTCTCCTCTTTTGCTCCCTACATCCCATCGAAGCGCTCACTCAGCCTTTTTTTCTGGGGGGCGAGCAAACTAAACTCAACTCAACTCCCTTCTCTTCCTTGCTCTCCCAGCCTCTTCCCTCTCTCACTCCATCTTACAACTACATCTGCACACATCGATACCATCTATCTATCTCTTGTTGTATCAAGAGTCTAGGTATTTGTGTATTACACTTGAGCACGAGACTTTTATTCTCCACTATTCGTCTCTATATCTCTCTCATCTCGTTTTTTTACCCTTCCTTCCTTCATCCCCCCTCCTTTCGTATCTCTCTATTTCTTTGACCCTCGTCACGTCCTGGCCACCCAATCCCACTTTTTTCCCTAAATCAACCAACAAAGAACGCGACGAGGTCCAAACGCAGCATCAACATCTATTGTTGAACTGCTTTCAAGACAATACAACACGACACAAGATATAATAACCCGATTATCTTTGCTTTATCTGTAAGTCTTTCTGATACCCTCTTTCTTCTTCATCAAAGAAGAGTGATTCACTTTTATTGAGTCTATTTTATTTGATCGCTCCCCTCTTCCTTTCCTCTATCAACATCACATCAACCTCCTGCCTTCACGTCTACTTGACACTCTCTCCGCATTCCCTTTCGGTCGCCGAATCGATCCTTCCTTCTCCTTTTCGGCTTTTACTACTCCTACACGGAAACTACCATAGTACGTACCAAGCATTAGCCTTGGACCTTACCTTCCTTTTCCTTGCCTGCCCTGGGCAAGTCTAAGGTTGGACCGGCGCGCGCGGGGGAAAGCACCACCCACTTGACTAGGTATTACTGTACCTGTCTAGTCGCCCACGCTCCTTCCCACTCCCATCTCCATCTCTGGGCGCGCCGCGTTTGCTTCTCACTTTCATTTAACTCTCTGCCTCACACTTTCTTCCTTCTACACACTAAACTTTTGTCAAACACAACGTCCTGACTTATTTTTCTCCTCAATTTACTCGTACCATTCATTTCTTCACTTTTTTTTATTAACATTTTGAATGACTTCTCGGTTCTAAACATTTCGCGTCAAACAGTCTATTACACTCTTCAGGCGAGCTTTGCCCCTGCCGAAATGGCACTCTTATTGTCCTCAGAGGGCACCTTTGAGGTCGGTACCACGGACGATTCTTCCTCCAATGTCGCGTCCGCGACTTCAACACCCCCTACTACCGTCGCCGATGAAGCCAGTCTTCACTCCGATTCTCCTAAACGCGACGTCGTTCACGTTGCACTCGACCCTGGCTCTCCCGAAGTCGCGCCTACTACATCCGAGCCCATCGAGCCTACAGAGACCGACAGCGCCGCCAATGCGCCGCCACCTACCCCAATTCGCTCTCGACGCAGCCGCGTTAGTGCCCCGGTTTACAATCTTGTTCAATTGAGTGGTACGGCCGGCCATGGAAAGCGACGCGCCAAAGGAGACATCGTTGCGGACCGACGACGAAGAAGAAAAACCATCTCCGGCCCAATCTTGGGCGATGACATGGAAAAGTCCAGTCGTACTCAGGGTGCAACTCCCGAAACCGTGCGCAGTGGTATCGACGCGCTGGGAGCTACACAGTCAGCAAGCAAGCTAGATTCCCCCCGCGCTCGTCGCCAGAAGATCGCGGAGGAGAGTAGCTCGAGCAGGCGTTCTTCGACGCGTCGGGCTAGTGTCTTTGCGCCTATCGCAGCTACACCCATTACCAAAAACTCAAAGGTTACCAAACGCAGTCGCAAATCGATGGAAAAGCCCTCGACGCCTATGTCACGCGAGCTCAGGCGTCTGCAGGACACTAAGGAATTTGCGCACATCGACGAGAAGCCTGTGGTTTTGAGTGTCTGGTCAAACGGAAAATTTGTTGACCCCAAGGCTGCTAGATCAGCCTCACGAAAGAAGGCTGAGCCCGAACAAGCTGCCGAGGAGCCCAAAGAAGCTGAAGCCGAGCCCGTGATCAACACCAGGAAGCGTCGGGTCAAGAAATATCTTGCTAAGGGTCTTTACGCTGGACAGGATGCTCCCATCGACATTTCTAAGGGGTTGAGCGTGGGAGAGAAGAAGGCTCTGGCTCAGCTGCCGGAACTTATTCCTAGCGGTCGCGTCAACAAGACAATGCCCTTGCCCATGTTTAACGGTCTGCGCACACTCATTGAAGGACGCGACTTCAAGCTTCCCTACCAGGTTTGCAACCCCCTTCCACCAGGTCAACCAAAGCCCGATGAATGGAAGAAAATGACAAAGAGTAAGTTTTGTGCCGAAATTGTAAGGCTAGCACTAACGTTGTCCAGATCGCTTCATTGGCGAATCCAAGGATTACTGGCGAAAGTCCCCCCACTTTCACGACTATTCATCGAAGTGCGTTTGCAAGCCCGAAGATGGCTGTGGCGAGAGCTGCCAAAACCGAATTATGCTTTACGAATGTGATGAGCAAAATTGC